ATTCCGCTCCTTTCGAATCCCTTCACAATATTATGAATGGTGAAGGCTTTGTTGAAGGCTGTTTTTACTAGTCCGCTGACATCGTGGATCGAAAGTGATCTTCCAGGATTGGTCCGGTGCCATGCACATGCTTCGTTAGAATAATATGTTTTGAAGGGAAACATTACGCTGACGTCCAGGGGCTGCATTTTGTGAGAGCAGTGGGATGGCAAAGTGACAATCGTCACTCCTGTATCACGTGCCTTGGTCACCACATCTAAGGTGACATGAGAGGCATGATTGTCAAAGATCAATAGTTGTGGGTTCTCTTTTGACGCACCCATTTGCTTGATGAAATGATCCAAGACAACCGGAAATTGTTCGCTGGTCATCCAGCCACTATCATTAGCAGGAACTAGTGTGCCAGGTGGAGCATTAGTTGACCAGAAAGCCTGGATTTTTTTTCGTGGATATAATAACACTGGTGCAAGCGCACGACCAGCTGCATTCACACATGCACATAGAGTAATGAGGACACCCCGCTCTGCAGAAGAAATTCCGCCAACCTGCCGTTCTCCCTTTTGGGCCAAAATTTTAGGTATTTTTGTTACTGTTGATACACCGGTCTCATCCAGGTTCCAAATGTTCATTGCTTCAAATGGATGTGTTTCAAGAGCACTCATATACACATCATTGAAAATTTTAACATTGGACTTGTTGAAGGCTGAGGCGCGAGCAAGGCTTGTCCCCTCTGCAACACGCAGAGATAAAGAGTGTCGATGACGAAAACCACTGGACCAGCCTGTTCCAGCCTTGCGATTTTCTGCCCATGTTGATGGCAATGTCTTTTCATTGACTACTGCAAATTGCCATGCCAATCGGCATAAGTCATCAACTGTCAGGCCATAAAACATTTTAGAACAATTGATGACATAAAATGCCAAAACTTTTTCTTCTTCCTCTGAGAATATGGTATTAGTAAAAGTCTTGGATATTTTTTTAGCTTGTTCTCCTGATGATGTAACTGATAAATATCTGTCCAGGGTTGCTCTGCCTATTTTGTACAGACGGCAAGCTTCTCTTTTTGATATATTTCCGTCTCTCACTAGCTTTATTGCTGCATTCAAGTCGCTTTCACTGAATTGCCCTTTCTTTTTTCTTCCCATCATTCTGTTGTTCTCAATACCGCCTAATTAATAACGCTAGAATTACACTGCAGAAATACAAAAGAATGGCAAAAAATAAAGACATTCTCATTATACATTACATTTTCTGAGGTCACTACCCATGTTCATAATGATTAACAAGAGTACTGACATGGTATGGGTCGGCCCATACCTCAGCATCTAAAATGGCCCATACCTTAAACACCCTACCCGCCATGTTTTCAAGCAAAATTTGACTACAAAAAAAGATGAGCTGTTTTATCCAACACCCTCTTTAACAGGGCCAAGACACAGGTTCCTAGCCCTATGGCAGATTTTATTAAAGAACCACAACTGGTTGTGCTATCCCAAATATTCCAATTTTTCAGAAAAAAGCTTTTACTACAGGAAATTACTTAGTACCTTATAGCTGAGACACCTTCAGAGCTGCTAGCCTGCAAATAGCATGTGTTACTTGGTGGGAATTGCGCAATAATCACACCAAGTTACAGGTGATGTGACATCATAAAACTGTTGAACTGGCCATGGCCCACACCTCAAGGTGGCATTCATTTTAACATTCATAATCTCTTTCATATATATCTTCATATTGGTGCTTCATATTGCTATCAGTTTGAATCGGCATTTCATATCCACTTTCATCAGTAGTTGGTGCACGGTTTTCAAAAGTTATTTCCTGTTTCATGGCTGCTCCACGTGCTTCTGGTGTTCCTTTTTGCTCTGTTTTCGCAGAAGCCCACTTTTTGGTTCGATATCTATTTAGACAAAAAGAGATATTACTTTTAAAGTCTTTGTTTTGGACTAGTTTAGTAGGAAGGCGAAAAGATTTTCCAGAGTTTGTTATATTAACTTAATTGACAAAGATTGTGATATTATAGACAGTTATATTTTGTTTTCTCTGAAAAAGATTAGACTGTGATCTAACGAAACATCACAAATATACTTTCTATTTTGTGGAAATAGATTATGCTATTTGTCTTTATATTCAATCCCATTCAAGCATCTTAGTGGCGAAATGCATAGTCGGAAATTTTAAAGGGTTGGGTTCCTGAAATTTCTATTTGCCAAATAGACCGTAACAGCTAGTGGCTCGTTTTGAGGTTCTAAAAAGTGTTTCAAGCCACAAAAAATTGCTCTGTGTGATATAGAATTTTTTACATCTCAAAAAGGCGGACCAAACCGCAACCCCACTCGCCCTGGGTACTTTGCAGCTCATGGCAACTGACACATACTAATCCAAAGTAGGGCATAGACAAGAAGAAATGACCCCCATTTCAATACACAGCCCCTAATTTGCTAGTGAAACTCTATTTCCAAGCTATAAGTTTTTAATTTCCTAACCTCTTCAGAATGTATGAAAATGCAATCCCAATAGCAAAGCCTCCAATTATTCCAATCACTGCTGCAATGGCTGCTTTCACATTTTCTTGAGAACATTCAAGTGATTTCACTGTAGTGGTATTTGATTCTGAAATTTATTATTATGAATATATACTGTTTTTTTATTCACAAATGAATAGAATTGCAGAATTGAATATACATGATGTCCATGAAGTCCCTTTATAATTTCAATTTTTTATGAAGTCAGTTCTCAATATATCTTAACTAGGTTTGTTGTTTTTAAAACAGTAATTGTATTATCAAGTATTTTCACTCCATATCTGTGAGGGCCAAAACAACATATGGTATCGATAAATCCCTTTGCAATTTTAAAAAATTGAGTCTTCATGGACACCATATAATGCACAAATTAGGCATTGTCACTATATTATATCAATTGCTCATTATAGTAATACTTGGCTTTGTGAATATGTTGCCATGTTTTCCTTGTAGTTTCTTTGACTCAAACATAAATGAACATAGATGTTCTGAATCAATGGAAAGTCAGGATATTTCTTTTATAGCATTAATAATATGGTAATATCCACCTTGTACATAACTCGTATACTTTTGAAGTTCAATATATTGGTACAGATGTCGAAAAACATAATATTCTGATGCCAAGTGCAAACTGAAAATTTGTATGATATTCTAAGATACTTTTGTTCTCTCTCGGTCGTTTTGTTGATTTTATTATTGGCTATTGTTGGCCGGACATTTTAAAATTTTATGGGATTAACAGCTTCTGTATCGGCCCCAGCTGACCAGGAATTTTAAATATCATTTCTAAATATTGTGTAAAATAATAGTATGAATTACTTGCTGTGTTGCTTTTGTAAATTGGATCTGTAATTCCTGGTCTTGTTGTTGGGTTTCGAGTAGCTGGAGATAAAATATAAAATTTTACGCTTACGGTAAAAACATGATAAAATTAAAATTTTTTGCACCAATTGCATTCAAGACCTCTTTCCAAAAATACCATCTCCTTAGCAATATTTTCGAATATTGGTGTGCGCCTTGTTTGGAGGGTTGAGGCTTGAACGAGCACGTTATGAAATTTTTAAACAAAATTGCCAGCTCTATCTAGTCAATGTGCACGAACTTATTGTGTTGATAACGGTTCACAATGCTCGTTGAAGTCGAACCATTTTAATGTGAAAATAATAGACATAATGTATATCTTGTAAATCAGCATTTCTATGGTAATATTCAAGGCAGTGCAATGAAACGACTCAGCGGTGTGGTACATTATGCTAAGAATTACAAATACACTCGCCACCGCACCTCTGATTATCCTTCATGGGCAATAATATTGGCAAGAGGTTTGCTGTACTCCTGTAGGGTAGTTCACGTAACAGCTGGCTTCCTCCATCATCAAGTCCATGCATCTGAATCGAATAACTGACTAACTAATCCCATACCCCGAGATAAATATGTAAATCCTATCCTAAAATTTAAATTGTGTCATGTAAAGAGACCATTTCTTGAAGGACTGGAATTCTTCTGATTTGGCATTTCTCGCCCAATTCATTTAATCCTGGGTGAGGTGCTGGCCATGGTATTTCAACCAGAGTTGTGTCATCTGTGATGCCAACACAGTAAGTCTTACGCTTCAACTTCTAGGCCATTAACTCTTCTAAATTTGAAAACATAAAGAAATAGGCGCTCCAGAAGTATATGTGTACCAATATGGAGGTAACTAATTTTGTTCGCCTACTTTACATCAAGTTGTGTAAAGGGACTGAAACCTATGGGCAGGGATGTATTCACTCGGCTAACATGGACAGTCCTCAAACTCGTAATAGAACTAAAATAAAGAAATTGTAGTAAAATTATGGCCCAATCCTAACCTGTTAACACATACTATGGGAGTACCAAGAAATATTCTTACTGCTAATTTGTGTTGACACCACTGCTATTGGGGTTTGCTCACAGCTGATAGGAAGATATTGGATTCTGAAATATTTCGTGTAACCAAACAGGTTATTTGATCTGTATTGCAATTTGTATGGACTTCTGGATATATTTCTCCAATGAGTGATGGAATCACATTCATGGTTCTTATCTGGTATTTGTGATTTTATTTTGTTGATGCCGCAACTAGTTGAATGAGTTGTGATCACAGTACAGTGCTTTTGCTGGTATTTGCATGCATATCCATTCAAGTCTGTAATAATTTATATTATATTTCAATTAACAAACAATATTTTGCTATGCTTTGTTACTGATCTGTGAGGACATTACAATTTCCCAAACAAATGCTTTGTGCTTGGTTGAAAACATGTGAATGGAAATTGTTTGGATTTTGAATTTGGCGTTTTTTAAACGTAAAAATGTTTGAGGAGATATTTTCTGCTCACACATATTATTATTTATATAATTTTTTAATGAAAATCTTTACACAGAGAAAATAAATATTAATCTCTATTATAATTTTTTGTCACATAGACACTAGACAGACTATTATCATTTACAATGACCAATAATGCTGCTCTGCATTGAAAAGACCAGCATTGACTGATATACTGAGTATTAAAACTTGACCGATTGCCTCCCTTGAGAAGGTTTGTGTCTTCTCAAATATGGAGTAAACGCAATAATAAATTCCTCAATTATGCCACATTTAAAAGTATCACAAGAAACTAATAAATTTTGTAAAAAAGTTAATAAATTATTTTTCTCACATGTACTTGGAAATCTTATAGCTCCAGAGCAACCCTGAATGTTCCCATTTGTATAAGACAGAGATTCATTCTGTAGCAAAAGCACAAGTGCAATATTGTCATCATTTTCAAAGCTTGTTGGTATTGTCCAATCACATTCACAGTTGTATTCATTACCCGGACCATACGTGACATTTTCGCTCTCTGTTCCAAGTATTGGATTTGGGCAATCAGTGCATAATGCTGCTTCATTCATACTGATCATATCTGCTATAGGAAAATGAGTAAAAATATAAGTTTATTTTGACTACATAATCAGCATAAAAGACAATAAAATAATGAGTAAATCAAATAAATAATATTATTTACAGAACTTGTTTTAAAAGAAAATTTGCAGTTTTGTACCCAATATCTATTGAATCATTACATCACACCCAATATCACTACAATAAACACATATCATTTGAAATTCAGCCAGGTATTCTTTCTATTTTCATAATAATATGAATTTATATGGAATTCAAATATAAATAAATGACTCAACATTTTTACTACAAATACATCTTGCATAAATTTTAATTTACATTATATTCCATTGAGGCAATTTAAATTTATAAAAGAAAGTGAATACATTTATTAGTTGCCTACTGATAAAAACACATATTCAATTAAAAAAAAATGATTTATTATGCATTGAATAGTATTTAAGATTTAATTGTATATGTTTTATCTATTAATAGTTATGGTTTCTTTTAAGAAGCATTAAACATACTTACCTATAAATAGCAGAATTATGACGTTGATGATATATTTTAGCATGGCTCTAATTTCTAATTTGTATTATCCCATTAATTGTTTGAAACAAAAAATACAATTAACAAACAAATACCCAAACTCTATATTCAGATAACTTATTGAATAGCTCAACTAACCATAATCTTGTACTGGTCAAATCTCTATGGTTTAAGTTTTGATTCACCCCATAAATAAATGAATGAGTGCCAGTTACACCTTAGATCCCAGTACGCTTCTTTATTACTCTTTGTTATTGTCAAAGGCATCACATGCTTGGATGGACTTCTGTATCATAATTTCTTAAGATGATTTCTCAATGCTAATTAATTACAAATGGAAATTGAAATCTCTAAGTTTGTTATGGCGTACTTTGGGCTAAACATTTGCGTAACTGATACCTTATTCATAATCTGCCAATAAAATATTGGTTTTATCAACTCAATATCTCTTTATCAGCAATATATTAATTTGAAGTTATTGCATTGTAAACTCAATTAGTCTCTTGTTGAAATTTATGATGGCGTAAGATGTCGTCCAGAATTGGTTTATCAGCATTCACTTATCAGCTAAATTAGTTGATGAGAGCTTAATGCATAAATAAAATTAATTGTTTCCTTGTTGCTATTTATTGACCAATTCACGCAATAATATTTAGAGATAACCCCATTTAAGGAGAACAACTGCTTTAGAGCCTGGTTTGAAGTAGAATTATAAAAAGCTGTCAGGAAGAATTTATTAAATTGAATTTAAATTAATCAGCCATTTTTGTATTCAACTGTGATTTATATTTATTTATTCTTCCATTTATTCAGATCACTGGTGGAGAATACATTCAGATGAGTGGAAGAGCTGGTAGAAGAGGAATGGATGACAGAGGAATTGTCATTATCATGGTCGATGAAAAAATGTCTCCGAGCGTCGGAAAGAATTTATTGAAGGTTGGAAGCAATTCTTGTTAAAAAAATTAAAAAAAAAGGGGTAGATTCCCGAACTTTAGAATTTGAAAGCTACTTTGAGTTTTTCGGTTCGGTTAATGTATATGTATAATGGCTACCTTTCATTTGTGACAAGTAAAACTGATTGAAAACTAACGAAATAGCTACTGCAACTGAGATTTGAACTATATTATGATAAATGAGTTGTTTTTAGAATACTGCATTTTTTAGGTGTTTTACAAGGTTGGGGAATTTTTCACATTACCTCACTTTTGTTTCTGTTCTTAAATAATATTGATTGCAATCCAGCATGGACCAGTTGAGGATCTCCTCGAGATGTAATGTTGGATGTATGTTCGATGCACTTTGAAAATATTCCACTCTATAAAAGACTCAATCAAACCTTACTCCCCCTACTTGTTAGCTCTTTTGTTAATAGGTTTATGTCTTTGAATTTCACTAATAGGCTACTTAACCGTTTGGTTCCAGGGTTCTCCTGATCCATTGAATTCAGCATTCCGTCTCACATACAACATGGTACTGAACCTTCTTCGTGTTGAAGAAATCAACCCTGAATACATGCTGGAAAAATCATTTTATCAATTTCAACATTACAAGGCAGTCCCTGAAATAATGGACAGTAAGTGAATAATTTCAATAAATTGAATAAATTTATTCTTCTCATGCGTTATTTGTTTTTGTTTTTTCATTTTGTCATTTCTTTAAATAAAAACAAGTGGTTAAAAGTAATAGACTTGGAAGAAAACAAACAAGGATATTTATCTCTGGGGGAAGACAAGTTCGATAAAGATAATCATATGGCAAACCACAGTCTCTAATTAGGATTCAAGTCGGGTATGGGAATAGTTAACCAGTTAACACTATCAGATGCATTGACTTAGGAAGTGGAGGAAGTCCAACTGATTATGTAACCAATCATGACAATCGCAAGAAGTGGCTTATTTTACATCCTTTGTACCAAGTCATTTAAAATGTGTGACCAGGTTATGATAGCTTAGTTGTTACTTATCGATCTTGATCGGTAAGTATGTTGATAGGTATTTGTTTGTTTGTCTGTCTGTCAGACACTTTCCTATGTTACACGATATCTCACGAAAGCGAGGTTGAATCTGCTCCAAATTTTGCATGTGCATTCATCATATCTCGGACCAAAATTTTGATTGCCTTTTGATTTTGAATGAATTATGTCGTATAATTATTAGTGATGGGACACATGGTGTCGCTATTGAGTCAGAGCGAAGGATACACGCCGCTAGATCGATAAGTCGGCGGTCTCTGATCGCTATCTCGTATTATCTTTACTCAGTTTAGAGTTTTGTTCAGACAGTAATTTTTACAATCTTCATCCTCAAATCTCACAGAGGTCAAGAACCTGGAAAAGGAATATGATGAAATCAAGATATCAGATGAAGACGTGGCGATGAATTATTACAAGATTCGACAACAGTTGGGAAAACTAGCTGGTCAAATGGAAGAATTTATTCACATGCCAAAGTACTGTCTGCCTTTCCTACAACCTGGGAGATTGGTAAAGGTAAGAGTGTAAATAAATATGTGGTTGGATTTGATTTTTCGATTATCTTTTATGAGTGACATTTTGCGTAAAAAAATTAGACTAAAAGCAGAACTTGGAATTTGTTCAAATTGATACTGTAATACAGGGTGGTCCAAACTCGGTCGTGTGGGTCGCATGTGGTACGCCGACACATTCTGCCGCCCTCAGAACAATTTTAGCGAACACTAAAGCAGTATTTCGATTAATTTTGGCTTTTCCTGTCTGCAACCCGCAAGACCTCCTAAAATTCTCCATTCTCGCAACCTTGGACCACCCTGCAATAATATATTAAAACTTGATTAATTGTTTCGGCAATACCCATTTTTATATGGCGCTCATTCAGGCTATTCTCTGTAAAAAAGCCCCTTTTTTGAGCTGCCACTGTGCTGAGAATCATGGATGAAACGAAATCACTCCGGTTCGGCATTGCCTACGCTACACCACAGGTTCTCAAAGTGCTCCATAACAGGGTCCTAGGGCTTCGCGAGAGCTATTGTTAACTCATAAAGATATTGAGTATTTTTTAAATACAAAGCCATAAATACACACCTAGTCATTGAATAAATTAATTTTAGTTTACTCAGGAACCCTAATCTGTAAACAACAAGATATTTTTTTGTTTCTGTTTTATAAATTTATTGTGGGCTTCGTAAATAATAGCCAATCTTTTCTTGGGATCCATAACAGCATGTGTGCTTCAGAAGTGTGTGTACCAATATGGAGTAGGGATGGGCAAAATAGAATACCCAATCCGGAGAAATTCGAATCCAAAAGGATCCGGTTTTCGCCTCTTCGGCGCCTTGCGTCAATTTTAGTATTTCGGATTTCTAATTATTAATCTGTGACAAGCGTTTTCTTTCGCAACGAAATCTCTCTCGTTTAATTATGCTTGTGTTTTTTCGCCAAGAACCTGCAAAAGCGGCTTACATCAAACACCGTAAACCCAGCTTGTATACGCCGAACGCGAAGACGTCGTTATTGCACCATTTTTGCGTTTTTCAATTTTACCATCTAGTTCCCTTATAGTAATAATTATTATTGGGGCCGACTGCCAACATACTGGCGATTTTCCGATTACAACAATCTCAAATTTTTGGAATACATGAAAAACTCTTTATTTTAAATTTAATGACTTTTCGATTTCTCGCAGAAAATGATGTGTACCAGATGTTAGATGTCAAAACATTATTTGCGATTAATTTTGATCAAATTTTTTCATGATACTCTGTTTCCGAAAATACAAGATTATATCGCAAAACAAGGAGTTTGTTACAATTCTTTTGCACTTACAATTACATATTTTTCGAAATTAAAGTTGCTGATGGATTCGTTTGACACAAGTTTGACACACGTTTGGTCGAGTGTCAGGCGGTGCTTTAGTTGACGATAAATTAAAAGAATTGCCACACATGGTAAAGACAATTCTCCTACTCGGCCATAACTATTGAGGAACATTATGCAATTATGCGTACCGCCAAGACGGGGTTTATATATAACGATAATAACTAAAAATTAAGATTTTGAAATAGAAATGAACATGGCTATAGATGTTATTTAACGAGTCGAGCTAGCAGAAAATAAACACGGTGACATGGTTGATTATAATTGATAGTCGTTAAATTTATTTTACAATAATAATTAAAGCGTCCTACTAAGTGTGGCAGCAGTTGCGGCAGCAAAAATTGCAGCGGCCTCGGTTTGGCTTTTGTGGCGCTCTCACATTAATAGTAATTTAATGTATTTTCATACCTATTATTTGTATTTCACAATTTAGTATTATAATGTATAATGCGCTATTCAATTTAACATATCAGCATTTAGAGATCACATTAATTTTGAACCGTTAAAATTCTTATATTCCATTGTCATTATATTCCAAAATCTAATCAAATTTGCTCTTTTAAATTTGTGCTTGTAACCCATCAATATGGTGGGAGAATTCCCACATTTTTATAACCATGAAAATAGAATAGGATTCGGTATTCTGGATTCGATTTAAGTATTCTAGAATATTCTAGAAGGACTGAAACCTATGGGCATGGGGTATATTCACTTGGCTAAAACAGACAGTCCCCGAACTCGTAATAGAACTAAAACAAGTAAAATTGGAACGAATTATGGCCAAACCCTAACCTGGTACACACATGACGGGTGTTGAGAACCCCTGGCCTACACAATTTATTGTACCCCGGGTGAAGTGCTGTGCGTAGGAGTTGAAGTCAAGATCTGTAACCTGCGATACCAGCACAACCCAGCTAGGCTGTAAACATACTTTTCTTTGCTTACTTTGAACATTTGCCTAAGGTTTTACATCTATCTTAACTTGCAATATGTTATCAAATTCCATTTACCACGAGCACTTTGCTTCAATCAACTTTTGGTTTTAATATATAAGTAGTCTACTTCTCCCTATTTTTAAGAACCTTTGCATTGTCATTATACCATTTGGATATTTCATTGAAGTAAAAAATAATACATCAGTACAAATAAAAAGGCAGATTTTGTCTTCCTATATTTGCATGAAAGAATATAAAATATAACATTGATATAAAAAAAATAAGAAAATCAGTCGCATTTTACAATATAACTATCGTAATTTTTAAATGACTTTGTCTCTTCAGCATAGAATTTTGATTTTATAGATTAATTTATCTTCCAACACTGCCTCGAAAAGGAAATAATTATTGACTGAAATTTACCAAAAAGGCACAGACACTGTTAACGATAAAATCTATCTAAACATTTTTATTTATAAAATCATATCCATTGATAATAGCTTTGGTTATATGCATGTTTTCTACATCCTATACTTTCATTGTAATATTACAAAAGCTGTTTTAGGAGGATAAATAAATTCAAATACTTCAAAGTAAATAGCTTTTGATAAAATTAGAAATTTATCCTTTTTGAATCATAATTCTGTAGTAATGGCTTTAGTTTCAAAATTTGATTGAAAGTGTTTTGTTTTAGATTGTATTTGATGTTCAAATAGATCGTATGATTAATTAAATGAAATGCATAAAATAGATTTGTAACTTTTTAGTTCACAGTTCAAATGGGTAAAACAATATTTTACCAACAAAAAATAACATAATTTTAATATAAGCTAAAGGTATTTAAAGTCTTATTTAGAGATCATCTATCATGTATATACGTTAACTGTTTGACACCCAATCTTGCTTGATTATCAAGTCTGGTTCACATTTCGAGATAAGTGAGTTTTTGTAAATTCGTCTGCAAACCAGACTAATCCCTGTTAAGAAGTTCACAGTGCAGTTCATAGACTACACCGTTTCTTGCCTTATTTATAGTTATTAATGCTCCCAATTGTCGCATGGAATTTAAGAAAGAACAGTAGCTTATGGCTATCTGTCTACTATTTTGTCATCAGAGGTTTGTCATTGCTGATGAGTCTATTGTTCAGCCTGAGACCAACACCTCCCTCGCGCCCCAGAATTTCAAATTGCCATGTCCTCATTGCTGAACGAACATGTCGATGGCCGCCACCCTCATCACGCCCCAAAACTTGAGATCTTGACTAGGTGACCCATAAAAATAGAACCCAGGTCGTTTGGAATATATTATAGAGAGAACATAATAAAGTGTTCCAAATTACTGACACTTCTGGGTACAATCATACACAGAAAGAATTTCAAGTTGTAACAAAATTTTCTTCATTTTTGTAGACGTAACCAAGGAATTGATAGGTTCTGTATTTTATTCAGTTTTTTTCTGAGGAGCTTTGGGTTGGGTTATCCTGTATTAATAACTGTTACCATACATCCGATAATGTGGGAAAATTTTCCCTCTATAAGTCAGTAGTTGGATATTAGTATGTTTAGTTAGTTGCTTGGTTAAAAGTTAGTTAGTAGTGCTAGTTTCGTGAAAATAAAATAAAAAATAGCGTAGAAATACAGGAAAATATTCACTTAGTGTTTGTTCTTCTCATTTCTACAAAGATACAAGTGAAAGCCAATGGTTCACAAGTCTAATATTTCTTTCTTTTTCTGGGTTGCTGTTTATGCTGCCTTCAGCATCAAAAGTATCTACCGCTTCCCGCCATAGTTTTTCTGCTTCTCGATTTTGTCCGAGTCTATATTTAGCTATTCCGGCCATAAGTAGAACATCACCGAAGACAAGGCATTCCTTGGCAATGTTGCCACATATGTCCTTAATTTCTGAAATAGCAGCCTGGCAAATTTCATACATTTCCCCCCATTGATCTAAGAAAAAATGCACGCAAGCCACGTGATATGACGCAGACGTTGTCATGCCAACTTTACATGCTTGATTGACCTCGGTAATATCCTTTACATCTAGCAGCATCTCGTACATCATGGAGATAATATATATGCTGTAAAGGTCGTTTTCTTCATTCTTGTTTTTGAACATTTGCTGAGCAGCGATAGATGAAAGAGACATGCACTCCGATACCATCTGCCTGATACAAGTTTGTGGATCTTTTCCGAGCATTGCTCGGTGCTTGTACCAACAAACTGCCTATATGAATAAAATAAAAAATGATTTTTATCGGTGAAGAATTGGAAGTGTTTACTCATTTTTGGTAATAATCTCTGGTCCAGGGATTCTCAAACAGGGCCACAGGGGAGTGGTTTTTGGGAGCCACAAGCTAGGACTTCATTAGGTATCACTTCTGATAGTTAGACTGCATTAATTTAAAGTAAATTGACTTTGATTTGTTGGCGCTCCCGAAGTGTGTGTACCAATATGGAGGTAGCTAATTTTATAACCAATAAATCCTATCCCACTAACCTGGGTGCATGTAACAATCATCTCAAATTCTTGACCTTTTTTCATGTATTTAGCTGCTAATGTCAGGATTTTGTTTATATCTGTAGTGGTACTGGTTATGGTATTAATTTTTTCTCTTGTTTCGATGTATTCTGCTTCTTCTCCCATCTTGACATATTGTTTGAGAATCAGTATCAATGTTTCCAGTTGACTTGTTTCTGTGAGCTGTATTTCTGCGATTTCTTTTAGACCTGGGAAACATATAATTGTATGTGTTCAAAAAGAAAAATGTTCATATAGATATGATGGCAGAGCACGGAACAAAAAAACTTTATTCTATCTGTAAGCAAGAGTATAAGAAAATATGAAATTGATCCCCAAATTATTAATAAGGTAGATAGATAAATAAGATTTTCATATTTATTCCAGGTGGAGTGAAAAGCCGATAGGAAGGCTTAGTCATATGCAGAACCACGACCCCTCATTTTATTATCATTTCATGTCTAGTTTTGAAATAGTTAATTAACCAGTGCTTCACTTATTAGCAGTTAATAGGATGATTTTAGGATATTTTTGCACGACTAATTTGCCTGTTTTTTGAAGTTTATCATCGAATTAGGTTTAAGAAAGTGTGAGTAACTGTTAATGGCTACAAGATATTATAAAAATTGGTCCTTTTTAACTTTAAATTAGAATATGGTTAAGTGTTAATCTAAATTAGTATTAAAGCAGAATTATTTGCAGTGTAGCGGGCCCTGAGGCCTAGTGCTTGAAGCATTAAATATAAATTTGTCGTTAATCATCTCGAGTGCAAATCCCAGCACTTTACACAGGTTGCAGTAAATTGGTGAACTGTTCGTTCGTACAAGAGGCTTGTTCAAATGGAAACGCATCATTTAAAAAATTGTTGCTAATTTGTTATTATTTAACTTTAATCATACCTTGTTTCAGTTTCTCTTGCATTTTATCGCTATCGTCACTGTATCTGTCTTCATCGATATCCAATTCAGTTTTCTTTAAATCATCTGGTGTTTCACTTTCTCTATCACTATTGACAGGACTTTCGTCAGAATTTTGTTCTGTGAGGAATGGATAATTTATGTAAAGGTTTAGAGCAGTGGTTCTCAAATGGTGGGGCGGAGCGTACGAGGGGGGAGGGTTGGGGGCAGGTCGAAAACAATTTTTTGAGAGGGCGTGAAGATAAATAAAAATATTTGTTAGATTTTATCTTGCCCCCTATTTTGGATATTTACACTTCTTCAGTTTTGATATTTCATTCTATTCACATATTATTTTTTATTTGAGCATACTTTTGCCCTTCCGTCTGTTCTTTGTAGATTATTGTTAGTCAGTTATTTTTAAAAAGGGGCGCGAGACTTCACAAATTCTAAAAAGGGGACGTAGCTGAAAAAGTATGAGAACTGCTGGTTCAGAGCATTATTTTTAAAAGAGTTATTGTTCAGATTCACTTAATGTATGGACATTTCCAACACAACCTAAATAGAGTAAGTTTTGTGAAATTCACTCACATTTCTCACCCCCATCCACACTTTTATTCAATGTGAAATATATCATTTCATACTCTTGTATTGTTTTCATTTTTATTAGCGGTAATTATTTGCATTTTGCTCTGCACTTTAGACATTCAGCTTAGAAATATGCTACTAGATTCAAAAACACAAATATTTCTTTTGCTAGTTTATTCAATTTCACCTTTTTTAAGGTATTGAGCATAACATGGTTTTGCAAGCCAAAGTTTGTTTACTGCTTTAGCTTATGCTGATATAGTAAACACTAAATCTAGTCGGCTGTCTACAAATTGTTTATTTTCACAAATTTTTAGTTACAGTAGAACCTCGACATCACAGGTTCAATTCCTGTGTCTACCACCTCCCCCAGGATGTAATAAACTGGGTAGACAGCAATGATAGCAGTTCTTTACATAATACATCAATAGCCGTTGCTGCTTGAAGGCCGTGTTCGGAGCAAAACACAAATAAAAGTAGAAAAAAACCTCTAGCAAATAATTTCCTTACCATTATTAATGTCCTGCAATCCCATCTTTTTGAAAAGATTAACAACATTATCTCCCTGCTTTAAAGTCACATTCATTGTTCCACCAGGCAGGACATTGAACATATTTGTACATTGGATTTCATCGTTAACAACTCCTTCATGTGCCATATTGCAAGTCTCGTAATTTCTATATTAGTTTCTATTTAGTAATTAATTCCTATTCTGTAAAAATTGACATATGACATATTAATGGGTGCTCCAGAAGTATGTATACCAATATGTAGGTAACTAATTTTGTTCGCCTATTTCACATCAAGTGGTGTTAAGAGACTGAATCCTATGGGCACGGGGATATTCACTTGGCTAACACATACAGTCTTGAAACTTGTAATAGAACTAAAATAAAGAAGATCTGAGTGAAATTATGGCCTAATCCCTACCTGGTGCACATAATTCTGGAGTACCTAGTTAGAAGGAAGAAGATTGTGTGGATGTTCGTAAGAGAATGCAAATTTTAGAAAACGTTTTGATTTGTTTAATTTTTCAACTGTAATGCTTTTATTTTTTTGCTTTCTATTGTTGGCTTGTTTATTTTTAAACATGACACATAAATTAACCAAGGAGAATTTGTTCAAGGCATCATTGAAGGGGATCACGAATCATGAAAGTTTGAGAACCAATGCTTTTGATAAGCAGTCATATATATACTTCGAAAGGCTTTCAAATTAAGATATTAGAGCACTAATTGTCAAAGTTTATTGACCGGGGGACAAATTTAAAAGTGAAAAGATATTTCAGGGTCGGGAGAGGACAGCGCCCACAAGGGACTGACACTGGTACTGATGCGTATATTCAAAATGTCTGTATTTGTTGATGATTTGTTGAGAACCCTGATTTTAATACAGTGGTTGTAAAACTTTTTAGGCAGTCTCTTCAAAAATAATTCAAAAAGTCACACTTCAAAAATAAATAGCTAACAATAACCTACACGACACGGTTGATAAGGCAAAATTATGTTTTATTCAAAAAACATGTTGAAAATATGTGGAGGTAACCCAATTAATAAAAATATAGATAAAGTTTTAAAAACAAACAAGGCATATTGAATCTAACAAATATTTTTATTTTGAATTACCGTAGCTTCACGCCCCCTTAAAAATTGTTCACGTCCCCAAGTGAGTCACCCCACCAGTTGAAAACCTCTGCTTTAACACGCAAACCCATGAATTGAGCAAAACTATGTAACTACAAGTCTGTTCTAGGGTTCTGCCAGTACAATCCAGGAGTTTCGATTCCATTCAAATACGAGAGGATATATTATCAATAGAATTAAATACCTTAGGTTTACAACCATGTTTAAACTCTTTACTCTTATTGTTTTGCCAGTATCAGGTTTGCTTTTATTTATATATTTTTAAAGTTTTCACAATTCAGACAATAAAACTATTGTTTAGGGCAGTGGTCACCAACCCGTTGCTCACAGGCACCAAGTCGCCCATGAAGTCCACATGAGGTGTCCGCAGGTCTGATAATGACGCTTATGAGTAAGCTACATCAATTAATTTTTGTCCTGCTATTCTTGTATGAATCACACTTATATGGGAACTGGGAATGGCACTATATTACCATATTTATTGTAACAATCAACCTGATTTGACCTCAATAATGTGACTGGTCATTTAATAGTCTTCCAAATATGACATCCTGCAGATATCACATCCACGAACCCGCGTTTTATCAAGTTCAGTTTTAAGTATTCTGTAGCGTCCAAAGCTGCCGCAAAACCATGGCAGTATTCCCAAACCATGGCCCGCTATGGCCAAGCCAAACCCACGGCAACTGACTTTTTAGCTGCCACATACCAATGGAGAACTGCTGTTACCGTGGCAGCAAATTGAAAACCATTGCCAGGTAAAATTTTGCTGCCGTAAACACGGCAGGTCGGCCGTAAAGACAGGGTTGACGGTGACAAATATTAGGTAAGTTGAAACATTTTTCCTATGGATACAGTTATGATGGATTTGGGGTTGGGTTTCACGTTTAAGTAGATATATTTTTCATGATACACTAAAATCTGGTACATGACATTGTGAATATACCGGTAATAGCGTCATAAACCATGGCAAGAGCTGCCATCCGTTCGATCGTGGCAGGAGCTGCCATGAAGTGGTAAGAACTGCAACTCCTTTTTTTTTTGTCTGTTGGTTTGTGGAGTCGCAGTAGTACAATTATTGATTCCAAAGAAAAATGGCAGAAAAACAATAGGAAACCAACCATTTTCACGATGAATGGGAGGATTTATTTTTAACCCTGTGAAAACAGGTACGTGTGTCTAAATTGTCTCATTTGCTGAGCGATTGTAGCGACGGCAAAGTGGAGTGATATAATGCAATCTATCACGCTAACTATCCACAGGTCAGCACAGTACGTGCTGTACACAGTACTTGCGATTCAAATAATACATCAATCCTATTTTACGAGACTATTGTTTGGTTCAACCTATCTTTGTGAATCAACATTTTTTGACATATACTTCACCAGGAACAAACACAGAACACGTCTTCCTAATGATCTGCATGTCTCGCTCAGAGTTACAGTGTCAGGTTACGCGCCGCAGTACAACACTCTGTAACATTTGATAGTACAACTGTTACGTTCAATTTATCTTAGGCTTGTGCAGGGTGTTCGTAGATAACCCAGGTACATTGTGGTTTCCTATGATATTATAGTAGTGATCACTTCAGAAACAATTTGAAAACACTCAGTTTTTCAATGCAAGTGCCGTTGATAGAAATTTATTTGCTATGTTGTGATAATCGTTCTAACGTTTATCAGTGTCTCTATTTAACTAAATACCATTAATTATCAATATAATTGAAGCTTAATCAAGCAAATTGACTTTTTTAGAACTGTGCATTAAAATGATGGCTCTTGTTGTAATCTGTACCCAAAAAGTAGCCCTCGGGTGGTGACCCCTGGCTTAGGGGTTTCTCGAGCCTCTGGAAACCACTTTACAAAAAGATTGAAAATCACGCTCTAAAAGAAATCATAAAACAGGTTGTGACTGAATGGCCTTTTTACTATATATATTATATCACTATATTATATCAGACATAATTAAATGCAGAATGAAACCTGTATTTTTCCAAACTATTTCAATCATTGGCATTTGTCATCAGGCATTTTGATGGACTGTAATTAGAAGGAAGAATGGTACTCCCATTGGGGGGAACCAGGTTAGGGTTAGCTCATATTTTTTTTTCGATTTTCCTTATTTTAGTTCTATTACGAGTTCGGGGACTGTCTGTGTTAGCCAAGTGAATATACCCCCTGCCCATAGGTTTCAGTCCCTTTTGATTTGTTGAGAACCCTGACTATGACACATACTCCTGTGAATTCAGTAAAATTTATGTAACTACCTACCTACATGCTATTCTTCATGCTGGAAATTGAACTCTTAAACAGTCTTTTCAACTGGGGTTCTAAAGTTACCAGTACAGTCCAGGGTTTTGAGTCCATTCAAATTAAAGAGGGTATATTAATATTTATATGTTTTAATAGAATCAAATGCCTTAGGTTTACCACCATGTTCAAACTTTCTACGCTTTAAAGATCATTTTGTTTTCCAGTTCCTGTTTGCTTTTATATACTTTTATAGTTTACACATTCCAGACAATAAAACTATTTATTAGGGGTTCCTCACGCCTCTGGAATCCACTCCGCAAAAAGATTGAAAACCACCGCTAGAAGACATCATAAAACAAACTATGACTGAATAATGCTCCTAAAAATCTCTGTATTATATCAGACTTAATTAAATGCAGAATAAAACCTGTATTTTTCCAAACTATTTCCATCTGCATTGCCTCAAACATCAATGAAAGGAACGTAACTTGTTTGACGCACCTGTACTCTTTATGTTATTGTTCTCACGCTGTTTTGTTTACAATGTTCCCTATTGTGTGATGGCGTGGAATAAAATGATCCAATCTCAATACAATTACATGTATTGTGTACTGACGTCTCATATTCTTTAAATGAACATGATTAACACGCATTGGGAATTTCTAGTCTGATGTTTGCGAAAAATTATAGTTATGGTATCTTCTCTTCAATAAGATAGTTCACCTCAGTTGCACTCCTGTTCTTTTATATTTCTGCAACATAGCCTTCTGTGCTAAGAATCATACTTTGAATTTGAAGTTTTCAAAGCAGTGGTTCTCAAACTTTTTAAGCCACGCCCCCTTTTTAGAATTTGCCAAGTCTCACGCCCCCCTTCAAAAATACCAAGCTAACAATAAGCTACAAATAACTTATTCAAAAAACACGTTGAAAATATGTGGTTGAATCACAATCTCTAAGCAAAAAAGAAATGTAAATATCCAAAATAAGGCATGCAAGATCAAATCTAACAAATATTTAAATTAGCATCACGCCCCCTCAAAAAATTGTCTACGGGGGACACGCTCCACTGATTAAGAACTACTGTTCTAGAGAATAAATACTTTTCACATTATCAAAATAAATTTGGTAAGGTGGCCTCATTTTCACGCTACTTTTTGTTTATTTTCGTAAATAATGCCTTTTGTTATAGAATAATAGTCTTCATCCATATTCTTCTATGATTGGTTGACATTGTCACCTGATCAATTGAAAGAGTGTTTATATTATTATATTATGTCATTTAGTGAAGAATACTATTTGGTTACTAATCCTTAGAAAGTACCCTGTCTGGGAATGCTGTTGCCTGGCAACTTTGCTCTAAGTTATAAATTATGACATAGCAATTTTATTTTTGCTTTGTCATCATAGGATCGGTGGGTTTCTGTGAGCGACCTTGCTCAACTTTTGACATTTTTTTATAACTTTGATTTGAGTTTCACAAAAGATTGGGCTTGATAAATGTATTTTAAATTTGTATTCCAAACTCAATAATAAGATTTTTTCGGCATGAAATCAATTACTTATTTCTAATCATTATAAAATCTTATCTTCCCACCAACTTTGAGTAGATATTTTATAGGGTATACTATGACTGCCTAATGATGTAACTGTGATATTGTCACATTCACTCAATTGCATAAAATATACTGTACCATATTGGCCCTAGTGTTCTTGATGCACAGTGTAGTTTTTGGAGTTTTATTAGGTCATGGTTATTTGTTGTGAGTAAATATTCCAGCGAATTCAAGTATCCAATATAAAATTAGAACTCGCGTGTCTCATATATGTGCTTATTAAAATAATTTTCTCAGCCGCTGATCAATGTTCGCTAGGGAATCCTTAAACCATGGTTGCCAACCTTTTAGGGTTTGTGCTTCTTGTTTAGTGGCTTTTAGTACTTATGGCCCTCTGTTAACAATTATGATTAAACAATTCAGGCATACAAGACAGCAAAAACACCCTGTGATTGGATTTAATTGTGGAATTGTGGAAATTTTTCATAAATAAAAAAGTTTGTAAACAAAATCGCATTAAAATCAATTTTGCGTCTAGCATGGTGGCCCCCTCTAAGCACACTGTGGCCCCCAGCAGGGATCCCTCCCCCTTAGGAGGCTACGAGCCCATGGTTGGTAACCGGAGCCTTGAACCTGTGTCCACTCACATGTCATCCGAGCCTCTGGTCAATCACTGAGCTCACTGGCAGTCACTTGATAACAACTAATTTCAAATACCGTAGATGACTGGAATCACTTTGAATCTTTGATAATTGGTGGCTTAAATCTAACTTGAGTTATCTTTTTATCAACTTGGAGTAGATAGGATATACTGTAACTACAATATAATAAACAGTGTTTTTTTGGACCTGGTGTTCGTGATTCATAGTGTACACACATGCACATAATGTTCAAACCAATGAGCCACCGATTGGGAACCGCTGTCCTAAAGCCAAGTCACATGTCATTCAAGCCTCGAGTCAACCACTAAGCTCATTGGCAGTTAGTTTACAAGTCTGTGTTATTTCATTTAGATGAATCGAGCCTCTGATGAATGATCACTTAAGTCCAACTCACGGCAATAACTCAACATTTTCATCTGTATTTTATCTTTCAGGTGAACAATGGATCAGATGAGTTTGGTTGGGGAGTGATTGTAAATTTTCAAAAAGCACCAAAATCTAAAATAATAGATGGGGAGGAACAGGAACAGAAATTTGTTGTTGATATCCTTGTCAATGTTGCCTCAGAAAGCATCAAGAATAAAGATTCAAAGTGAGAATATTATTCTTCAAACAGTTTTCTCTTGGTAAAATTTGTGTTCATTATACAGCACATATTCATGTCCTTTGTTCCTAATGAGTCCCTTTACAAGTAGCCAATGATATCTAACACTATGCAGAGAGAAATTAGTTTTGGAACGGCCAGAATCCTTTCGTCATTGCCTACCCAATTTATTACACGAGGAGCATGTGATTTGAACTAAGGGCATGAGATGTCAACGCAATCAAGTCTAACACTTTAACCTCTAGGCCACTGGTTCCTCAAACTGGGATAATTTGACAACTTTTAGGGGGAAATTCAGATGTTCACTGTCTTGACATTTATTTTAATCACCGTCCTTTTCACTGGTCTGTTCGCATTTAGTCACTTGCAGCACAATGCCTTGCCAGACAGATTCTGCTTATGAATTATTATGTTCTTATTGCTGTTGAATTTGATAAATTGCGCTTTGGAAATTGTTTTTGGATTAAAGCAGTGATTTAGCTTTTGGGTATTCGATTTAGAGGTATCGATACTAAAAAGTTTACTACTACTGCTGTAGACAATCATGCCCAATGAGCGACTTCTGGGGGGGTCATTGCAGTCAATTGTGTGGCAAAGTCATTAGTCATTCAGTGCAATTTTTGTTTAAAACCTCAAGAATACAATTTTATTTTTATTTTCTGCAGATCGCCACGTCCAGCTGGATATCAAGGCTCGGAGAAGAGTGAGATGGCTGTTATACCGTTCATGCTTCATCTTATCAAGTCTATTAGCAGCATAAGACTGTATCTACCAAAGGATCTACGACCCCCAGATAACAGGCAATCACTACTGAGATCTCTACAGGTTATATTTTGAAATAACTTGCCTATATGCTTTATTATAATTATCATTTTTTCTATTCTAATCGAGTGGCAATTTCATTCTTGTTATAGCATTTTTTGCATTGTATGTATATAAATCTACCAGAGAAAATTTGTAAAACAGGGACAGCTTGCTGGTCTTTAATCTCATGTAACCCTAATAGTTACATTTTTTCAGAAATTTGTGTTCGATTTTGAATTTAACTCTCAAGTGATTCAGCAGCAAAAGGCTTTGAAGTATGCAAGATTGTTTTCAATCCAAAATATTTGTTTCAAAATTAACACAGACGCGTATATCAAATTTGTCACATTTTAGAATGCAAAAAGTAATTAAACTTATGACTAACAGCAGACTATATTTGAAATTTTCATATATTTGAAACAACCAATGCCATTACCACTACCAATTATTATTATTTTTTTTTTTCATTTCATTTCAAGTTTGATTGGATTGAAAATCTTAATACTGAATAGAGTTCATGTAAGATGGTTTTTGATATACGGGGTGTCCATAAAGTCTTAAAATATTTTAAAATTGCAAAAGGAATTTATCGATATAATATATTCGTTTGCCCTCACAGATTATTAAATGAAGTAAAAATACTTAATTAAACAATTACCGATTAAATGACCTGGTTAAGATATGTTGAGAACTGACTTTGTAACAAAATTGAGATTGTGAATGGACTTTTTGGACACCCTGTATTCGATAAACAGTGAACCTTCATACATATTAGGCTTCAACCTGTGATCATGCCTAATTACCTTGACGCCCACTTTCTGACGTGTAGGATATCTATAATGTGTCACAGAAAATACATACAATGATGGTATGACGTGTTGGCTTGACTCATTTTGTAAACCGTTTGGTACCTGTTAGAATCATAATCTTCACATGGCAATCATATCTCTGTATTTGCCTTTTGGAATTGAATATTTTCTTGCCATTAACTGATTTTATTTTGTTTATTCTCTGTATATTTCGTGTAAAACTATACCCAAAGCTAAAGCCCACTTATTTGTAGCTGGGCAGTTTCAGTTATATTTAAAGAACATCAGTTGTTGCCCAATTCTAGAGCAGGGGTTCCCAAGCTTTTTTCAGGACGACCCCGAGGACAACTTTCAAGTGTCCAGTGCGACCCCAGGTCAATATATATATTTTTCATGAAACTTTAGAGCTTCTTTCACTGGACTCTTGAGTTTGGTCATGTGGTGGTATTAGGTAAAATAAGCTAAAACCAAACAGTAATGTAACAATAAGCACGTACATTTTCTATAGCATAAGCATAGAGCAATGGTTATGGGCCTGTTTTAAAGTAAGCCATGGTACAAACTGCTAAAATTAACATTGTTTGTCAAATCTTAGATTTTTTGTACATCCATCCTCTAACATACCTCACCGACCCCATGATACCTACTTATCGCTCCGACTCGATTTGGGGTCACGACCCCTGGTTTGGGAAACCCTGTTCTAGATCAACGTATGCCAACCAGGGGCCCTCCAAGGAGCCACAGAGCAGTTAGATGGGCCCCAATGCTAGGTACAAAACTGATGTTACAAAAATACTCCTCGTTCTTCACAGTTATACTGCTTGATAAGGTTATTTCACAGGATGTTTTCACTTTGTTGTGCTTGAATTGTTTTAACATAATGGGATTTGGAATCTATCAATCAAAATAACACTATAAATACCACTAGAATGATAAACAGGGGGGTCATGAGTGGTAAAAGCCTTTGGAAAGTGCCACAAGCCATAAAAGGTTGGGAACCACTGTTCTAGAGTATGTCACTGTAACTTTGGGTTCTTTTTTAAACAAATTGTAGATATATTTGAAAATATCAGTATGTTGTTCTGCGTGAAATGGCAATAATTTACCTATTTTTATAGCCCCAATATATGCATCGTTTGAAAATATCAATAATGACGTCTTAGACTGGTTCCCAATACAGTTGGTTAGTTGCACCTTCTTCCACCATTGAGTTTATGCTCTGAAATAAATAGAGATCCCATTTCTAACATGGAGAGGTGACCAGACAAGTGGCAGTAGTTTGCCATATGATTAGGCTGCCCCTGGGATAAATATAAAAATCGTATACTATCCTCTCATTTACATTGAAAAGAAATAAAAAAAAGGCTAAATAATCAAATTCAAACTATGTTTTAATCTAGGAAGTGCAAAAGCATTTTTCTGACAGGATTCCACTTCATTATCCAGTCTATGATTAGAGGTTCACCATTAAGTCGTCTTATCGGCTTTCCTCTCCCCGTGGATATATATATATATATGAGAAAAAATTGATAGAAAAGGCCTAATAATCATTTTCTAAATTGTCTTTAAAACTCAGGAAGTTCAAAAGCGGTTTCCCGATGGAATTCCACTTCTTGATCCGGTCGAAGATTTGGGGATTCGAGATGATCGATTGAGATCAATCGTCCGCAAGATTGAAGCATTTGAACACAGAATGTACCAACACCCTCTACATGAAGATAAACATTTGAAAAAGATTTACAAACAATGTGAAGAGAAATCAAAGGTTTGTTGACAAATAATCAATGATAAATTAAATTTGATTGATTTTAATAATATTTTTAACAGTATTTTGATGATCCTTTTTTGTTTTTAGAATCATTATTATTCATTGATTATGGTAACGTAGTGGGTAAAGCGTTAGACTTATTAGAATTCAATCTCTTACCCACCAGCTCAGCTAAAGTGTAATAATTTGGTTTGGCAATCCTGAACCCAAGGATTTTAGGAAGTATCGGTTGCTATACAAAGCTCATTAAACAAACAGAATGCTCAATATTTTTCGTGGCTATTGTATTTTATTCGAAGAAAACGTAAAATGGTGGCTTAATTATAAAGCAATAGTACCAGTACTGGTTTTGAGTGTAGGTAGTGAGGCATAAAGCACCACCTGATCCGTACATCAGGCGCACCACTGGCTTGAAGGCACATAATGGTTTTAGAGAAAAAAGATTTGAAGTTTCCCTCATGGTCAGTAAAATACATATACAATTCCGAAATATTCTCTTCCTAACCCATATTGCAGTTTAAATAGTTATGTAGCTGTGAAAAGTGAATTGGTGTCCACACTCAGCAGCAGTATACTTTTTGTTATTGTGTTAGTAGCTCTCTATTGCTATCAGTGGTGAGACCTATGATGCTAAAAGACTTCAAAAAGATATCAGATTTGTATTTCTAATTGAATCTCTACTGCTATTGGTGATGGAAATATCCATATTGTGTTTTATTCACAAATTGTTGTCATTCAGCTCTCTACTGCCACTAGTGATTCTCACAGTCTGACTCTAAATCCGACATGAACAAACTCGACCCGTTGGGTACTTCAATCTGGCCCGCCTGATGCTGCCACAACTAAACTAAACCAAATTTTGATGTTTCACCTAAAAAATATCCCAATGAATTTGTTGAGATTGCGATTAAATTTAGTTTTGGCTCGAGGCTTATTGTTTTTCGCATATGTTTTTGTAACGCTGTAAATATTGTTCATGAAACGTAACTTTTTATGTCACACTCACATTGCCCGCCAGTCTAGGCGGGAAATATTTTGGCCCCAGGTCCACAAACCTTGCCCACCCCTGGTCTCTAAATGTACTAGAAAACAATGACTGAAAAATTTGCAATCATAATATGAACCAGCAAAACTTAACTACCTTGGCATTAGCATTATGTCAAGAAATACTGGATGAGGTTTCAGTTCAAGAGAATGACTAAAATTCGAGCTTTGAAATAGTTGCATATTTCACCAGTTTTATAGAAATGACTTGTTATTCTCAGTCTGACTGGCAACCAAATGAGAGATCATTACCTATCATATAACTGAGTTGTCTTGCAGCTTTCCTCCATCTTGAACATAACATAACAACACTCGTATCTCACTCAATGAAATTGTTTTGGCAGATTGCAAATGATATCAAAGATGCGAAACGAGAGTTGAAGAGAGCCAGAACAATATTACAGATGGATGAACTTAAATGCAGAAAAAGAGTTTTAAGAAGATTGGGATATGCTACAATGGCTGATGTTATTGAAACAAAAGGTTCATTTCATACTTATTTTTTTCCTAAACAATGCAACTTTAAGGGGTCTTAGATGCTATATAGTAAAAAATAAAGATATGCTTACTGATTTTCCCCCTTTTTTGCCATATCTTGACACCTCGCCTTCAGGTGACGTGTCAGGAACATTTTCACTCTTCAGGATTGCTGGTCTGGCCAGAGTAGCAGGGTGACTTCACTCACCATTTTAAGTTGCAACCATTTTGAATAATTATCTTGCATGCAATTCCCACACCTGATCTGGGACTGGTGCACCCTATGATTATGCTGTCATATTACCTTTTGTTTCTCCTGAAACCAAGACAATTTTATGCAATACTATAACATGAAAACTGGCCATGGTTCACTATATGATTAAGCCGTTTTATTGACTTTCTTCTCCCTGGAATACATATGAAAATCCTATTTCAATTTTTTTTTTTTAGGTCGTGTTGCTTGCGAAATTAGTTCTGGAGATGAATTATTATTGACAGAATTAATATTCAACGGAGTTTTCAACAACCTGTCTGTTCAACAATGTTGTGCTTTACTGAGCTGCTTCATATTTGAGGAAAAGGTGCGAGAAATTTTTTAATAATGAAGATTAGCTGAATGAGAAAAATAAATTTTGCGCAACTCTATGCACACTTGCTCAGAAGTAAAGAAGACTCATCTTAGAATGGTTCTCAAACTTTTTAAGCTGCTCTCTCCCCTCTTTTAGAATTTGTCAAGTCTCGCTCCCCACCTCAAAAATAACTAGCTAACAATGAGCTACAAATAACAGATAGTAAGGTGAAAGTATGTTTTATTCAAAATATGTGGATGGAACGTAAATATCCAAAATAAGGAAATGTAAATATAAGGCAAAATAAGGCAAGAAAGATCAAATCTAACAAATCTTTTTATTTTTAATTACCGTAGCTCCACGCACCCTCAAAAAATTGTGTGCGTTTCCTTGTGGGGTGCCCCCAACTTTTTAATCCAAAACTCCCAAGCTTACTCATATCTGTAGGGAACTAACTGAACTGTCAATCTCAACTCCCCTGCAGTGTCCCGTTTACAATGATTTGTTCAAATTTCTCTGTTAAACATGATTAAGTAGAATACATTCAATATTCCATATTTGAAAATAAAGTTTCAGAATGTATTTGGAATTGTTTGACTTTCCCTGACCTTTGTAAAATTTTGCAAAACTATTTATTTGGTACTCTAGTATATTTACCAGGTTGGGGTTAGGCAATAGTTTTATTCAGATTCTCCTTTTTTTAGTTCTATTACGAGTTCGAGGACTGTCTGTGTCAGTCAAGTGAATATACCACCTGCCCATAGGTTTCAATCCCTTTACACAACTTACCATAAGGTATAGTAGGCGAACAAAACTAGTTACCTCTATATTGGTACACATACTTCTGAAGCGCCATTCATGTAAATGAATGTGAAAGGTTAAAATGACATTATCTGCAATTTATTTAGGCGAAAGATATTCCTAAGCTTTCTGAAGAACTATCAGGACCATTGAGAAAGATGCATGAAGCAGCCAGGAGGATCGCTAAGGTGAGACACTGGCAGTCAAGTCATGCTTTATGTAATTTTGTTCTGTGATTGATGTATTCTACTTATTTATCCCTTCATACAAAATACTTGGTCAATAAATCTGTCACTTATAGCAGGGATGTACAATCTGCCGCATGTGAGATAAATGCAGACTGGGGAAGTCCCAATTTTGAATGGTGTTCACTCAGTTACTTGTATCCGGCCCTCCTGTAATAAAGGTTACACCCCCCCTACCTTACAGCATTCATTTGAGTCAATAGTAGTCATAGTCAAGTTTCTTTTTTCCATCCAGTAAAAAAAGTTAACATGCAAAATTAAGACGAATAAATAATATTGAATACACATTTTCACTGGGGAAGGGAAGCCGCGGGGAACCAGAGCTGATTATCAAGCAGCGACACCCAAGGTTCAAATATCTAAATAAATATCTAGTGAGGCTTCGGTGCCCTTTTGTTTAGAGACATTATTGAACGAATTTATAATTTGTAGTAAATAAACTTTGGTAAAAGCTGAGCGATGCCAGCAAATAACTTTTAGGAACCAAAAGACATAATTATGTTTCGGTAAAGCTACTGATTGACCCAAATACTTGTTTTACAGCAAAATGCTCTTGCGGCTATTTTCCTATGCGATAAAATTTCCTGCGGCGAATTATACTAGAACCGAAATAGCTAGCTTCATATATAAGATACATACACACTAAACTCTCCTCTCGACATTTACTCAATAGGTTTCAATAGAAGCCAAAATGACAATTGAAGAAGAAGAGTATGTCGAATCATTCAAATGGACATTGATGGATGTCGTGCATTCATGGTGCAATGGAGCCAATTTTGGACAAATTTGTCAGATGACTGACACATTCGAGGGTGGGTACAATGGTTATAAATTTCCAACTTTTAGGTGCGTGATAGTGGTGGCGTACAAGTAGAGATATCAAGTACCGAGTTAGAAGACATGCATTTTGAATCTGGAATATTTGAGATTAGGTTGTGTTCAACAGAGGACATTTGCAGATGGCGGCAGCACATTTGCGCCTGTAGACTGCACCTGCATACTTTTGCACTCTACATTTAGTATAAGGGACTACGATCCATTGTTGCAAAGAGCATAGAACCCATGTCGCTTAAAAACCATCATTCAATGTCATACCTGAACTGGTAATTCGATGGGTTCTCACAGATCAAGCCATTTTCCTCATTTCCGGGAGAGATATGGATTACTATACTAATTGTCACATACTTTATTCTGAATGTACTTTTTAGCATTTAACTGGTCTATTATTATCTACAGGTAGCATTATTCGGTGCATGAGACGACTTGAGGAACTCCTGAGAGAAATGTGTCATGCAGCAAAGGCAATCGGAAACACACAGCTTGAGAATAAATTTGCTGAAGGAATTACTAAGATCAAGAGAGACATTGTGTTTGCTGCAAGCTTGTATTTGTAAAATGTTTTAATTACAATGTCTTGAACACCTGAATTGCTGAGTGTAATTTCTTTGAATAAAACTGCCACCATTCTCTGAATTCTTTGTCTATTACTGCTGGCTTTTACAGGAGGTAAATAAACAGGCAGCCGGCTGGATGTATTATTCTATATGAGTTATCGGGGCATTATGTGCCCGGTATTTCGAGTATGTCCGGTATTTCGAGTAGGCAATGGACCTTTGATTTATTAGAAACCATGATGGTTGGTATTTGTGCTTTGGGTTTTTAGCTGGTGGTAAATCTTTCTCGGGAGGTAAACTACCAAACTAAAACAGCAGCCAGCTACATGGTCAAGTCAGTGTCCAGAGTTTGAATGAACTAGTCGCAGGATATGCATCATTTACCGAATTTAAATAGGCCACATGCATGATTAATTGGATTTCTTAAACAACCATTTCCATGCTTCAAATTAATTTAATAAACCAACCTATTTTACATATAATGGGAACCTGTGAATTATCAAAAACTATAGTGTTTTGCTGCTAGTATTTTCTGTGGTTTGAGCCAGGATTTCCCAAGCTGTGCAATAGGGATGGGCAATATAGAATACCGAATCCGAATGATTCGAATTTCAAAGTATTCGAATCCGATAACAAGATTCGATTTCCGCCTCTTCGGCGTCATGCGTCAATTTTGTATGTCCTGTTTCTAATTTATTAATTAAAGACAAGCGTTTTCTCTCGCGCGGAAATCTCTCTCATTTAATTATACTTGCGTTAATCATAAATACCCGCAAAATCGGTATACATCAAATACAGTAATCTCACCCGGCGAAGAGTCGTTATTGCACCATTTTTCGTTTTCCGCTTTACTATCTAGCTAGCGTATAATAACAATTATTTGTGCCGACTCGATACATTCCGATAAACTGACTGCAACGATCTTTAAATTTTAAAGACATGCCTTGCTTCATTTTACATTAAATGATTTTCGCGACCTGCGAGTTCTCCCAGAAAATGATCATGTAAACCAAAAGCCAGGTGTTAAATGTTACTTACGATTAATTTAAATCAAATGTTATTTACAAATAAATTTATTATACCATTTTCCGAAATACAAAGTCATATACGCCTGTGAGAAGGTTGACTATTATTTGCGGAGCCTCGCAATAAATTTATAAAATAAAAACACGTTATTTACCGATTAATGTCCCTGAGTAAACTGAAATTACTTTATTTATTAATAAATCCGATGTATTTGCTGCTTCCTAAAAAATATTCAGTATTTTAATAAGTAAATGGAAAGTTCGCGAAGCCTCTAGGTTTCCCTCACAAAGCCCTGGGACACCTTAAGGAACATTTTGAAAATATATAATTCATGGCATTGTCTTATAAGTCCACCTAATCGAGACTCTGATATATAACTCTTTCACTCTGATATATAAAAAAGCAGAAATAGGCTTGAGTCTTTAAGATTCATGAAAACAGTTTTTCAAGGTGATTTCACTCTGAGAAAAGCTTGGTACGAGAAGAAGTTGATTCATAGATATAAAGCTTTCATTTTAGATGCACTAGAATCTTTAATTCGGACCCACCCTGGTTGTTACACCGTGGTTGAATGGAAATAGCTATCTTCAGCCATACGTCAACACAGTAACGTCTAATGCTTAAACAGATTAAGTACCGCAATACTAGATAGCAGATTTCAACTCAGTAGTGGAAACACAATCAAAATTAGTTGTGTGCATAACTGTCTTGCAAACGGCCCAGCAAAGCTCTTCAGCAGCCAAAGTTCACCAAAAGTAAGTTAGAGTAACTTAAATGGCTGCTAGTAGTCAGTAATTGAGTGTTTCAATTTCGGGGGAATGTGTGGTTCATGTAACCTAGCTGAGGATTTCTTTAAACGCTAGCAATTCTCTCATTATTTTGATAGTAACAAGGGCGGGGTCCTTAAGACCTTATCCAATAAAGGAATATATCAATTGGACTAAAATCAACCAATCAGAAAATTCTGAAGTCACGTGACCTGCGCAGTACCAAAACGGACATGCCATTGTCATGCGCGGAAATTCGCCGTTTTTGACGGTTGCCAAATTTCAGAATTTCGTTTTTGACCGTTCAAAAAATATCTGGCAACCGTCATTTTTTCAAAAATCTCGCGCATGGCAAGTACATGACCGGTAATCTACTGCGCAGGTTGAATCAGCCAATGGGAGTTGTGTATTTTCCTGCGCATGGCAATTAGGAACTTCCGGCTAGGGGTTGGACTTCCTGTTAAGATGTACGTCTGCGCATGGCTGTAACATGGCAGATGGGGTTCTGCGCCGATCACGTGACTTGAAATACGCGTTATGATTGGCTGTTAGTTAGATATTGATAAATATGTAAGAACTTGTTTCCTCATGTTTCTAAGCTCCTTCCTGTTCTGGTCTAATAATGGCGGACGAACCTGGTAGTATGAAGCTCAATCTTACTAACTATAAAACATTCACTAAACTAGACTTCGAATTTTATTTCAACACGATAAATCGTCTCGACTGCTTTCCTACCAAGCAGAATAATCTTTTATCGCTCCCGGGCCTTACATTGGGGTATATGGAGGCTTGAAACATGATAATATCAGCGTAAAACATTAAGGGTGGCATTCCTGCAGAACTAGCAGTGACATCATAATTTAGCAAAAACACTCAAAAATCTTTTTTTTTCAAATTTATTCACAGATTCCTTTACAAACAAGCATTTCAAAGTACATTTTTTAAATCTAATAAAATACAAGGCACACAAAATAGTCAAAATCCAAATATTTCGTCAAATTTTCTCGATAAATAAATAATATATTTTTGCACTTTTTCGGGAACTTTGTTTAAAGTTGAGGTATTGTGTATTTTTGAGTGTTAACATTGAAAACTGGGTATGCTTGCTTCAACTTAAAATGGCTTCACTTGATAGGCCGTAATTGGACTGGAACTTATTGCTTTAATTAAGGTGTCGTGTCGGCTCTCTAAACAAGGATTTGGGCAAGCAGATACTGGGTATATAGAACCATGGGCCAGAGATGTTCAAAGCGAGGGTTCTAGAATTGCTTTTTTCCAAGTTAGACCGAAACAGGGAGAGAGGTTTCGATCGAAGGCTGGAAAATACGGTTCATGAGTCTTGATGGTTTAAAAAGTGTTTCAAGCTGCGAAATATAAGACATGATACAGAAAGATGCGATGCTTATATTTTTTTACATTTCAAAGTGAGGGGGGAGGGTTGATAAGCAAATAGCATACCATAAAATAACACAGGTTCGAGCATGGGTCTCTTGCTAGGCTCGAAGCAGGGCTGTGAACAAGTCAATATGAAAATTCAGAATTTGGAGGTAATAAAGTTTTTGATTGAGCTAAGCTTTTGCTCCAAATAAAGCCGTTAATCTTGCTGATTAACATGTTTTCTGACAATGCTTTGGACAAGTAAATACATCAGCAAAATAAAACCAAAATTTAGCAAAAAGAAGTTTCTGAACGAGCAGATCTGACAGGGCTTCGATTTTCTGCTTAGTCTGACATATGCTCTTAAGAAGGTACTGGGTAAGTCGTTACTCCAGCATATAGCTCATCAAAAGCACCACATAAGAAATTTCGCTACCTTCCAGGGTGAGATGACCGTCTTAAGGTCGTCTTTGGAGATATGCAAATAATATTACTATTTACTCAAAAATAAAGATATTCAAAGGAGCGATAGTTTTAATTCTAAATTAAGTGTAAAGTTATGTGTATCGGTCGCTAATTGGTTCGATTATATACTTGCCAGTGGCACCTTAGATTGTCTATAGGTCAGTGGTTCTCAAACAGTGGTGCGTGCCCCACAAGGAGTCGAATCTCAAATACTTGGGAGATATAAAACTGTATGTAACTTTCTTATTGCATTAGGTCCTCCAGACACATAAATTACTGAAAACATAGAATACGTCACTCAGTCAGATTGCTGAGCGTTCACACACAATAAAAAACACGTTTTCATCAATACCTCACTACAGAAAAGGGTCATATGTCAGAATTGCGTTGAAAAAGTATGGCTTCAATGAAAAAAAATTGGGAAATTTACCTCGACCATTGGCGGAAAGTAAAAAAACAAGATGGCGGCGATTCGAAATTTTGCTGTGAACCGATTCGAATAATTTCAAATTCGATTTAAAATGCCCAGCCCTAATTATAGCGCTTTGAAAAGCCTCACCAGAAATACAATTCCAAACAAATATTCAAAACTGCCATGATGATTCAAGAGTCGGTTACATTACTGTTTTTGCTTGCCTAGTGGTATCCAACATTTTTCCATAAATTCTGCCCTTGGAATATTCCGAAGCTATTTACTCCTCCCCAACAGTGCATTAAAATATCTTTTCTATCACTTCAGAATCTTTTTTTTGAGTTGTGCACGAGTCACGCCCTATCTATAGTGCAGATTAAATATTCAATAAATAAAAATAATGCTAATTAAATTAACAACATCAGTGAAGCAAGCCAAAAACAAACTCTCCCAAAGCAATATAATCTTCCCAGTCTGGCAAAGGTTAAAACCTAGCCTGTCAGATTTATTTGGGCTCCGATCGCTACACCTAAAAATAAATTGAAATACAAAATGACAATTGAGTTATCTTATTTATTCCCAAATTTTGTAAAGATATTAAAAACTAACAAATAAAGATCTAATATTAAGACCCCTCAAAAAATTTCAAATGTTAAAACAGTTTGCTGATTCGTTAATCTTAGGGAAGTAATCAAGGAAGTAAAACTTGGGAAAACACCCAAATAGAATTGGAAAAATCAGAATAATTTGGTTAGACTTGCACAACTTTGTCTTCATTATTTGTAAGTTCATCATTTGTAAAAGGCCATTCTCTAGTATCATAGTAAACAACAATTTATAAAAAGGGAATACAGTAATTAAGTTATGGTAGTTTAGCATGTAGAGCCGGAAGGGACAAATTGGATAAAATTTGGTGCTAATATGAATACAAAATGCATCCAAGTATGCCCATGTAGTTTATTTAGTACCAGAAGAATGGGCGTGACCAAGAATTTTCAAAGTGGGGTTATAAATTTAAATTGCCTAGTTGGAGCGCAACAGCTAACAGCATCGCTGCGACATTACAATCACAGCTCGTCAAAGTATGAACTATGAATGTAGCAGAGAATAATATCTATCCACAAAGGGCTTAAGAAATGTAGCGTTCTTTCAATGACGATGCAGCAATATACAGACATTAGATTTCCCAGCTCACATTATTTTTTAATTTTCAATATTTTGATGAAGCATTCTCAGTTTACAAAGGTTGGCCGATATCAAGCAATAAATCAAGTAATGAAGCTTTCTTTCAATATCAGGTCAACAAACTGAGTCCCATACCGGTAGCATCAATATAACATGCTCGAATTGTCAATGTAGTAATCTTAATTTTGTTTGGTCTGCGGTACTCAAGTTTCCATAAATTTGTTCAGTGGCCATGTTGCAACATGTATTGTGTTTTTGTTTTAATACCTAATGAAAAGGCCCATAATTGTAGCAACAAAATGAGCAGCATTGCATTGATCTTTATAGTCAATATTTTGACACAGCATTCCTAGCCTGCTGCACTAAGTTTCTGTGATCTGAATTTGGCCAGTTGCTCTTTTTGATGAGTTCTCATGTCATCTCATTTTAATGGTTTTAGTCCCAACTTTGCTCTTAATTCATTTGCTTGTTGAATCTCTAAATCTTCTCCAGATTTTTCTTTCTTCTTTTCCTTTTTATTCTTCTTGTGTTTCTTCTTTGATCTGTATGTGGAGATATAGAGGTGATTAAAAACTTTCGATAATACCGTAGTATATGTACCACCAGGTTAGGGTTAGGCCATAATTTTATTCTGATTTTCCTTATTTAAGTTCTATTACAAGTTCGGGGACTGTCTGTGTTAGCTAGGTGAATATACTTCTGCTCATAGGTTTCAGTCCCTTTACACAACTTGATGTAAAGTAGTCGAACAAAATTAGTTTCATTCCATATTGGTACACATACTTCTGAAGCGCCCAATTTTCAGCGTCATCCATTTTCTCTTACCATGCGCAATGATATTCAATATTATCGCAGGTATTATTTACGGTACCTATATAGGTTGTATTCCAATTGTCTTTCAATGAATGCTTAAAACTCTAAAAGCGGGGGTGTGCAACAGGTGGCTCGCGGGCCACTACCTGGCCCACCAAGCCATTTAGTGTGGTCCTTTCCAACACTCAGAATTTTCCACGTCAAGCATAAAAACCTAAGTCTTTTTGCACTTGTCGTTGCGTTAAATCTGCAAACCCTGCTCTAAAGCAAGCAAAATTTTTCAATGCCATGTTTTAGAACAGTTAAACAGTTGAATACTAGTTGGACGTTTTTACTAGGTAGCTAATTTATATAATCAATTCTGTGCACCCAGTGTTATTGCAGTCGTTTGTGCCGTTAAGTAAAGCAAAACTCTTAAAAATTAAAAAAAACAATATGTCATTACTGACTTGTGTTCATCATCCTTATGTCTGTGATGAGATGATTTGTATGGAGATCTTGAACGTGATCTGTCATAACGATGTCGCCTTGGTGGTGTCCGACTATACAGAGACAAAAGTACAAATTATTTAGTTCTGGGGTTTTTGAGGGAATTGATAATTTAAATCATGATGCATGCATTGTGGTTTAGGGCTGGGAAGCTGGTTACAAATCACACAGGCTCCAGTTCAGGAGCCACAATATATACGAACTGTGGTTCACGATCCTGAGAATCATTTTTAGCGTCGGAATTGAGCTCAAGCTGCGACTTCAGCTTCATTAAGGTTTTTAATTGTGACCACACCATGATATATCTTCTTAATGCAGTTTTGCAGGAGAGGGAGCTTCAAATATTTAAATTCAACTTGAAATCTTTAAATTAACATAAATTGAAATTGAAAAATTTACGAGCTGAAAAGGATAGATTTCAATATTTAAATACTATTTAAAAAATTTCAATATTATTGAAAAATTATAAATGTTGAAAAACAATTGGACGATTAGGAGCTGGAACCACTAAAAATCCTGGTGGATCCCGCTCCATCAAACTGTCACGGCTCCAAGCACCTACTTCAGCCCTGGTTTAGGTATTCACTAATCTAGCTGACCTGGTGACGAATTCAAACCATATTGTCAGACACTGTTGAATATATTTGCTATTTGTTTTGCCACACAAGGGTACGGATTTCTGTGTTAATAAAAGCAATACTTCAGGTCAGTATGGTATATAGCTCCACACACCTTCTATGCCTTCTTCTTGGTGATCTACTTCTTGATCTTCTATATCTTGGGGAGGGAGACCTTCTGATTCTATCATGATCTCTGCGATGCCTAGAAAAAATGATATTAACAGTCCAATTGGAATTATTGCACTACTTCAAACCTTCTATCGCAAAACTTCACAGTAAATATAAATAATCACTTTGTTAATCTGGCTAATGGCTATAGCATTTGCATAACCATGTCTAAAGTAAAAATTGAAATGAATTTGAAACTTGTTCAAGTGAACAGCCTACAAAGGGTACTCTCGTAGTGTGTGTGCCAGGTTAGGGTTAGGTCATAATTTTATTCCAATTTTCCTTATTTTAGTTCTATTACGAGTCCGGGGACCGTCTGTGTTAGCTAAGTGAATATACCCAATGCTCATAGGTTTCAGCCCCTCCACACAATTTTATGTAAAGTAGGCGAACAAAATTAGTTACTTCCATTTTGGTACACACACTTCTAGAGCGCCCTTCAAAGAACTGAAATAAATATCAAGACATTGTTTTTCTTTTCCTTATTACTGAGATTATACCTTGGTGATGGACTTCTGTGCCTTCGTAAAATTTCTTTTCTCTCAGGTACAGGTGACGGAGGAGCTTCATCATCGCTTGATTCTCCTAAATCATCGAGATCATCTTCTAAAGCTGATACTCGGACCTCTAGCTTTTCGTTTTCTTCTAAAATGTGTCGCTTCTAATAAAATAAAAATATATTACTGCAACGCTATCAAAGTTTTAAAATTCTGTAGAGAATTACCTTACAGCAAATGACTCTATGAATCAGTGGCTCAATGGCCTAGTGCAGGGTGGTCCAAGATTGGCAGCTCCGCGGGCCACAAAATTACTTTTGCATTGTTCACGGGCCACAATAGTGCCAAGAACTTTGCTCGTTTAACTTCGCTAGTTGCCTCAGCAAGCCATAACACTAGTCAATTCAGTGACATTAATGATGCAACAATATGTTAAAAGATTTTTTGGTTCATTTTATGACGAAACAACACAAAATGCGATTCTTGATTCCTCTCCGAATGCGACGCGGGCCACAGATAAAAGAGTGGCGGGCCACATGTGGTCCGCGGGCCTGGGTTTGGACCACCCTGGCCTAGTGGTTAAAGCGCTAGACTTAATTGTGTTGATATCTCAGATACCTGTGGCTGCTTGTATGAGGCCTTGTTCAGGGTAGAAGACATGAACAAGCATCATATAGAATACTTCTTTGAGAAAAAATCAAGACTATAATATGTAGGATTTAACCCAGAAAGGCTAAACATGAAAAAGCTGCTTTGAAGAAATCTTATAATTTTTGTTTTAAACTCGCAACTCTTTATTGAATTGAAATACTTCTGTGAATATTGCCTCGAAGTATGATTAGTTACCACTGGGTTTAAATCCGGCTTCATGCGCACAATCGCATCCAGGATGTAATAAATTAGATAGACAATGCTCCTTACACTATCTGTAGATGCATGCAGAGCCTTGTTTATAGCCAAAGGAATATAAACCCGTCTTTTGATAACATCACATAATTCTTTGTTATTTTTCAAACCAAATTTTTTTAAATTCCAACATTCGCCCTTTTGTCCCAGATTCAAGCAATATATAGAATAATATCAACGAACCTGAATTCTGGGTAAAATAATATCACATTCACGATCTTCTCGTAAAAGAGTATCAATGAATTCATCAACATGTGCGATCACAAAATCTGTAAATAATATTATAGTTATGTACAAGTCATATTTTGGAGTGATTCTTAGGCACTCAAGAAGTATGTGTACCAATATGGAGGTAACTAATTTTGTTCGCCTATTTTACATCAAGTTGTGTAAAGGGAGGGAAGCCTATGGGCAGGGGGTATAATCACTTGGCTAACACGAACAGTCCCCAACTCGTAATAGATAATTGGAATAAAATTATGGCCTAAACCCAACCTGGTACACATACTACGGAAATACCGATTCTTATGCATCAAGGATGTTTCTCAGACCCTATATCAATTCAAACAACTTTAAAAATACATTGATTAAACAAACTGAAATTAAAATACCAAAATCAGTTGAACCATAAAAAAAAACACTGAATGGGGGTTATGGTTTTTTATGAGGTTTTCTCACTGCAAGCAAGGCTCTAACAAGCAGACAGTAATAAGGAAGGAGCTGCTGTTATTGGAAGGACAGCAATCTATGCTTGAAAATTAGATGGAAGACTTCAATGACGTAAGGACTCTTTAGTCCCAGAAGCTCTTGGCACTTTAGTGAACGCCCGTAAGCTCGATCGAGAATTTATATCCATTGTTTCTGAGTGCGTGCACTCGTTTTAAGCATATCTCCTCTTGGCATTTTAGTGATCGCCTGTAATTTCACTCATAGATAAAATCTCCTTTCTTTCTGAGTGCGTGCCCTCGTTTTAACATATGTCCTCTTTTGTACTTTAGTGCTTTGAACAGATTTTCTCAAAAAATAGGATGAAAAACTTACTCCCATCTCTTCCTTGTTTCTTTATTTTTCTGAAATCATTATACAAAGGTTCTAAATATTTGTAGCAATCCAGTGACGTTCCTGTGATTCGCAGATAAAAAGCACCAAGACATCGAACATATCTGAAAAAAAATAAAAACATGAGCAAATGTAATCAAACGGTGGGGAGCGTCTCACAAATGGGGAGTAGATCATTTTTCGAGGGGGCGTGAAGCTAATAAAAAATAAAAATATTTGTTAGATTTGATTTTGCCCGTCTTATTTTGGATATCAACCTATTTTTATTTCAGGTATTTACGTTTAATTCACATATTTTCAACGTGTTTTTTGTATAAAACATACTTTCGCCTTACTATCTGTTATGTTTAGCTTATCGTTAGATAGGTATTTTATAGGCGGGGCACGAGACGTTAAAATTTTAAAAGAGTGCACAGCTTAAAAAGTTTGAGAACCATTGAAATGGACTAATACTGAGTTAAACTATACTAACATACATATGTAGAAATAAAATACAAAGTATGAGCAAATGTAAAATAATTGATAATATTCTTATCCAGTGAATTCCAAAAAAAAAAAAATGAAATAGTTAGAAATATTTTGCTCCACTTATTGAACAAAAAACCCCAAAATATAAAAATTTTGTCTTGCTTTCCAGTTTAGTTGAGTTTTTTTTGAGAAAGCTCTCAGATAAGACGTAACGGGGACATTACAACACCACCAGTGCTAATTAGCTGCTTAGAATCAACAGATTGCAGTAGGCAGGAAATCTAGTTTAAAATCAAGGCAAACTTTGACTCATGTTCACGTTGGCATTGAGGCCATAGTTATGATAATTTTAATTTTCCTTTTTTGATTTTCAAGTTTATTATTTAGGTTCGATTAAAACCGAACCTGTATTTGTTTTTTTGTGTTTGAAGGCGGCATGTCATGTTAATGTAGCTTATGTAATGACATCTACCGGTATATATTTTCTAAAATGAGAGAACCTGTTGTTAAAGAATTTCATACAAAAAAGAAACTGTTCTTTAAATTTCCCCACTACTGAGCGTGGCTTTCATTTCGACTTACTTGAAATCCTCGGTCTTTATAAATTCCACAATAATATCTTTGTCTGGTTGAATCTGAAGCATTTTCAAAATCAAACATAAGAAAGGTGTTGGTTTGATATTTCCTCCATAAACTCCACCAATGTACTTAAGTTCCATTGCCTTGTCTACAAGCAGTTCAGCTATAAATGAAAATGTGATTATTTATCACAATCAATAAAAAATTAGTAGATATGAATGTACAAGACATCCAGACATCGGGATGTATAAGACCTGCAATATGTTAAACACGATTGCACGAAATGCAACCCTGAATATACAATGACTGTTAACTGCCAAACAACAATTGTAATATATACTGATATACCATAAGTCATAGGTTCTCAAAGTGCTCCGTACGGGGCCCCAGGGCTCCGCGAGAGAAACCCAGGGGCTCCGCGAGCTATTCGATTACTTTTCAAAATAATGACTAGTTTTGTAACTGTTCAAAGAAGCAATAACAACTTTGATAAAATGTGACAACAATATAGCCTCGAAATATGGCAAAGAGGCGGAATTAAAAAATGACATTATTTATAAGCTGGAGCGCAGCCAGGATTCTCAAGAGGTGGAGATTTGAATCGGAAATTTCCGCGCAACATTCTTTGCGATTATAAAAAACGGATAACGAGATTTCTGTTGCGTAAAATATTCAATGTATGGCCGATGCAAGCATTTAAAGTGTCTTGTCGTAATAATGACTGTACTCATAGTTACTCAAGTTTCATTCGAGATTACTATTAGGATTAGGCTACTAAAATGAAAGAATACTATTCTAAAAATTCATAAAATACGTGATAAACTGCCAACTATAAATAAATTGGAGTCGTATTTTTGCGATCTTGGAATTTGTCAAACTGATTTGTTCTTTTGCACTCGAGATATTATTAAGCAAGATATCGCCGTTTAAAAAAATCACAAGATCTGGGCAAAATACGATTGGACTTTATTTTAATGCATGCCGGCTCCGTCGGTAGTTTCAAGAATAAAAAAAGGTAAATCGCGCACACAATTGACTGTGTTTCGATTTCGCAGTTACTATATACGATGAATAAATATTTTAGAATGCCGTTTTTTCAATTAGAAATTTGAGTTCGCGGATTTACCTCTTTATTATTAATTATCATTTTTAGCATTTCGTCGCCGATGACTATATGGTAACATGTTTTTCACATTGAATTCATAATTCCCCACGAGACAAAAAAGCTATTATCGTCGTCATTGTAGAACAATACATGTATATGCCGAAGAAAATTTTTTGATTTAGGGAGAATAAACACCGGCGTAAAGATGTTTAAAAAACATGCCATGCTGACGAAAACTACGGTGATTGTACAAAATGCAATCGCGCACGTTATTAGCGGCCTTTTCAAGTCTTCCGAAAATGTCGAAAGGGAAAAGATTCGACCCCTAGTTTATTAATATGTTTGTCAAGTGTCAAATTTACAGCTTTAGTAAGAGTATATATATATAATTTATCTTTGAAATTTTGATTTATTTAAGACTTGCATTAACCCCATTAAAAAAAGGTTTAGCATTTAAATCAAGTTGAGTACTTTTAACTTACTCAGGAATATTTATCGGTACAATTTTAACATTTCTTTTGGGGCTCCGCGAATAATAGTCAACCTTTTCAGGGGCTCCGCAACACCAAAAGTTTGAGAACCCCTGCCATAAGTGATATAGACCAAACAATATTCCAACAAACCAAGTTGGGACAAATAAGGAGACAACGCATGTTAATGAAAATTGGAATGCTGCGTAGGGAAAAATTGAAGCATGTTCATATGATTTTGAACAAACATTCATGCTGGGGGTGGGAGTTTATAAATATCTGATGATTAAAGAATAGAGTCAAACATTTTTTCCAGTAGAATCGATTAAAGTTTGATCTTTAAACGCTGTAATTATTTGTGACTTTTCATTGTAATAGCTCATCCAGACATATAAATTCTTGAATGCTACCTTAAAAAAATTTTCCTATCCAGCCTTCAGTAAATCGAATTATATTTTTCCGAAGAATCTAATGGTGTCGTTTTCTGATTCGTTTCACAGTTTTAGTTTATTGCACTGTGCTAGTTTGTGCTGATATACCGTAAAGGCCCAAATTACCTCGTAAAGGTGTGGTGGGTCTCATGTAGTTTCGTACCTAACGTACTTCTGGTAAGCGTAGCATAACAATTTTTTTATGTGTCAATCCTAACCCCCACCCGACCACACCATTCAAAAATTACGTCACTACGACGTCACAGCCTTTCAAATTATGCGAACTGTCATCCAAGACATGCAGACGAGAACCCGAAATCGAACAGCCATTTCTCTCCTTTTCTCGTCGCAACGATCCCGATACGAGAGATATCGCTGACGTTAGTCAGTTCTTTATCGTCGGAGCCGATGCCATTTCGGGCGATCGTACGAGTATTTGGCAAGCTCTATGACATGATTGTGATGTCGTAGTGACGAAATTTTTGGATGGCGTAGTCAGGCGAGGGTTAGGATTGGCGTGTCAAAATTTTTTTATGCTACGCCTACTAGAAGTACGTTAGGTACAAAACTACACGAGACCCGGTGTGGTTTGCAATCACTGTTATAATTGAGTTTTTTTTTATTAATGCCGGCATGAAGGGAATTAGAGAACTGCTCAAATTTACAAATAACCCTGTTTCAAACCCACAGATTACAATATTACTGTATTAAATGATACAGTACGGTACCGGTATCAATCAACCATAAATGAATAAAAATGAACTCTCCCAGACCACGAAATCGTTCTGTTATTAATTTACCTGTAAGAGCAAAGCATTCTTCTTTCCAATACTTGCTGTCATAAATACGCGATCTTATAATCTTTTCCACCAAATACTGCGGATTTGTTCCTTTCACAGTAACCGCATCTTTCACTGTGCGATTCGCCATATCTTTTCAACCCGCGGTAAAAACGAGAAATCAACCCGAAAACTGTTGATTTATCGATATAGTACCTCACGCTTTTTAACACAGTTGACAAAACCAGCAACCTTGATCTTTAGCCCCGACTAACGGATATAAAATTTCAAAAGTTTGTAACTGGTTAGCTTGAATAAAAAAAAATTAATGATTGTAATTTCAGTGGTTTCAGTGTTATTGTCTCTAAAAGGATAATGCATTTATCTATTTCAAAAAATTTATGTAAGTTTCATGAGATTTGTTTCTTCATTTTGAAGTTTTTTTGTGGTGACGTCATTAAAAACGAATTGCGCGCCGTGTGACGGCTTCGCGATCGCCTTTCAGCGAAGTCAGTATTTTTTGACAGGGAAGACTTCCGGTACCCTAATGCAAAAGATTCGATACTTTGTTTTGGTTACATTTAATCTATAGTAATTCGTGATTTGGTACAATTAATCCCAACAGAAGACGTGATTCATTGATGCATGTTAGCGAATGGAGCCGGCTTTCAGGGATGAGAAGGCGCGTCAATGTTTCATCGCCGATTTCTATATTTATGGCAAGGGCGGCTAGATCAATATAATTATTTACTCTGAACTGCAGAAGAGCAATACGCTGCAAAACTCATCGCAGCAAATGACATATTGAGCCGAATATAGTTAGTGGGTAGACATGGGAGTTCAGATAGGTAAGGGGTTGGGTTTAGACACTGGGAGGTCAGGTACGGCTAGTGGACGTGGGAGATCAATCAGAGCTAGTGGGTAGCATTAGACATATGAAGATAAGTTGAGGTTTGACATTTAACAATTCGTTAGAAAATGGTATTAAACGTGGAAAGTCAGGAGTTACCCACTGAGAAGATCGGGTGGGGTTAAGGGGATGTGATGAAGAATTCAGGAATGCTTAAAGAAATGGGTCGTTTTTTTTTCAATCCTCATAAAGAGTAGTATCGAAATTGGACAAGCGTATAGAGACCTACCCTCATTCATTAACATCATTTAGGAAAATCGAACAAACAAACAAAAGTAAAACATATTTATTGAAGTTACAGACAGTTTTAATGAATGTTCACTTCATCTCGATAATCAGAGTTTCTTGTCTTGCAAGTCCATACGAGTTCAATGGTCGTTTTGGGTTTAAACATGAAAGCTGAAAATAATAAGACAAATCAATATCAAAAGTTTTATATCAAATCATATGTGTTCATAAATCCTATGAACTAAATTATAAATATTACCAAAGTAAAAATATTAATAGAGAATTCTTGCGCGTAGTGGAATGATGTTACCGTAAGTTATCTAAAGGCCGACCGCACACAGCGACAATATTTTTATTGCGATGCAATATATTTTTTAGAACTCCCATTGTTTATTGAAAACCCGCACAGATGTGAGACTTTATTGATTCGTTTTATGCAATATTTTGAGTGAATTTTTTTCGAGCAATAGATCATGTTCTACTTTTTATTGCTAGCGCGCGATAATTGCCTTGTGGGGGAAACTCACTCAGACAAATATTTTATTTTTATCATGCAAGAATCAATGCAAAACTTCCGCTCTACCTGCGTTGTTCAGCTGTTTGCGTGATCTTGTTGACGGTAGTGAAGCGTAAACAAATGATGAGCTATTTTGACTAAATTCTCTCCACTAAACGATGTCTCAAATTGACTGATCTTTTTAGCATATGACAATGGTATTCCCTTATTTAAAGCATCCTTTTAAGAAAATGGACGAAGGTGGTTTATATTGGATTAAATGGAGTCAATCTCGCTCGAGTCTCACGCCTCGCTCTAACATCATTGCTAAATATGTACCCAGTAACAAAAATTGGCATCACTTGTGTTGTGTATTCTGCCTTTAGATCTTTATAAACAAGCACCAAGTTTCCATTACAACACTACTTTATTATAAGAGTCAAGCACTTCAACATTAAGACACCATAGCAGTAACACCCTAAACAGCAAGTCAGCACCTAACACGTGCACAGATAGAACAAGGTCAAATCAGTCTGGGTCAATAGCGTCACCTAGCGGTATTACATCATAATATCAACACTTTTTCCCCCCTTCAAAAAAATGAGAATGTCATTACATTTCATTTACATGGTTTCAATCAACCGCTCAGGCTTAACCCTAAGACGTTTTGGATAACGTGAAATTTCAACAGATGTTCCCATCAGGGCACTGGGTTCCACTTTCAGTACTAACATTAGGATTAACAGGTAAATTTTCATTAGCACTAGGGATATCAACATTAGGTTCAATTACATCAGTATTTGGAAACACAGAAGGCAATGAAACGTCATCATCCAAACTACTATCATATGATTTCTCTAATTTCACTTTAGACATGTCCTATTTGATCAATATGTCTTTTCCAGATCATTGAACCCACTTTTACACGATAGGTTACAGGACTTCTTTACGATTATTCCATGAATCCATTTTCGGTTTGGATCTCTATAATCACGAACTTGAACACGATTTCCAACTTCCAGATTTCTAATAGGCTTTTGCACTGGAGTTGTTCTTTTCTGCATCGAATTACTCAAATTAGGTTTCATTAAATCTAATCTTGTTCTCAGTCTTCTTTTCATGAATAATTCAGCTGGAGTACATTTCGTTGTAGAATGTGGCGTTGTTCGATAAGTTAACAAGAACGATGCCAACTTCTGATTCAGTGTTCCAGGTAATTTCTTTAAAGTTTTCAGTGCAGTTTTGAAGGTACGCACATTTCTTTCAGCCTCACCATTAGAGGACGGATGATACGGACTTGAGAAGATTTGCTTAATTCCATTTCGTATCATAAAATCTCGAAACTCTTTCGATGACAGGTTAGGAGCATTGTCGCTTACCAATATTTCAGGTAGTCCATATTTCGAAAATAAATATCTCAATGCATCAACAGTCTTTTCAGAAGTAGTTGAAGGCATTCTCAACACTTCAGGCCATTTAGAATGAGCATCGACCACCACCAGAAAGTTTTCATTCATTATTGGACCAGCATAGTCAATATGAATTCTTTGCCATGGCTTCGTAGGCCATATCCATGGATTTCCAGGCGTTTTATTCGCAGGACTTCTTACTTCCTGACAATTTGAACAATCTCTCACTTTCTGTTCAATTCTTTCATCAATATTCGGAAACCAAACATGCAATCTGGCTAATGATTTCATCCGAACCATACCAGGATGATTTTCATGCAGTTCATCTAGTACTTCTGCAATATACTTTTCAGGAATAATAACTCTTATTCCCCACAGCAATATTCCTTCTTCCACAGTAATTTCATCTTTCCTCCTGTGGAATGGCAACAATTCATTTGTAATTTCCTCCTTTGCAGGCCAACCATTTATAGTATACAGCAACACTCGTGAGAGCTTTGGATCATTTTCAGTTGCATGGCGGAGCTTTGCAGGAGTTATGGGAAGCGTATGAACTTGGTTTATGTTCATAATCGTTGCCTCTTCTTCCCAACAATCGCGTATTTCAGACTGATCTGTTTTCATGGGCAATCGGGATAATGCATCTGCATTCCCATTATTTTTCGTGTTTCGATAACATATTTCATATTTATATGCAGACAGTTTTATAGCCCACCTTTGCAATCTGGTTGCAGTTAAAACAGGTATACCACGTTTTGGACTCAATAGCATAGTTAAAGGTTGGTGATCAGTCAACAATTTAAAATTTCGACCATATAAATACACATGAAATTTTCTTACACCATATACAATTGCTAGTGCCTCCTTCTCAATTTGGGAATAATTTTTTTCAGCACTTGTTAAAGTACGAGAAGCATATGCAATAGGTTTTTCAGCACCATTTGGCAGTATATGAGAAATTACAGCACCAATACCTACAGATGAAGCATCAGTGGCAAGTACTAATGGTTTTTCAGGGTCATAGTGTACTAGCACTTCAGATGACACCAATATATCTTTCAGTTTCACAAAAGCTTTTTTACAGTCACTATTCCAATTCCATTTCATACCCTTTTTCAGTAACTTATTGAAAGGATCAACAAGGGTAGACATTGCAGGAATAAATTTACGATAATAATTTACAATACCAAGAAAAGATTGCAATTCTTTTACATTTTCAGGGCTAGGGATTTCCATTATTGCTTCAATCTTTTTCGGAGAAGGGTGAATACCTTCTGCATTAACCATAAAAGCAAAATATTCAACAGATGGTTGCAAAAAACAACATTTAGAGCGTTTCAATTTTACACCAAATGAATTCAATCTATATAGAAGATTATCGAGAAATTGCAAATGACTATCATCATCTTTTTCAGTGACAATCAAATCATCCAAAATACAACCCACATTTGGCAATCCCTGGGAATTTTCTCCATAGTTTCTTGGAAAATACTAGGACTAGAAGCTGCCCCATATGGTAACCTTAAATATCTAAATAACCCCATATGAGTATTAATAGTGACATATTTTTGAGATTCGTCATCAAGTAAAACTTGTTGATAAGCTTCTGATAAATCAAGCTTTGAAAATTTCTGCCCCCCATTCAATTTACTAAATAGGTCCTCAGGTCTAGGCAAGGGATATTCAGGGACATCTAATTCAGGGTTTATAGTTACTTTAAAATCCCCACAAATTCTTACTGAACCATCAGCTTTCAATACTGGAACAATGGGTGAGCCCAATCAGAACTTTCAACTTTTTTCAGGACCCCCATATTTACTAGTCTTTTCAGCTCATCCGAAATTTTATCACGAAGAGCAAAAAGGAACAGGACGTGGCTTGTAGAATTTCGGATGGCACTTTCTTTCACCCTTAGTTTAGCAGTTATACCTTTTTATAGTACCAAGGGAATTATCAAAAACAGGGTACTTTTTCAAAATATTCTCAAGCGTGAGCTTGGAAACCAATATGACAAATACGATGCCAATTCAATTGCAATTGGATAACCAATTTCTACCCAATAGTAATGGACCATTGCCACGAACAATTTGCAAAGGTAAATTTACACACTGTGACTCATATTCAACAGTAACATTCACTTTTACCTAAGACAGTAATATTTTCACCAGTATAAGTTGTCAATACAACATTAGATTTCAGCAAAGGCAAATGTTTAAAAATTCTTTTCATACATGCTTTCAGAAATGAGTGACACCCCACTACCGGTATCTAATTCAAATTTACAATCACAATTTTCGATTCTCAGGGGAACTACTATTGGACCATAAGAACTAGACTTAGTAGTAAATACAGGACACATTTCATTTTGAGAACAGTCCGAAGACAGGTTATCATCATTCGTAGGTTGCATGTAGTCACAATTCGAAGACTTTTTACTTTTCAGAGGATTGGAACCTCGATAGAAGTTACGTTGCATTGAGCATTTTCGACTTATATGCCCAATTCGTTTACATTTATGGCACTTTGCATTTCTGTAGAAACAGCTTTCAGCAGGATGATTACTTTTCCCACATCGAAAACATTCTTTGAATTTTCGAATTTCAGAACGCGTTGCAAATCTTTGATTATTTTGAACTTTATGAACTTTTGGTTTATTTTCATCTACTGGCAATTTTTCAAATTTGCAACTTAATTCATTGGCTTGTTTTTCTGCCAATTCCATACCAGTAGCAATTTTCACAGCATTCTGCAGAGTTAGGTCAACTTCAGTTAATAATTTACGTTTCATTCGAGTTGATCTTAGTCCACTCACAAATCTATCTCTTAGTGAATCATTCAAGAACTCCCCGAATTGACAATGTTCAGATAATTTCCTGAGCTGTGCCAGGAACTCATTCACAGTTTCTCCATCATGTTGGATTCTTTCATGAAATTTGACTCTTTCTGCTATCACCAATGGTTTGGGGTTGAGATGCTTGTTCACAAGTTCTTTCAGCTGGACATAAGTTTTTTCACCAGGCTTTTCAGGAGCACATAAGTTTCTGATCAAACTGTAGGTTTGAGCCCCGCAAACGCTTAATAATATGGCTTTCTTTTTATCAGCACTTTCAATCTCGTTTGCTTCAAAATAATGTCCTAGGCGTTCAACATATTCAGACCAATCTTGGCCATTACTATACTCTTCTATTTTTCCAAAAGTAGTCATTTCAGGTATAGTAATTTTTCAGCTATGGAATTTCAGGCTCATAAATTTCAGTCTATAAAGACATTTCAGCTGCTTATATTGCAGACTCTTCTTTCAGGTACTTGTAATAACGTTGATTTGAAACACTTACTGTGACACCGGCATGCAGCAGACCGATCCCATTGTAACAGTTAACGTTATATGGCAGCAGACTAATCCCATCCTCGTCGCCAAATTGTTGTGTATTCTGCCTTTAGATCTTTATAAACAAGCACCAAGTTTCCATTACAACACTACTTTATTATAAGAGTCAAGCACTTCAACATTAAGACACCATAGCAGTAACACCCTAAACAGCAAGTCAGCACCTAACACGTGCACAGATAGAACAAGGTCAAATCAGTCTGGGTCAATAGCGTCACCTAGCGGTATTACATCATAATATACAACAACTTGTCAGTCACATTCAGTTCAATCAACGTTAATTACTTGAGCAACCTATGTCACGAATTTTCGCAAATAATAGCTCATTTCAGGTCCATTTTGTATGGTCATTTTATTTTTTCACTCGTCAACTATTAGGCCGTAAAATTTCATTCATAACTTTATAGAAATAAATGCTAACGTTCTATTTTGGGGGATGACGCTAAAAACCTATTTCAGCCCCAAATTCTACGCATGAAAACTGATAGTCCGGTAATTAAAAAAAAACGTTTTTTTTTTAATGTTTGTTTAGTAGGCTAGAGGATTTAGAGCTGATTTAATTATCTCTAGTCCTAACGTTTACTTGTATAATTTCCCAACAAAACAATACCAACACCATTATTATTGATAAGAGTATCGGCATGTTTCGATATTTACTAATATCGAAAAGTTTCATAATACCACTCATTCTAAGCTTTAAATGTCACCTCGCGCCGCGGACACACTGATATAATTCTGTAATTCTTCAACGAAAATCCTTCGGAAATGATGAAATTCAATAAATCTTGCAGTTTATCCGACCTAGCAAATTTTCTGCTTAAAAATCCTTCTCCGGTAGGTTTTCGTAGTCGAATTTGAATGACCTGAAAACATACAAAGCAACAATGTGGCGCACCGTGCTAAGCGTTAGGAATACAATCGCCACCGCACCTCTGGTTACCTTGTGTGGGTTTGCAGGTTCGAATTCCATGCGGGGTTGATCATGTGAGGAAGGATTGCTGGACTCTTCGCCGCCGTAGGGTGGTTTACGTAACCGCGGGTCGGTTATAGCTTCCATCAACATCAAGTCCATGCATCTGAAAAAAAAAATAAATGGCTAACTAATCCAATACCCGACATGGACTGGTAATCGGACGAGAGCCCGTGGTTCGCCATATGATTAAGCCGTTTTATCGGCTTTTCTTTTCCCCAGGATAAATAATTATGCAAATCCTATCCTATATTATACCGGTTTTACGGAATCAGTTTCTTATTTATAAAAATGGCGACTTTTTGTTTCCTTCCACATATTCCTATTTTCAATCGTAAACGGTTTTTACTGACTTTGTTTAAAATGAACATTCTGGACCTATAGGATTTTTATTTTCACGAGTACGCACTGTTTGGAAATGGAAGAGCTATGAAAAAGACTATTATTTTTGCGAAATCTTAACATTTGTCGAATGCTTGTGGATGTTTTTTATATGACGATAAAAGTTAAACTTTATGAAAACCTTTTTGAATTGTTAATTCAACTAACCACACATGAGTCATCTTGAGAGTGATAGTAAAATTATAGACTTCATTATTCAAACAATCTCAGCAGAGCTTACATTTCTTGAATGGTTTGGCTCCTTTCTCAAAGATGATTTCATTTTTGAAGATTCCGCTTTTAGTTTTCTTTGTTCTTTTATTTCGAGTTCTCTTAATTTATTTGCGTTCACTTTGTTCATTTTCTTTAATCTTGATTCTTCTTGTCGCTTTTTAGCCTGTACATTTAGATTTTTGGTGACGGCATATTTCACTAAACTATTTCTAAGTTTGAATAAACCACATATATTATCTATTTTAAACGCATACATTATTTGATCGGGGTGTGCAAGCACCGCTAATGGGTGCGAGAACGCTGAATTGTCAAGTTAAGGTTGAAGGCGCTCCAAAAGTGTGTGTACCAATATAGAGGTAACTAATTTTGTTTGCCTACTTTATATCAAGTTATGTAGAGGGACTAAAACCTATGGGCAGGGGGTATATTTACTTGGCTAACGCAGACAGTCCCCGAACTCGTAATAAAACTGAAATAGGAAAAATCGGAATAAAATTATGGCCTAACCTGGTACACACACTACGGAAGTACCTCAAGAAATAAACATAACAATCAAAGATATAGCACAGTTATGTGTACACACTTATGTAGCCTATCGCAATCAGAAAATAATGCAATGTTCGTGTTAATTACAAATTATGAAAACAATTTCCGCAGCAATTCTACAAATTGTGTAGGAGAACCGGTTAGAAAGGAAAAAGGTTTAAGAACTACCGTCTCAACTTTAGAAAATAGCCTAAGTAATATACGTTGTGACCTGGGGAAGTCTAATTTTTGTCAGACGAAACTTTACAGAAATACATTTGTGTTAGTGTGCAGCGGGACTTTTGAATTGCATAGTATATATAATATTATACAGGGTGTTCATAAAGTGCTCTTACAATTTCAATTTTGTTTTGAAGTCAGTTCTCAATATATTTTAACCAAGTTTTTTGATCAGTAATTGTTTAAGTATATTTACTTCCTTTAATACATCTGTGAGGGCCAAAAAATTATATGGTATCGATAAATTTCTTTTGCAATTTTTAACATTTTTAGGACATTATGGACACCCTATATATATCAGAACTTGCTTAGTATGCGAGTGAATAAATGAGGTTGACTAATATATTACTAGTGTATTATTAACTATCGCAATTTTATACTTTTTCTTGGTCTGCTTTTAAAGATTCTTCGAATTCCTTTTTCTGTTGTTCTAGAATGCTATTCCGTATGGCTCTCTGTTTCTGGAATAATTCAAGGAAAAAATATATCAAGACGACACAAAAGAACGATGCTCAAAATATCGTTTTATAGGTATGGTAAGATCTCAGCTGAGCACCGAGTTTGTTGAAGATATCGGACAAGTGTGAAGGAGGCAAACAAGCGCGACAAAATAAAGTGTTCCTAAATTACATAAAAAAGAGTTTCTATGAATTAAAATATATTTACGTCAAAGATTTTGTGAGATATCGGCTCCCTTGTATAAATGGAAAAGAGTAAATATAATGATCCTTCTAGCGGCTTCAATAATCTTCATTGTCCGTTGCAGACAATGCAGAGAAAGGCATTTTCCCCCCAAATAACAGCGACCACCACGAAAACAGAAAGACTTTAGTAAAATAATCCAGACCCACTTCGTGTCCAACAAAGAATTAGAAAAATAACGTAAAGATGAAGACAAAAAAAAAATGATTATCGCAAAAAAGAAATTTAATCTGCAGCCATGCTTACATCATTCTCTTTGACAATTTTTCTCGCTTGTTCTGCGAATACCACTTGTTCAGACAAAGCTGCAACAAATTCTTCTGTGTTTGTGTTACCTGTCGTAAATGCGAGTGTGAGAATAAACTGAAATCTGTCACAACATTGGTCATTCATAAACTAAGACGTAGTATGTCACAATTTTTGGTGAAAGAACATACATTCGCACGAAATAACGTATGTGCTGGGAATATACGACTTGCTTAGCTGCTCTAAAATTAAAACCACGGGGAAATGCTACCTAAAACATTCAGCGACTGACGATTTTAATAGTATTGGAGTTGCGGTGAAATGCTATTTGAAACATTTTACGTCTAACGCTTTTAACAGTGTTGAAGTTACGACGAAATGCTTCTTGAAATATTTTTACGACTGACGCTTTTTACCAGTACCTGTAGTAAATTGTTTCATTTTATTAGCCTATCACACTGACTTAAATAGCATTTTGCCGTAACTTTTAATAATGTTAATATCCGTTGATATCCCAGAAACTGTGGCGAAGGACCCCAGAATTTGTCCGGTTCGGACAGATTGTATACTCTATCCATTATACCCAGAGCGAGACAGTGTGCAAATGATTTGAATGTGAGTTTGTTAACTCGCAATGCCGTCATAGTAAAGTCCTACGCTCTAGATTAGAGTTTGCCAAACTTTTTGGGCCGCGGAACCCTATTTGTGAATCTTAGTTTTGGCGGACCCCCATCCTATGTCGTATAAATTTCTGTGCCTAACCAACGAGTAAGGATAATGTTTCATTTACAACACAAACGACATTAATGTGATAATGAGGTTGCTTTTCACTGCATTCTCGGAGTAATTTGTGACAAGCAAACTTGTAGATCCGTCTCCGGGACAAGTCTCGACCTGTATTTTGTCATCATATTGGTAGGGCTGAAAATGCTGCCTCACACACGTAAGTCGTTGCAGAAGGCAATAAAATTTTTAATTGCTTTTTCTGGCAGCAATGGATATTCGTCCGCGACGCTCAACCAAAAATATGCAATTGCATTTTGATTGAAATCAATCATTAAATATCGATCGGACTATTTTCATATAGTTGTGGACCCCCTGTGCAGTTATCACGGACCCCTGGGGGTCCGCGGACCCGAGTTTGGGGAACCCTGCTCTAGATTAATCAATTACTTTGAAATCGTGGCCAAGATAAAAACTAATGCGCAGTGCATTTATATATAATAACCAGCGAAACAGTATGTAAGCAATGCTCAAAATCAATGTGCAGTCATGCCAGTAAAATAATAAACAGATATATACAATGCAAGAAATATGCGAAAAAGCAAAGAACACAATTTTACTGGGTAAGGGAAGCCGCAGGGAACCAAAGTAGGTTAGCGACACCCAAGGTCCTGCTACCTAATTAAATTTTGGTGAGAAATCGTCGCGACACTAGGTGTATGTATTTTGTATTCACTCACCCTCTAGTCGTTTTTCTACTCGGCATCTGTTATCTCTGCATCGAAGTATCAAAACCATCGGATATCGGTCCTTGTGAGCTCGGGTGACGTCATACAATGTACCACGATCTAAGTAGTTCGAAGCTTTGCCTAAAAATCTTCGAAACGAAACTTAGAATGGATTAAGGTTATTAAAAATGAAAAACCATCGGCAATTTTTCATCAAGCGCTCTGAGTATTAGCTCCTAACTATATTTCACGGTAAGATGGCGGACACCGGAACGTAGCATGTGTACCAGGTTAGGGTTGGGACATAATTTTAATCCAATTTTACTTATTTTGGTTCTATTGCGATTTCGGGGACTAGCCAAGTGATTCCCGTAGTATCTGTACCTAAAATTTTGGCCTAATCCTAACCTGGTACACATACTACGTTCCTATGTACGCCATCTCGGTTCGCATACTTCAGGAGTACCCTTTCAAGTATATAACATCCCTCAAACCTTGAATGCGCCTTAGCACATTCACTGATTCGATGGTGATTTTAATATATATATAATTCAACCTATGGTTGTGGTATCGAAAAGTCATGGCAAAAATCAACAGTTGCTGATCGGTTACGGCTTATTCCCCATATAAACTGGCTAACTGATCCGATACTCAAGATTGACTGGTAACCTGGCGAGAGGCCGTGGTTCGCCATATAATTTCGCCGTCCTATGGACTTTACTCTTCCCGGTATAAAAAAGATATCTTTTTCCTTTCCAACAATACCTTTGTTTATTACTCTCCTCTGTCACATCCCAGGCCCACGTGACAAATCGTTTATCTAGAATGTCCAGCGTGACATCAGTGCAAAGTTGCTGAATGCAAAATCGATCAGAATTCAATGATCCGTCATTGTGAAGATAAATTGCTGAAATGAATAATTTAAGTTTAAATTCGAAACAAAAATTTGAATATGAAGAATGAATTTGGCGTTTTGTAATTTTACTAATGAAATATTCAGGGGTAAAGAGATTCGGGGTAAACAATTCGTAAATTTGGCGCTCCGAAGTATGCGTATCAAGATGGCGCACAACCTGAACCTCAAACTGGTACAATACCATGGTCAGGTTGTGCGTCATCTTGGTGCACATACTTCGGGAGCACCGTGAATTTACCACGACCAGCTTAACCATGCTTTCCGATGATAATTGTTGATTTTAAAAAGTATTTCGGTGTACAGGGTGCTGTCCATAAGGTCCCTTTACAATTTCAATTTTGTTATGAAGTCCGCTCTCAATATATCTCAACCAGGTTTGTTGTTTTTAGTCAGTAATTGTTAGTTGTACAGTTGTAAGTATTTTTACTTCATTTAATATAACTGTGAAGATTAAAACAATATTTGGTATCGATAAATTACCTTTGGAACTTTAAAAATTTATCTTTATGCACACCCCGTATTTTCCCAGCAACTGTTATTGATACATAGGCTATTTAATATGCTAAATTTATCTATATAAATTTTATATTGAGGATTATATTGAAACAAAGTTAAGTCGAAATAGAACCGATTTATATAGAAAAACTGAGATCTGAGAGTATCAAGTGTTTCGAAAATAGACGCCCACGTAACTCAATATCTAAAATATATATTTAGCTCTCAAATATATGACAGCAGTGGTGTTCAAATTAAAAGGATTTAATTTAAAGGATTGCTTTCAACAAAAATATCACAGATTTAGCGAGATAATTATTTCTATTTTACACGACATACCCAGCAATCGTTCATCATCTAAACCTTTTCCACAGGCTTGATTGACAGCGTTCTGGAGGCTTCCAGTAAAGAATCGAGGACACATCGACCCAAACCGTGATCGAAATTCCCGCTGAAAATGTATTGATGCCAATTCATCGTCTTTGATGTTCGAAGGTACTGCAAAATGGAAACAGTTTAACTGGATAGATATACACTTGCATTGCTTGATTTAGGACATAAGATTCTCTGAGCCAAATCCTACAAAATATTTTCGGCGCTCCCGAAGTATGTGCACCAAGATGGCGCACAACCTGAACCCCAACCTGGTACACATACTATGTTCAGGTTATGCGCCATCCTGGTGCACATACATCTGGAGCTCCATATTTTCTTATTAATTTCAATATATTCATTAAGAATACTCGAACTAGAGACAGTGGTTCATTTTGAGATAAACAATTTTTACTGGTTTTCTGGTAACATCTTTTCAGTTTTTTTACGATGTCATTAGATAGGTCATTATTAAGAATTTCTCTTTGTATTATTGTTGGATTTCACATCGTTCAGAATTATCAACTTCAGAAATGAATGAAATTTGCTTGTTTGGAACAAACATAAATAATAAAGAGCCGAAGGGGCTGTGATACATTCCATCGATTCCATGAATGGAAAATTCAAGATCGTACTAAATAAGGCGAAATAGGAGGTACTCCCGTAGTGTGTGTACCAGGTTAGGGGTATGACATAATTTTATTCCGATTTTCCTTATTTTAGTTTTATTACGAGTTCGGGGACTGTCTGTGTTAGCAAAGTAAATATATCATAGGTTTCAGTCCCTCTACACAACTTGACGTGAAGTAGCCGAAAAAATTAGTTAAATCTATATCTCTAGAGCGCCAAATAGGCTATGTGTAGCCAAATATCTGCAGTTCAGACATTCTACACATCTCGAAAGCCAACTTACAAAGTCCTTTCCTTGACAGCAGTTCAACTCTCCGACTTTTCCTTTGTTGAGAATTATCTCTCGGCCGCGGAGCGATTTTCAACCATTTTTTGTTACTTTTGCTGAGCATTTTAAGGTCTCCAATTTTATAATTCGAATGAACAACTCTTTTTGTCCTTAATTTTTCAAACTCGTTTTGGGCTATAGATTGAATTTTCTGCAAAAGTGAATCCCAATTTGTGACGTCATAATTATAGTATGAACTATACTAATTCGAATTCGGATGCGCTTTAACAACAAATTTTTGAATAGCGTGAAAATGAGAGAAAAAAAAATCTGTTATGATACCAATAAAATGTGGCCGACAAAAATTATCTAAATCGTGAGAACGACAATGAATTGTCGATATTGATAAGTTGGAAAGGCGCGAACAAATGTAAATGAGCTTCAAATACAGGCACGGCGCATGTTTGTATGTATGTACGAGAAAGCACTAAAGCTAAAATATGAAATACAGGGTACAACATGAAATTTCCGATGATATACTGGCGTATACATCCGTATCTATGTCTCAGAACCAGTTTCAATGTTTGTTAAATTAAACAGGTTCTTGGTAACAAAAGGACGAAGCGCAACTTTGCAAACTTAATATTAACCTTGCAATCTCTGGGTGAGTGCGAACCACCTTATATAGAGCTCATATATTGCGCCATATGATGTTCTTTAAGTACAAAGGTCAATTCAGCCCCAGTGTTGCCTTGTTAATATGTTTAGTAAGCGCAAACACACTGCTCTGCCGTCGCACATACTCTCACGAAATCAAACAATCATCGATGCTCTTGAAGTATGCGCACCAAGATGTCGCATAACCTGAACCCTAACCTGGTACACAACCTGAGTTCAGGAGCGTAATTTTGTTTCCTGACTACTAATTGACTAGTTATATATTAATCTGACTCCAAACAGAATATAGTATAGGTTACGTGTTCAGTTGAGTTTGAGATCTCTGTTAATTTGATATAACAGCCAAGGATCAGAAAGGTTTACCTGTACAATTTTATTTCTTTCGACAATATATTACAATAATTTAAATCAGCATAGACAAATTACACTTCCATGTCTCTCTCTGTACAATTTTATTTCTTCTGAGTTCGGGTTGTGCGCCATCTTGGTGCACATACTTGAATAGGTCCCAATTATCAGTATCTATGTTTTAGGACCAGTTTCGATGTTAGTTTAATCAAAAAGGTTTGTGAGAACAACAGGACGAAGCGCTTTCAAAATTAAAAAAATTAAAAATGAAACTTTTACTTGAATCTCATGTTTCACAGCAGAGATGAGCAAAGATACTGGTCAAAAACTAAAAAATAGAAAGAAAGGTGTTGTAGACCTAATACCGGGGCAACCCATCCTTCACAAATTCAATATTACTCAGGAACTTTATTGGGAACTCCCGTAGTGTGTGGGATGGGCCATAACTTTATTCTAATTTTCAATATTTTAGTTCTATTATGAAATTTATGAGTCGGGGAGTCTCTGTGTTAGCCAGGTGAATATATCCCTTGCCCTTAGGTTTCAATCCCTTCCATTCATCCCCACACAACTTGATGAATAGTAGGGATGGCGGAATCAGGCCGGATTCGATTACAGAATCAATTCTTCGCGGAATCAATAGAATCGATTCCAATACAATAAAATCGATCCTCAGGGTTAAAACCTGGATTGCAAACAATGTTTAGCGTTTTGTGACAAGTCCGTCATATATATGTATAAACTGCTATACTGCTATGTTGAGTTGCTGCGACACCGCAAACTTCATTATATATAAGTTATATAATATGCATATATATAGTTTTTCGCTGGGGGGCTTTTGCGTTTATTTATTTCAAAAATCTCTATGGGTTCTGAGAGATTCGTTTTGTGTACTATTTTCTCTACTGTGGCAGATTGAATACCCATACTAATTGGTTTGGGCTTTCGTGTCCATACATTTGAAACTTGATCTTTCGTTTGATTTCATATAGGGTTATAGGGTATTGTTTAGGTGGGTAGGCTATGTCCAAGAATCGAGATTCGGAATCGAGAATCGAAAATTTAGGAATCGAATAAGAATCGAATACTTGTAAGTATTCATACTTAGCATCCTTAATGAAAAGTAGACGAACAAAATTAGTTACTTCTATATTGGTACACACACTTCTGGAGCGCACTTTTGTGTTATAACTTTCTCATACACGTGACAAATACAAATATAACCCTGACTCTGACTACTCAGGGTTAAACGACAATGTGTTTTATAAGTATTTCAATTTCCGTAGATTCAAACCAAAGGACGGGAAATTCAAGAAGATATTAATAAAGCCCAAAGAAATTTTTCGAAACCAGAGAACCAGAAAATCAAAAGTAAACGTGACCAGGCTATAGTACACCAGTAAGCATTGCTTCAATATATATTCGGATAGTTCGACACTGTCACAAAAAGGTGGGCGAAAAAAACGCAGTTTCCATGCACAAATGTTGTAAAATACTCCGGAAAAGAAAAAGAAAAATTGCGCCAGTTTCTATGCCACCATGTACATAAATACCCATAAACTAGATCAAATTGGGAGTAGAAAAAATGCTTGCATATAATCCGAGATAAAGCACGAATTTATTTGTTAACCAGAAACTGAAATTGGAAACAAGTCAATGTTTTTTCCACCCGGGGTCATGAGTCGTAGTCAGGGTCAAATTTTATGACGATATTTAAATTAAGACAAATATATTTTTTATTTCTTGAATCTTTACCAAACAGAGGTGTTCGGAGCGTTTCCGAAAATCAGCAATAATTCATACTAAGCATAATCAAAGTTTGAATAATCAGGAGACTGAAAACATTGAAACTTGATAAGCTGTGTTAATTAACCACATTTATACGATAAACATACAACGATTACAGTTATATGAACGCATGGGTAAAGGCGAACACGCAACAGTTTCGGAGTTGTTGTGACATGGTTTATATGAACTTTTCATAACATATATGTTCAAGAACATCGACGCGGGAATTAGTTACAGAGCGAGGTAGTGAAATGTATCCTTCAAAACGATCGGTCTGCCGGTCAAGACATCTCAGACATAGTGCCAACTGCCAACTAAATCGTTTGACATAGATTTAAATAGCTTTACATTTGAGCGGATAAGCATTTTTAAAAAAGACTAGTAGAAAAGATATTTAATTCAAACATTAGTAAAAATTTGTTATTTCGATGAGCTCATATATGATTGTCTATTTTTATAAAAAATTCGATACAACCATAGAAAATATAAAATAAAAATGGAGGCAATTATATGGCGTCGGTACAGAAATCCCCTCGGACATGAGATCTGCGATCGTGAGCCCCGTCATGAACCTTGCAACACCCACGACAGAGCTGCAATGGTAAATGTATTCTGAATGCATAAAACGCCTCGCCCGCCGTTTGGTGAAAATTCTAACCGTTATATTAGCTCTCGCTTCCATTTCTGCAGTAGCCTAATCAATGTTATTTAGGTGGGGAAATAGGTGTTTTTTTAGTCAAACTTATAGAAAAAGTAATTTAATTTAATCGAGTAGCTCAGATATGAGGTCAGTTGGGGTGACAGTGACTAGAACTGTTTGAATAAATCAGAGGTGACGAACCTGCGCCCGCCAAAGAATTTTGTGTGGCCCGCGAAACATTCAGGCGATTCATTGCATGTTTGGCTTGATGTAATAAACCGTCAGGGACTGTCACGGAAATCGGTTAATTGCGAAAGGATGGATTTGTTTATAATTTCTGTATCTGAAGGATTGCGAAATATGTCTCTTTTGGAGAAAGCCCCTCGAAATTTGAGAAAATCACCACGTTCTGAAATAACAGATTAGTAATTATACAAATTTGAGTTGGGTTGCGCGAGACTAACTTCCTATCTTTTCTCTATGCCTTTATGCTAGTGGATCCGTATGCGTATACTGCAAGGATACTGTAGCTGGAATAAACATGACTATTCTATTCAATTAAAGAGTCCAGCTGCACACTAACACAAATGTATTTCTGTAACGTTTCGTCCGACCAGAGTCAGACTTCCTCAGACAAGCAGTTTACCAAAATTGAATAGAATAGTAATTATACAGTTGCGGTTTGGGTTAGAAATGATTTGAAAATTTCAATTTTCGACCCAATCTGCATTCCTAGCTCTTGCCCTAAAACCGTAACTCGATTATTATTTTTTATTGCGAGGGCGGTGGTGTTTTATGGCGGGGGTTTGGTACATAAGATCCCTAAATAGTTATCTGAAGCATTATTAACTAACATTTTGCTTATTAACCCGAAACAAAATTTCATAAAGCAAGGTTAGATAAGACTTGAAATACATTCAAGGGCGCCGTCGGAATTAGAAAAAGGGTGCGTGTGTACATCGGAAGAAATCTGGAAATTTCCATGAAACGATCGCCGCAATTAGGCAGGCCACTTGTGAGAAAAGCCATTTTTCCGACAGATAATGTTTGTTCTGTTATGTTGTCGGGTATTTTGCAGTTGCGTACAAAGTATTTAATAGACGACTAATCCGAGAAATTCATAATGAGTTTCAAATGTAATGTGTTAACTTGTCCTAATATAAAGCGCTAGGTAAAGCAAGAAAATTCTAAAACATGCATTGAACGTTCTATTTTCATTTTATGCTGCAATATATCATTGAATACCTTCGGCAGCATGAATGCAGTTGTTCGTTTTTGTTGATGAAAATTAACATAATATGACTAAAAACTTGTACTCAGCTGATAAAATGGCGCGATAGCAAATGGGTTCGTCATCCCTGGACTAAATCATAAACAAATTTGAATTACTTTTCTTACCGTTTTGTAGATTACGGTTTACGGCTATATATATATATATATATATATTTTTTTTTATCATTGAGACGAAATGGATTGCCAGATGTCAAGCAAACCAATGGCTTTTATTTGTCGGATAAAGGAGCAATTCGTTAATCTTTCACCTTTATTTGTAATCTTGGATCTTGTGACGGACTGGATGACATTCGTCAAATATTGTGAAGAACAATCTGCTACAGTTATCGCTTTGTCGCTAATATCGTTACTTCTTGGATTATGTTCGAGCATTCCGGTTTTCCATTTTCATTATTATTATGTTCTCGCGTGCAAGTATGGCCACGAAGAGTATAAAACGAAAATGAAAAGGTTGATTGAAATATCCTTGTACCTGGAGATCATAGTCGAGTCTTTACCCCAACTATGTATCAACTTGTACCTAATGAGCAAATGTTCTTATTTACATCCGATAAACTACATTTCTGCAGCCATTTCACTTGCTACAGTTTACAAAGGAAGTGTTGAAATGCGATTTCATTACATTAAAACTTCCCCTTTAGATTCGAAAACATTTTTTTATTTAATTTTAGAAATATTAGAACTTACTTGTGGCTTGTCTATGTTGTCCGAAAATTAAGATGGTTTCTTTATTTTGCGTATTTATCAACATAATTGTTCAATTTTCATGGTATATAATTGATATGAATAATTGGCATAAAATTGAAGCTGCTACCCGTACATTCAGAACTTTTTTAAAATAAATTACATCCGATTCCTTTAAAAGACTCGTCGCATTTGGTTCTGCCTTTCTGGAATGGCCAAACTCACGATCAGATTCTTTATTTACCCTTCTGTAGGTAGGACTTTATTCGTTTCTTTAGCATACGAATATAAAGGGACTGAAACCTATGGACAGGGGGTATATTAACTTGGCTAACACAGACAGTCCGCGATATCGTGATAGAACTAAATGAAGGAAAATCGGAATAAAATTATGATCTAACCCTAACCTGGTACACGTATAACGGGATTACACCCCTTTAACGCCATTGACCGGGTTACCAGAACTGCCAGTTCATTTTAAGCGCTGCGCGTCTCGTGGGTACTTTATCGCGAGAGCTGTACTGTGGCTTAAAACATATTTAATAAAATTTTCAAGGCAAATTATGAAGTATCGATATAAAAGACTGTTTCTTTTTTGAGGGAGTATTTTTGGCGGAGGATAGCCTTCTCGGAAGTTTAATTTTTCGACAAGAAATTACCACAGCTTGTGAGAAAATTTTCCCAGCGGTGCATTTTTTTCGCTGCTGCCATGGAAACGAAACACCAAGGCAAATATTACTGGGATGCCAGAATGACAATTGGGCGAACTACAATTTTCTTCAAAACACTTGTTATTTGATCGCTGGTTAACCTGTGGCACCATATTCCTGTAAAAATTACACTCACTTTTAATAAAATAAAACTATGAATAAATTTAAAAAATATATTTTTATTCAAATAAAACAACAGTGGAGTAGCTAAAAATAATCAAATTTTGCTTCAGAACCTAAAATACAAATTATTATCACTTTCATATTTGTTTGAGATTCAATGCTAGTAATAAAAACCTCAAAAACCCAGTGAAATATTCTACAGTTTTTTCTTAACATTAATCTGTGCAAATATTTATGTCCATTTAGGTAAATCAACTCTGAAATAGGTCAGTAACGTAAAATCGAGACTGAATTCAGTCAGAAATGAAGGCTAATTTATAAAAAAAAAATCATAAAAACAGTGGCACATTCTACAGTTTTTTCTAAATGAAATAAAATTGTAACACAAAGCATTGCATGAAACTTTGGCACATGAAGAGCAGGCTTGCGTCTTTTAAATAGGTAAAAAGTTTAATGGTAAAAAGCACAAAATATCAATAGATGCTCTAAATAAGAAATTTGCTGTTTTGGTATTTTAACCTTTTTATACAAGAGTAACCTAGAGTTTATATTTCGTGTTATATTAAAGATTTTTTTATGGTTAACGAGTGCAAATGATTGTTCAAAAATCGTTTATACACTGATATAATTTACAATGCAGCATTAATGTTTTTATTGGCTCTTATAAATCCAACATCCTAATTTCAGGGTTCATTTTTGGAAAGCGAGATTTTGTTAGGAAAGGACTTCTTCATATCGTTATCATTTGTTAAGTATTAGCCTGTCCATTATTCATTCTAACTATACATTCTTACCAAGAAACAGGAATAATATACAGTGGTGAGTGCTTACTACAGTAAAATATATCTACAGAATTGGAGGTTTATTCAATGCAAACACTGGTAACAGTGAATAATAATCTCAGAAGCAGTAATTAGGCAATGATATACTTAGGTAAATGTTCTCATAATTGTCAAGCTATGACATAAAAAAATGACATCAGAGGAAATTTAATTTCTTAGCTTGAATGGTTTTAAACTTGTGTTCTATATATAGATTGAATATACAAATTCTCCAGAAAAAACTAAATAACTTAGCTGAATTACTTGGCTCAAACGCACAGCAGTTACAAACTTTTTTTTTATCTATACATTTAAGATATTGCTATAAAAAATATGTATTCAATTCTTCAAAAAAAGACTAACTGACAGCATTTTGACATTTGGCATCCGTGAGTAATTAAGTAAAACTTTATCTTGAAATAGATCGATGATACTTCTTACAAGTTGAAATAAAGAAATGAGCGAAAAAATGGCACTTTGAAAAAATTTATCACCGTTTCTCTTGAAATTGTTGATTGATCACATAATATAGATGGCAAGCATCTGTCTCTGCAATTCAATTGCCGTAAATCCGATATGGGAATCTGGTGCTAAGTTAGTTTATTAATAGTATACCATATTTTAAAGCAAAAGCACATTTGTCACACACCTAACGGCAAAATAGAAAAACCTTTTAAAAAAAAATTAAAATTTTTATTTTATAAATAATAATAGATTTATGTTGAGGGTCTCTATAAAAATAATTCAAAGTTTGCCAAAAATCATTAAAGACCGCAAGAAATTTATATAACACAATCTATACATTACTTAATAACATAAATAAATTACTCTAAATAAATTCTCTTAAAATACATTTAAAAATTTGGCACAAACTCAATAAAAAACACTATTAATATCTATATATTACTCAATAAAAAAAAATGTTTTGCTCTAATAAATGTGGAAGTTTGAATAAATTAAAGAGTATTTTAAAATAAAACAAACTCATTAAAAACCCCTATAACTATCTATGTAATACTTAATACCAAAAATATCTTGCTCTAATAAATGTGCAAAGGTTCAAAAATAAATTTCTCTTTAATTACATTTAAAAATTGGACTCTTTGTAATAGCGGTCACTACAACTATTTATTTAGTACTTATTTTTGAAAAATCTTCGTTCTTTAAATGTGGAAATGTTCAATGAGAAATGTTTAACTACACACAAACACTACACGACTAATAATATTAGTTTTTCTCTTTCAATATTTCTACTCTCGTATCGTCTGAATCCTCTCTCCACCACCAGATTCTGACATCGTTGTCTTTGCTTGCAGAAAGTAAATATTTTTCTGTCCACTGAAGAAGAAATATATGTATATAAGTCATAATTATTGTAGGTGGTTGTCAGTGGCCTGGTCGTTTAGAGAATTAACTATAATGATATTGTAAGATGTTATCCCGGTTCCAAATCTCATGGTAGAAACTTCACCCAATGTGTAGCAAATAGGGTTGGCCAAGGATAAAGCCAACAGCCCTAAAGAGGCTAAAATTTTGAAAAGAAAATATGAACATTATCACAAAAAAAAAATTACGAAATTACTTACCAAATAATATTCCTGAGTAAATTAAAACTGCTTTATTTATTGAACTGAATGTATTTGCTGCTTTGTATTTAAGGAATATTTAAATTGCGGTTCAATTGAAGTTATTGTCCAAATTTAATGGAGCCATTATTGCTTCTTCAGACAGTTACAAAATTAGAAGAGTCAGTTTTTCGATAGCTCGAGGAGCCCCTAGGTTTCGCTTGTCTGCCCTGGGGTCATGAATAAAGCACTTTAAAAACCCATGAGGTAGGCATACCCAACCAGCAAAATTCTGGCACTTGTGAACTATCGTTGCTTCCTGCCTAGACGTGGCTACTTTGCAGAGCCTTGTTCAGGGTGAAAGGCATATTAACACATAAAAAACAAGAGAACAATATTCCAATAATAGAACAAGAAGGTCAAATGACAAATATAATATTAACCACGCTTCCAAAAACATGTTACCTACGGTAACTAATCCCATACCGGACAAGAAAAGGTAACCGGACAAGAGGCTGTGATTCCCCATATGGTTAAGCCGTCTTAAGGGCTTTCCTCTCCCCCGGGATGAATATGTATAACCTATCCTATCCTAATCAATGCAATGTAAACAAAATTCCAGGCCAATGTTAAAAGTGCTGTACCAAATGTCTTGAAAAATTGTAAAAAATGTCATATGAAGGTGTATTATGGTTGAAAAAACATTAAGAATTTGAGTAAATACAAGGCATCATAGAACTAGGAAAAAATTGCGGTCTATAAAATTTAAATAGGGGATTATACTATAAATAGTCAGAAAACAGGGCAGTTTAAAAGCAGGGCAGTGTATAGGCAGGAGGAGAGCCCAAAAATAGGGGGGTCCAAGCACAGAGCCTCAACATATGGTAAACAGGGGATATAAAAACACAACGTCGATAACAAAACGATGCAATTCACAGATATTTTGAATTTCTATTCACAAAAACATCATAAAAATTTGAAATGTCGATAAAGTGCACTGTTATGCTGACCTGAGAACAGCTTGTGTTTTATATATCTTCAACGTGAATATACAAGGTTGCAATCATGCCATATCGTCAACATATTTAAGTTGTCTAATCCCAGTCTATTCTGGGTCAGCTAAGCAGTTTATTCTGGTCAAATTCGCAATCAAGTCAAGTTCTATAATTCCATTTACTTATGGTATTATTACACTGTTCTTACCAGGACATCAGTAACAGCATCGGTATGTCCTTGGAATATTCTTACTGCTAACATTGAAGTCAGATCCCATTCTTTAATTAAAGCATCTCTAAATCAAAGAAGAGATGAAATTAAATAAATGCCCATTATTCTGGTAAGGGTAGAAAAAGAAGTAGGGGCGTTTACCTTATATCTTCGCATATACCCCGATCTCTTAAAAACGGCTCTAAAACACTGAATGTATAAAACTGCATGATATCTTACAAATCGAAACCTGCCATATGTATCTATCACAGCAAATGGTTGCAGAAGAGAATTAATGGGAATGGTAAACATTATTGTTTATGTAATATGTTTACTTTCATTAATAACAGTGAGAAGTGTCTTGATACTTCAAATTTGTCCTCACTATCAAATCCTTTTGTGCACATATATGGCAGATTTTTAAAGTGTTCAGATTCCTTAGTTTGGCAATTTTTTTGGAGTTTCAATTTTAGCCTATTATATGCAAGGATATACAATAATTAGAGTGGGCAACAAGCATATGAAGTGAGATTCATCATATGTTCTTAGCTAGGATGAATATAAAGAGGATATGGTTGAACCTAGGATTCATACTGGTGGGAGATGTGTGGGAAATGAAGTTTGAAAAAAAATTACCGTACAACTGCAGTGAAATTGGTAAAAATTATAGAGAAAGCCATTTTCTTGTGTAAGAGTCGTAACAAAAACAGTTATTCATTTGCAATATTATGATAAGATTTACATATTTATCCCGGAAGAGAGGAAACTCGATAAGACGGCTTGTTCATATGATGAACCACGGCCTCTCGTCCGGTTACCACTCCTTGTCGGGTATGGGATTAGTTAGTTATTTGTTTTCAGATGCATGGACTTAATGGTGGAGGATGCCGTAACCAACCAGCAGTCACGTAAAACACCCTACAGCGGTGAAAGTCAAGCAATTGCCTCACGCATAATTGACATGGGATTCGAACATTCAAACCCACACAGAGTAATCAGAGGTGTGGTGGCGTATTCCTAACGCTTAGCACGATGTGTCACACCGCCGAGCCAATATTCTCATTTGTGAATACTTACTTTGATGCAGTGAAGAATGTCGGTCCATGCATACATATTGCATTGATCTGAGACTCGTGTGCCACTAGCATACTAACATGCTCTTCAGAATCACTCGCCATTGACCAGAAATAAATTATTCCGGTTGCATCTCCGCTTAGTAAGAGATCATGCTGTTTCTGAATGCAAGAGAAAGGAAAGATATTGAAAGTTTAAGTTACACAGGGTGGTCATAAAGTCCTGTTTTAAATTAGAGGAGGTAGAATACAGAAGGTAACGAGTGTTTAGCCCTAAATATTAGCTCTTGCAGAGGCAGCTTGTCCTAAGCCTTATTCAGAGCGGAAGTATGAAAACCAACCCATGATAATATTCTATAGAATTCCTACCTTCAGAGCTGTGACAGGACCTTGATGTCCAGTAAATGAACGAACCAATCGACCAGTGAAAGAATTGTTTACATGAATCATTCTGAAAAATGAATAAGAAAATCAGACAACAAAGAAGGGAAGGAAATATTGCCAATGCACACATAGAATTCAAAATAATGTAGTAACCAAAGTCTCCCAACCCTGATTTAAGCCGAGTCACAAGCCACCAAAGCTTCCGGTCTAGTCAATCACTGAGTTATGCCTCCCAGGTGAGTAGTTAATGATTAGTCTAAACCCATTTCAATTAAATGATCGAATTACTCTGAATTTTCGATAAATGGCGGCAACACTGCTGGTAACTGGACAAACTACGATATGTTAGTCTGCGATACGCAATGTATGTATGTATGTTTATTCGTCTCGTAAAAGCAAAAACACAGCAGTTAGTAAATATCAGCATTGAAGACGGGATGTATACACAAGACCATACTGGCATAAAACACATGAAAGTGCGGCATACACCCCTTATGATAAGCATAAAATGCAATGAATCAAATAAGTATTAGATATGCTATAGAACATATACACATATAGAACAATATTTGGGGCTCCCAAAGTATGCGAACCAAGATGGCGGACATCGGAATGTAATATGTGTACTAGGTTAGGGTTAGGCCATAATTTTAGGTATAAATACTACGGGAGGCTTTTGGCTAGTCTTCGAACTGATAATAGGACTAAAATAAGGAAAATTGGAAAAAAATTATCGCCTAACCCTAACCTGTTACCCATGTTACGTTCCGATGTCCGCCATCTTGGTTCGCATACTTCGGGAGCACCCAATATTTTATTGATATGAGTGGAAACTTGAACGAAAAAAATAATTAAATTCCATACTTATCCACTCCGCCGCTGATGATCAGTCGATTGTGATATATCATGGACTCTACTGCACCCTTGTGGCATGCTATAGTACGTTCACATTTCAACTTTTTCCGATCCCAAATTTTGATGGTGCCATCATGAGAGCAGGAGACTCTAGTTAATAATTAAGTAAAACCATAAGAAACTTGCAAAAAAATGAAGAAAAGGGAAAATTCTTTAATTTCAAAATTCTGGTAATACCAGCTCCCATGATGCAAAACACTTGAACTATATAGAACATACGTGGGCAAAGTACGGCCCGGCCCGTTGGGTAATTCAATCTGGCTCGCCTGATGCTGCCACAACAAAACTGAATCCAAATTTCTATGTTTTAGCTAAAAATAGCTCAAGGAATTTGTTAAGATTGCGGTTAAATTCAGTTTTGGCAAAAGGCTTATTGCTTCCCACCTTTTCTTTATAACACTGCAAATATTATTCATAAAATGTACCGTTTCACGTCACATTTACATGGCCCGCCAGACTAGGTGGGCAAAGTATTTAGCCCCTAGTGCAAAAACCCTGCCCACTCCTGGTATAAAAACATAGTTTTCAATAGCTTTTTATCAATAATTGACTTATGTTTTTCGACCAAACAATGCTTTGTCCAAGTACCACTGATATGTAAGGACCTACTATTTTTAAAAGAACCGAAATATTTTTGGGTGACATTGCCAACACAATTCATTACACCCCAAATGAGGTGGTGAGTATAGAATTTTGGGCGGAGATCTGTGACCTGGAATGGAATACAGCTAAGTCAAACACTTTAACCGCTATGCAATCGCACCCTGCTTGGACATTTTGTTGCTCATATTGAGTCTCATACAACTATTACTACATATAATTACTGGTAAGCATCTAAATTTCGTTCTCTCATAGGAAAACAAACAGTTTTGCAAATTCGATACCAATTTGAATATATTTTTTCAATTTGCTATAAGATTTGCAAATGACCGCTGACATTTTTTTTTTTTTTTAAATTTGATTATGAAATAAACATATACATTTAATCTTCATAGAGATATGTCAGTAAAATGCGGTTGAAAATTCAAGTCGATACTGTGGGGGAAAGTAGCACTTGCAATAGATTCATGATTTGCGTCTGCAATTAATGCAGACAGAGTTTGACAACTAAACCTTTTTTTTGGAGGAACAAGTTCCAAAGTTTCAAAAAGTTTTAAGAGCGCAATCCATTATAATATATGTGGAATAAGTGTACACTTACATAAACTTATTATCTGCAGCAACTCTCGTCACAGACCCTTTATGTCCGTTCAATGTTCCTTTCAAACGAAATGTCACAGTGTTCCAAATTCTTATCGACATATCCCATGATGCTGTATACATTACATTACAATCATCCACTGATCCAATTGATATGTCATTGACACCCCCTGAAACAAAAAAAATTGAGAAATAGAAAAAAATGATGGATTTTTCTTTTGCTTTCTGCCGTTGGCTTTTTATTAATAGACATGATGAATAAAATGATTGATTAAAATCCGCTAATAACAAACAATTTTTTTTTTACTGGAGAGTATTGAGAGTCATTGGAAGCAGGTCTTCAGACCGACACATGGTATAGAATAATTTTTCGCATCAAAATGGTTTCCTGCTGACAACAGTGACATAGTTTTTTTCATTGAAGGGCAGGGTGGACAAAGTATTGAGAGTCATTGGAAGCAGGGCATGGACCTTGAAGTTTAGGGATCACCACGTAGAATAGAATAGAAATGGGCAAAGACCAAAAATTTTGCCCATCCATTTTTGATGTATAAGTTGCGTTTTATGAACCAAAATATACACAGTGTTACAAAAGCGAAAGTGGAAAACAATAAGCCTCATGCAATAACTAAATTCAACCACAATCACAACAAATTCCTTGAGCTATTTTTTGCTAAAATATCAAAATTTGGTTTTAGTTTGGTTTTGGCAGCATCAGGCAAGCCAGATTGAATTACCCAATGACGTTTCAGAACTAGTTTTTTTTTTATTGAAGAGCAGCAGGCCATGGAGTATTGGAAGTCCTTGAAACTCAGAGCCTGGATAAAGAAAGTTTGGTACTCCCAGAGTATGTGAACCCAAATGGTGGACACAGCAACGTAGTATGTGTATCCTGTTAGGGTTAGGTCATAATTTTATTCCAATTTTCCTTCTTTTAATTCTGTTACGATTTCGGGGACTAGCCAAGTGATTCCCGTAGTATTTGTACCTAAAATTATGGCCTAACCCCAACCTGGTACACATCCTTCGTTCCAGTGTCCTCCATCTTGGTTCACATACTTCGAGGAGTACCGAAAGTTTAGGAACTGGTCTAATGCGAGTTGTTAGCTACAAGGGAAAACTACCTTTTAGCGAATCCGTCATCTTTGCAAAGCATTGTCCATTCCTGTCCCAAACTCTTATGCATCTGTCTGTACTTCCACTAAATATTCTGCTACCTTGAGCTTTAATAACGTTCACACCTCCATGGTGTGCCTGAAAGCATGAATAATATGGAAATAATGAAACAAATTTATAAAATGAGAGTTGCAAGAAAACACTTATTTGCTTACAGCATTATATACACCAGTGGTTCCCAACCTTTTATGGCTTGTGGCACCTTCCAAAGACTTTTACCACTCATGGGCCACTTCCTCTGTTTATCATTCCAGTGGTATTTATAGTGTTATTTTACTGGCAGATTCCAAATCCCATTATGTTCAAACAATCATGCTTAACAAAGTAAAAATGCCCCGTGAAACAACCTTATCAAGCAACGTGACTAGAAAAAACGGGGAGTTCACTTGTGAAGGGAAAAGTAAAATCAGCTTTGGTCTTGGCATGGTGGTACTCCTCCAACCACTCTATGGCCCCTTGGTGGGCCACGGCTCACGGGCCCCCCGGTTGGGAACCGCTGATATACACCCTAGTGAAAAGGTAAGCTACACATTAATGCCATAATAAATTCAGTTTTCAGTCAGTATTTCATGGAGTTGGAAGAAAGCAAGTAATCCAGCAAACTGCAATGTTTTTTATTCAGTCAGTACGGAATTGTGCACAACCATAGTTCTATATAATCCAGCAACTCATCGAACCTCAGTGGCAGTGTGTAACATTGCTCGCCTCGAGACAAACGTTTTATTTAGTAAGAGTTAGTAAAACTTGACCTGGCTTAAATTCTTCAAAAAGATTTTTTTTTAATTCAAAACGTATAGTTAAGTCTTTTACCTTGAATACTTGAACTTTGCTGACTTCAAGAACATGATCGGCAATATTCCAGTTTCTGTCAAAAGAAAAGCAATCTTAAATTAATGAGCTAGTTAACTCAACCTAGTACTCCACTATTCGGAGTTATATATCAATTGATAACTGAATCGAATTGCAGGTGGATTCTAACATAGCAGCCATTGATAAATATAAATAATATAGGAATGTCAATAACAGGCTACCAGTCTGGTTGAAGTGCAGGAATATATGACTAATTACACATGCTAGAAACATGAACTGGTATCTAGAAATTGTATCCGACCAGCCAATATGAATGCCCATGGACCATACTCCATGACAGCGGTTCCCAAAATGAGATTTGAAAGGTAATTTCGATTGCACATTTCAAATCCTTCATAATTCAATACTAATGAAGTCTAATTTTTTCCAATGCATCCTGATTTACATTGTAGAAAGCAAGGGCATCAATTGTTTGAAAATGTAACCTTTACTCTAACACACAGATAATCAAAGGTGCAATTGAACATGCATAAATAAACATAAACGATGACTATCAGAATTCGAATTTTCACAGCATTTATCAGAGAATTTGAATTCTTCCTAACTCATGAGGATCATGTTAATCCTATTTGTTAGAGAAGCGGTTCCCGACCGAATCCCATGGAGCAGTTGCAGGGGGGGACACAATGCTAAGTACGAAACTGATTCCACTTTTCCCTTTACAAAAAAAACTCCTCATTCTTCCTAGTTTCATTGCTCGATAAGGTTATTTCACAGGGTGTTTTCACTTTGTTGAGCATCAATTTTTTGATGATAATAGGATTCGGAATCTACCAATTAAAACTACATTGTAAATACCTCTGAAATGATAAACATGAGTGCTATAAAAGTTTGAGAAACACTGTGTCAGAGTATTGATATCAGATGTAATGGAGACTTAAAAATTTTTTTTACCCAGAAACAGCTTGCATGGCATCCATTATCTTATAATCAACAGCAAATCTTTGTCCGATGTTTGTCATGAGTCCTACGTCGTCCCATTCCTGAACATCAGCAAACATATCAACATCATAACAAGCATCACTCCTGGCATCATCAAAATCTAAGTCTTCTTTGATATCTAGGATAAGATAGGATAGGTATTTTATATTTATATTCTGATAGGAAAGACGATAAGACGGCTTAATCACATACCGTTCTTTCCCGTCCGGTTACCAGGGATTGCAAGCATGTTGTTAACGCTTATATCAATATGCTGATAAACATCACTAAACGTGAAAGTAGTAGATTCAAGTAGTTCAAATTTTCAAATAAGCATCACAGCTTTAAAATGAAACTTATGAGCATAATTTTGAATGAATAGGATTTTTCTATTTCAATGATATTGTTTTCCCATGAATTGTGAATAGCCCCAGACTTATAGATTTAAGCATTGAACATGGCTGTAATTTACTGTAACATAGCACAATCATATTTTCATGTGTCGGAAAGATTATCATGGGCTCAACAGAACTTTCCAATTCCAAAATTTATTAACAAAATAATAAAACAGTGTTAGTAACTATGTGCAAGCATAAACTACAAGATAAAATTATGCATTTTAGTAACCGCCCTTACACCCCAGTCATATTGAATTCACCAATAGTGAATCCTGATAGTTTCTCATGAAATGACCCATAATTTACTAGCATTCCAAAATTTAGGTGAAAAATGATTCTATTTCTTATTTTCATTTACTTGAAAGATCAAAAAAGTTATTTGACTCGATCAAGACATCGCATTTGTTCTACATGCATGTATTAGTTTATCCAACCATTCATGCTTTCATTAATCTTGCTTACTTATGATAGATTTTATGAGACAGAAAGGTTTCCACCTTATATGCTAATCTGATTGTGCGTGAATTTAGGACCAGGTCTTTGAAGAAAATGCACATTTGACTCGATTGCAAATTTTGATATCATAACTTTTGGAGTACGCAAGTCTTCTCTAAACGATTGTTAGGAATGCTTAGTAAACATAATAAATTTTTTTTTTCGGTCTCTGTAGAGCATTTTGACTTTGACTACCACCATTAGAAGTCTGAAATTCAGAGTGCAAAGAATTCAAATTCTGTTTCAGACTCAGATGAATACACACCAAACCCACAAGTCCACACACAGCCCAGATTATATCTGGTTAATTCTATTCAAATAGCAAGCAATAGTTAAAAAAGTAACAAGAGTATTAGTATACTGGGGCCAGGTTAGGGTTGGGGCATAATTTTATTCTAATTCCCATAGGTTTCAGTCCTTTTACACAACTTGATGTAAAGTAGGCGAACAAAATTAGTTACCTCCATATTGGTACACACACTTTTGGAATGCCAATTTTTGACTTGACTACCACTATTGGAAGTATGAAATTCTGAGTTCAGAGAATATAAAATTCTGTTTCAGACTCCAAGGAAAACACGCCAAACCCACAAGTCCACACACAGCGCAGATTATAACTGGTTAGTTCTATTTCAAATAGCAAGCAATAGTCAGAAAAGTAACAAGAGTATTAGTATACTGGGGACAGATTAGGGCTAGGGCATAATTTTAGTATAATTTGCCTTATTTTAGTTCTATTACGACTTACGAGTTCGGGGACTGTCTGTGTTAGCCAAGTGAATATCCCTCTGCCCATAGGTTTCAGTCCTTTTACACAACTTGATGTAAAGTAGGCGAACAAAATTAGTTACCTACATATTGGTACACACACTTCTGGAGCGCCAAATTTTTGACTTGACTACCACCATTGAAAGTATGAAATTCTGAGTCCAAAGTATACAAAATTATGTTTCAGACTTCAATAAATACACGTCAAACCCACAAGCCCACACACAGCCCAGATTATAACTAGTTAGTTCTATTTCAACAGCAAGCAATAGTTGAGAGTACCAAGAGTATTAGTATAACACTCCAAACAAAACTTCACACACTTCAAATCATGGTTCTAAGCAAAGAACCTTCAGTTATATTTTTCCACATTTGAAGGAAACCTCCTTTCTTCTTTGAAGCCTGGCTTTCAATCTCACTCTCAACAGCTGGATGGAAATGTTATATTTGAGTGACAGAATACAGCAATGTTTTACAGCGCAATAAAGGCGAGCAAGGTCACAAGCTGACTAATCAGTATAGAAGACTAATATTTATTGCTGGGAGCAAAACTGATTTTACTTTTTGCTACAAGAAAAACTTGTTCTTCCTGGTTTCATTGTCTGATAAGGATATTTCATTGAGTGTTTTTACTTTATTGAGCATGAATAGCTTGAACACAATGGAATTAGGAATCTACCAATTATAATAACACTCTAATGATAAACAGGGGACCTCTAGCCATAAAAGGTTGGGAACCCCTGGTCTATCAATTAAGCCATCATTAAGACTTGCAATAGCCTAAGATCGAATAATTTTAAAACCATATTTCATTAGATTCCCCAAACATAAATCATCTATATTTTTAGAGTAAAGGATATAGGACAATAGGACCAAGCCCAAGGATTAAATTAGACTGCAACTAAAACGTTATTGATAAACTAAAATCCTGGAAAAAGGTTATGCTCCGTTTGCTTTTTGTATTTTTACAAATTTTTGTCATTAGAAAATAAATAGAGCAATTGATCACATATTAACAGTACTGACAGTACAAAAACTGTATTAAAACTGAATTCATGATAAAAAACATACAAAATAAGGTATTTCCCTAAATTTAAAATATTACTTACAAATAAAAAGTAAAAAACAACAGGCTCTTTGTTACAAGCATCTGCTAAACATAAATGAAAGTTGTGAGATACACTGGAGATAAATACTTACCAAATTTTGGTTCAATCTTCGATACTGGTGGGCTTTTTTCCTTCACTTCTTTTTCAATGCTTTTTATACCTGAAAAATAATAATCCAATCCAATTTCTTGAAACTTCTTCTTAAAATCACTATAGTGTATCTAGATATTCATAACTGGGTTTAGCACAGTGGTTCCTAAAAGTTTGTTGACCAGAGGACGAAATTAGAAGTGGAAGGATATTCGCAGGCCAGGAGAAGGTAGCGCCTGCAAGGGGCCGATACCATTACTGGTACGTATAATTAAGATACCAGTATGATTGTTACAAATAAACACATAGTTAAACTGTTGGCGGTGCTCCCAAAGTATGCGAACCAAGATGGCGGACATCGGAACGTAACATGGGTAACAGGTTAGGGTTAGGCGATAATTTTTTTCCAATTTTCCTTATTTTAGTCCTATTATCAGTTCAAAGACTAGCCAAGAGTCTCCCGTAGTATTTATACCTAAAATTATGGCCTAACCCTAACCTAGTACACATATTACATTCCGATGTCCGCCATCTTGGTTCGCATACTTCGGGAGCCCCCAATTGGCAGTATCTAGAACGCAAAAAGAAAGACTACCGTAAGTGTTTAACTCTTTGAACTCTGACGGCTCTGAGCGAAGTTACTCGCTCACCCTGAAGGTTCGTGGCGCCGTATTGGTAGAACAATAAAATAATTCTAAATATTGGCTATTTAGCACGCTTATAATTTTTTATCAATTATAGGTAGCACGTTGTGTGACATTTCAATCGAAAGAAAATTTTATCGTACATTCAGAATGTATTTTCCCTTTTGAAATACATTTTGTCAAAAACAATGAAATTGACTCTAATCTAACAGTGATTTTACTGCATGTAAGTGAGTTATGGCTCCAAATTTTGTTATTTTGGTACAAAATATACTGCCTATAATTGATGTTCATAAAGAGTTCTTCATAAGCTTTTTGTTGATATTCGAATTATTATCGTGGATGACGTATAACCAATTTTATATTTAAATATTCAATTATGTACGATGTTGATACGTACGTTCGAAACGTATTGTGTGGCAAAATGCGCAAGATAACTTTCACGACGACGTTCTCAGCGAGGATGATTGAAGCACCGACGTCGAGTTTATGTCGTCATATGAAATTCCTGTGGAAAATGTTTTATTCGTCCATCAGTATTTGTTCAAATATCAACCAAAATAAGTACTTGCCTGCAATTCAGATCGAAATATCAGATTGTATGAATGTTAGGCGAAGCAAGTCAAACTTATGAACTTCATCGTTGACTGTCGGAATCCTTCAAATTTGGATGAACGCGACGGCGTCATGCTGGGACCAGAAACTCACCTGACACGTGTTACACCTGTTTCGGTCTCATTCGATTTTCGAACTCTATCAACACGTTGCAATCTTAGTAATACTTTATATATAGCTATACAGTATGTCTTCTGAAAGAAAATTTTATCCAGAAGATATATTAGCCAATCTCTATTTTTCGGACGAAGAAGGTTTAAACGAGAGTAGCTATTCTGACAGTGACGGTTTTGAGTCAGAATTTGAGGACGATCTCATAATAAATGATTTGGATGGATCGATATCTGAGAGAACTCATAATGCAGAAAGAGCACCTCTTATTCCAGCAAGATCATATGCATCAAGATCGAACGCGTCGCCAGAACTAGATACCCCACCTTCTTCTACTGATCTTGACTCCATGGATTGGATCAGGGATACTTCAGGATTTACTGAAAACATGTTTTCACCGACAAGAACTCCGGGACCTATGAACTTACCAGCATCTATAAAGTATGATTCGACACCTTCCGAATATCTTTCTTTGGTCTGGGACGAAAATCTATGGAACTCATTGGTAACCAATACAAATAACCACGCGGTGTATGTGCTACAAAGAAATCCCAATTCGTTGTCTGCAAAATCGATCATAAAGAACAGTATATCAATAGAAGAAATGAAAGCATTTTTCGCATTAAGAGGGGCCATGGAGATGCCGCTGTATAAAGATCGTTATGAGCAATACTGGAGAACAAAGAACACCAGGCTTACATACACGCCTGGTTTTGCAGAGATCATGTCGCAAGATCGATTTCTTGCTATATGGTCATTGCTTCACTGCGTGGACGAAACCAAATGTCAATAAAAGCGACAAAATTTACAAGACAAAACCAATTTTTAACTCTATACTGGAAAAGTTCCAGCATCACTATGCACCGGGCTGCAATCTGTCCCTTGACGAAGGCTGATTCCAACAAAAAACAAGTTGTCGTTTTGTTTAGACAATACATTAAAGACAAACCAACCAAATGGGGCATCAAAACGTTTTTGGTGTGTGACAGCGAGAACGGGTATATATGTAATGCTGAGGTGTATACTGGGAAGAGGGAAGACAAAAACTGTATACCAAGTTTGGGAGTAACCGGTAACTTGGTCGTACGATTATGTGAACCGTTTTATGGTCAAAATCACATCATATATATGGATCGTTTTTACACATCCGTTAGACTCGCAGACTACTTGTTGCGTCAGAAAGTTACTAGAATATGCGGTACAACCATGACCAATAGGAAACACTTTCCCAAAATGACTATCAAACGAAAGAACGAAATGGGCATAGGAGAATCGGACATATTGTGCAACGGGAGTGTCGGTGCCATTGCATGGCAAGACAAAAAAACAATATATTTTATTACAACGGCATTTTTAGATTCGCCGAACACGCAAGTCCAAAGATACGAAACAAGCTCAACGAAAAAGAGTTGATATTACATGTCCAGCAGCGGCTAAAGCGTACAAATCCTTCATGGGAGGGACAGACAAAAATGACCAAATGACTCGTATGCAAAAACGTAGACGGCACTACAAATGGCCGAGAAGACTGGTTATGAAGTTTTTTGTGTGGGCGACATACAACTCATAAGTGTTAATGAATTTTGTGAAGTCTCATAACATAAGAGGAAAAAGAGTATTCACTTTTCACAATTTTCTAGAACAATTGTTTGAAGAGATCACTGGAGGGAGCAAAATGTTAACGACAAAAAAATGCAAGATTGTTAAACAGCATGAGGAATTGACAGATATGAAAAGACTTCAAGTAAACGTACGCCACGATGTGTATAAACCGAAAAATGCCAGCGCTAATAACAGATGCGGCGTATGCCGCAAAATTTACAAAATTGCAAGAAAGGCCAATCCGGCCGCTAAAGACAAAGAGTTGCCCAAACAATGCAAGATGACGTTCAAATGCAGATCCTGCGATGAATACTTATGCATAAGGAATGAAAACCAACAATCATTGGTATGATTGGCATAACAAAGTGAAATATTGGGTTTAGAGTGTATAGCAGTCTTTTATCCACATACTATTTCCTTATACTTATACATTTTCTTCTTTTGCAAGTTCTTAATTGTTCCTCAATTTTTTTTTAATAAAATCACAATCTGGTTCATATTTTATATGTGTTTATCGGGGCTGGAGCGGGAAGTCAATTTCAAAGCCTAGGGCGAACTTTGAATGAGTAACATCGGGTTAATTGATTGTTTTCCGCGGCTTAATGTTTTCCGCGGCACATTTAAATAATAACAACTCGCCGTTACGTGATTGCGGGTATCGATACGCCCAGTTGCATTTGCGTAACTTACGCAAAGTCGTGTGTGACGAGACGAAATATTACGTCGATAAAAACGTCAGGTTGACGTATAGCGACGCAGTCAAAGCTACAGAATATCAAATATATTTGGCAACAAAATTTGAATGGTTTGTCATACATACGTTGCGGAAGTGTCAATAGGAAGACTTTCAAATTCTCCACATATATTGTCGATTGAATATGTGGCTATTAAGGCAAGAAGTCGAAATTCTTTATATTAAATATTTGTTATCATACAATAATTTAATACGCACTTTCAAATTGCCAATTTTACTGAAACATCGTATATTAGAGCACCGATATTTACAATATAATTAGTCCCAATAACAAGCTTTCATGCAATATAAAATTTATTTAAATAATCATTGTGATTCTTGAGATACGAGATCATAAAGTTGATTCCTTCCGACACAAGAAACAAGCCGGTAAATCGGCTCGCCGGGGCACAGAGCGTACTCAACCAAGCCGGTAAACCGGCTTGTCAGGTTCAAGAGGTTAACTATTTCACTTAAGTTCGACAGGCTCGGTAGTCGAACATAATTCGTTCCTCGGCTTGGTGTTCGACTACAGATTTGTTTGAGTCCAGCAGCATTTAGGAATAGAAATTTCTGTTCGAGTATCGAGTCGTGTACTACAGGGGTATGACTGTATAGTGAATGAATGGTTTACTGGTAATAGTACAATATGCAAGAGCTAATACGCCAGATAATAATAGGAAAATGGCACGTCCTCCCCCAATACAATAAATTAGGTTGAGTTAAAGCCGTAAGATCTGATTTTTAAAGAAGTTCCAGCTAAACCAGTGGTTCTCAAACAATGGGGCACGTGAGACTTGACAAATCCTAAAAAAGGGCCGGAGCTTAAAAAGTTTGAGAATTACTGTTCTACATGAAGCGTATTAAATTAGTTTCAAGTTAGACATGTAAAAAGGTGTAGCAAAAAATCCAATAGCCAACACACTAAAAAAAGTCGTAGAATCCTACAAACTCAATCTTACTTTGCTGTTTTTTTTCTCGAATTTCATCAGGAGGATGAGATTTCCAATACGGAATGTAATCTTTGAATCTCTCTTCTTCCTCTTCACCAGATGAAGATTCTAAGCAGAACGGGAAACAATGTTTTGAAATTGATAACAATCAATCAAAAATCATCAAGCAGTATTTATCTCAACAATAATTTTAGATAATTTCTAACAAAGGCTTAAATTTTTCGATTTTTCATTCATAGTTATCAACATAACAATTGGTCTCCGGAAAGCCAAGATGAGACGGATCAAATCTTCGCAGATCATGAGAGTTTGAGAAACATTGAAATAGGCAATCTCGAGCTTGTAAATGCATCCAGATTAACCCCAAAAAGTGCAAAAACACAGAAAAAACTTTGCAAAAAACGTGAAAAAACATCAAAATTACAAAAATTCTATTAAGAACCTTCTTCTGGCTCCGACTCTGAAAAATTGTCTTTGGCAGCTTCAAGATTTAATCATAGTGCAATATATAATTATTGCTTAGAAAAGACTAGATATATTTATATGAAAGCAGGGACCACGGAGTATTTAGAGTATTTGGAAGGCAGCCAAGGATTATATTATGAGAATTTGAGAAACTAAGCCACTGCTAGCTGATGACTGTGTTTAACAGAGACTACAGTAAGTCCTCGGGTTATGACATTCGCGACTTACGCTGTTTAGAGGTTACGAACGCACTCCGTAAAAATATAAAAGATAATACTGTAATATCGAAGCCCTTCAACTGGATCATTTGATCAAGAAAATCAGTGCTTTGGGTGAATTGGTTTTCGTCATTTACATCGTAAATGACGTGGACAATTGCGAACTATTACGATTATGAACGAATGATCACTAAGCTTCAGTACTTTTTTTGCATTATTTGTACATTTTATTACAGTACCATACTTTACAATACAGTACGATATGTATAGAGTAATTTATGTATAATGTTCCAACACTGAAATTCGAGTTACACCGCGTCTCAAGAACGGAACAACGTCGTAAGTCGAGGACTTACTGTACAAGAATTCTATCAAAAGCAATGCTTCTAACCTTCTTCCAACTCAGACTCTGAGGAACTATCTTTAACAGGTTCAAGATTTAAGCTCAAATAATGCTCAACTTCAGTGAATGCTTGCTTCCAATCCAATGCTTGATTATTTTCTGCACTTCCATACAGCAGATCAGATAGATAAGGAATCCCATATATTATCCCTGTAGTAATTCAATGAATTAGAATTTATTTTACCAGATTACAAATTTATTTAACTCCATAATCAGCATTTTGGTGTACAAAGTGGTCTAATGGTTGAAGCGTCAGACTTTTTCATGTTGGCTTTGCAGGTTATACATCCCAGGTTCAAAACCCACACACCCACCATCTTACCGCAAATGTAATGAATTGGGTAAGCAATTCCAGTCTTCCCACATTACAGTAGCTCCTCAGACAAGATATCAGTGGCTTCTTGTACACTGTACGGAGCCTCGTTCAGATTTATATAAAAAAATGGGACCTCCTGAAGTATTCGCACCAAGATGGCGCACGACCTGACTCAGGTTGGGTACCAGGTTAGGATTCAGGTGATGCGACATCTTGGTGCGCATACTTCAGGAGTACCAAAAATGCTTAATCACCAAATAGATGGTATGTAAAGTAGTAGTGAGAAATAAGATAAACATGATTAAAAATGTCATGAATATAATCAACGCATGATGAAATTTAATTTTAAAATCTGCAAGCAAAATTGTTGCATACTTTTGAAAATATAGAATACATATGCTATTCCATACATTATCCCTATAGTAATTCAATTGAATAATTACAATATTTGCTCAGGTGTAGAGAAAATGTCAACAACAAATGATATCACCACAAATAGTAGCTTAAATCATACATACATCAACTAAAAGTTGGAACAGATCGTTGTAATCAGTGGTGCGATAGCAAGCTTTTTTTGGGTGTGTGCTGATGCACATGCATTACGTTTACATGTGTGGGAATAGTGGTGGGTGGGGGTGCGGCAAAGGGAAATTGTGTTTGGGGCGCCTAACCTTAATTTGAAAAAAGATCCCTGGTAAATCAGGATTGCTGTGTGAACCAGCACAGTCTTCAGCGGCGGTTCCCAACCGGGGTTTTTTCCTTTCACAAGAAAGTCCCCGTTCCTCCGTTTCATTGCTTGACAAGACTATTCACAGGGTGTTTTGACCTTATTGAGCATGTATTTATTCGAACCTCATTGGTTTCAGAATCTACAACTAAATACTACTGTAATGACAAAAGGGGAACCATGAGTGATTAAAGCCTCCTGAAGGGGGCCACAAGCCATAAAAGGTTGTGAACCTTTGGAGAGCCTTGTGAAGATTTTTTTTTTGGGGATTTTTTTGTTGTAGCTGTAACTTTTCAAAGGAGTTCATCTAATTGTGATTGATGTAAAAAAGAAGTGACTTGGAACAATTCCAAAAACAAGACATACCGATTTCATCACACTTTTCTTTCCACAAGAAGTCACTATTCAGTAGAGAGTGCCAGTGACGATTTACAAATGAAGCTTGCATGAGGTCGTATGGACATAAGTATCCAAATATTTTTAGTAGAAGTGCATCTGATAGCATATCTATAGGGGGTGGTGCATCATCAGCTGGAATTATAAAAGATATGTCATGCTTTTGTTTGGTTAAAAATTATGTGACAGCAGCGTTAAGATTATGTAATAATTATTAGACTGTATAAAGATTTATGAATTGTGTGGTCTATGAAAAGAATATTATGTATTAGAAATGAAAGCTTTCGAAGCGATGTTCGCGGAACCCTGAGCTATGGTATCTACCTATAGTTTATGCAAATCACAGGTGCAGAAAGGAGGGTACTCCCAAAGTATGTGCACCAAGATGGCGGACACCTGACATCAGGGCGGCGGACATCAGGTACAAATACTACAAGAGTCACTTGGCTGGACCCTGAACTCCTAATAGAACTAAACTAAGGAAAATTGCAATAAAATTATGGCCTAACCCTAACCTGGTACACATACTACGCTCCGGAGTTCGCCATCTTAGTTCACATACTTCGAAAGTACCGAAAATAAAAATAAAAAGTTTTCAGCGGAACCCTGAACTATGGTATCTACCTATAGTTTAGGCGAATCACAAGTGCAGAAAGGGGAATGCAAGGGGAAGTTAAATTTGAATAAGACATTGGACAGACAAATTTTCCACACAATTCATATATATAGACTCACCTTCAGCTGTCTTGACTTTTAAACATTCTGCCGTGAATTTTATCATCTTGTCAGAACTTTTGGAAAACAAGTCAAGAAGTAATCGTGTCCTGCGATATGCTGGCCAGTTGTCTATCCACTGAAATTGTAACAAGATCTTGAGTTACATATTAAAAATAAAAATTCGACTTTACCAATTAGGATAAATTTTAGCATGGTACAATGCTTGGTATAACGGATTAGGTACATGCCACAAATTTTGTTGCCAGTGCATAATTGGGTACCCCCAAAGTATGTGAACCAAGAGGGCGGATACCGGAACGTAGTATGTGTACCCGGTCATGGTTAGGCCATAATTTTATTCCAATTTTCCTTATTTTAGTTCTATTACGAGTTCTGAGACCTGAAATTATGACATAACCGTAACCTGGTACACATAGTGATTTCCGGTGTCTGCCATCTTGGTTCACATACTTGGGGAATACCCTCTATACATGCACTGCTATGATAGCCAACGCTAAGCTCAGCAGATTTATCTGAGCAGTATAAGGTAAGACAGGCATTTCCATGGACCTCCATGTTTTGCTCAGTAAATTTATTTGAGCATACCAAGCCACAAACCTCCCAAATCTGATCCAGTTGAGTTCTGAATTGTTCCTTCAGTCTTCTAACATTCATAGGTACAGTGTCTTTCTTCCATAGTTTTTTATTCTTGTATAATTGTTGCGTTGTTGGTACCGGTAGTTTGTTTCGCTGGTAATCATATTCCAGTTCAAATTCTGCCTCCATCTTGCTTTGTGTTGTGACTGGTTCCCCTGTAATGATGTGAATCAGAGAATTAAGGGATTAATTAATAAATATTATTTAAAGGGCCTGAATCTTTCCGGTTCAGGTTGGCATCCTAAATTATCTATATCCTGAAAGAGATGTTGGGCATAGGATTGAACAAGAGATATGTAACCTGCCAAAAAAGTTAAACCTAACTAACCTAAAAAGTTAAACACTCTAATTGTTATCTTTGACAATACTGAAATTTAGCGAAAATAGGAATTCGCTATTAAACCAATTTAAAGGTAAATTCAAATACAGCATAATAACATGCAACATTAAAGTAAAATGTGGACGCTCATTTGGGGTATGATAGATGCACAGCGCCCTACTCCCGATCTGTTTAGTCCATTAAGTAGTTTAAATATCACATCGTAAACTGTACACTCCAAATGGAAGTAGAATTTATTAATTAATTTTAGGGTCAGTGCCACTCAACCGTGACGACAGTTTTTAGTCATAACTTGTATCATCCAAATACAGCATCTCTATCTATTTGCATTATCGAGATATAACACGAGAATATCGGTTGGGAACCGAAGACTTATCGATCGATAGTTAGGGGATCCCCCAAAATAGAAACTGCAGTTTCGATTCATCCGCTCTTGTAACTTGCGCACTGCGCATCGCACACACACACTCGGCGGGTTTCTTGCGCACTGCGCATCGCACACACACACTCGGCGGGTTTCAAAATTCTCTCGCTTTACAGAAATCTAGATCACTATATCAATAATTGATTGATAACTCGCTAATTATACGACATAATTCGCCCAAAATCAATAGGCTTCTGGTCCGAGATAAGATGAATGCACATGCAAAATCTGGAGCAGATTCAATCTCGCTTTCGTGAGATATCGCGTGCATCTAACAGACAGACATACAGACAAATACCTATCAATATACTTACCGATCTTAAGATCGATAAGTAATAATATCACTGGAGCTCGACTGAGGAGAAACGAGAAAATTTGTTTTCAAAAAATTATTTTGCCAGTTTGCCCAATCATTTTCATATCCTTCAATTTCTAATAAAGCCAATTTGAAACACAGCAACCAACTGAATTACCTAAAGTGTTGTTGTTTTTGAATTCGAAAAAGTCTTCAGGTTGTACCATAGCAGATGTCACTCCACTACGAAAGTCCAATGTCACATCAGATTGCTTGCCCATCGGAGTCAGGCTGAAGTTTGAAGGAACATTCCTATTGGAGAGGACTGAATAGCTTGCAATCCTGTGCATAAAAGATTATTGTGCATTGTGCATCTACTAAAATGAATTCTGGTATGGCAGCCATGGCTCGTATTTGGAAATGGGCGCAGAAAGTGCAAAAAGTTTTATTCGTAGAATGTTGCAATAAAATAATTGCAAATTGGGAATAATTCAATCTCGTATTTTTACTTAAATTATATTTATTGTAACATAAGTATCTCAATTCAACAACAGTCGTTGAAAATTGTCGGCAATGATCAATTGGGGACATTTTTGAACTTTACCATTGGTGCCATTTTACGTAGATACACCACTGTGTTTGCTATACATTTGCGATGAATACTATTATGGGATTGAATATTGAATAAATGAGAGTGAAAACAAAGTCAACACCATTATTATAGGGTGTTCATAAAATCTTAAAATTTTTTAAAATTGCAAACGAAATTTATCAAATCCTATATACTGTTTTGGCCTCACGGATATATTAAATGAAGTAAAAATACTTGAACAATAATTACTGATTAAAAATCAACTAACCTAGTTAGGATATATTATTAAGAACCGACTTGAATTGAAACAAAATTGAAATTGTAAAGGGATTTCACCGACACCGCATATAATAATTTAACAGTATCGATCTTCGTTTTGAGTATGTCAGTCAGACGAACACTTGAGAATTCGCACACAGAAAAAATATTTAATTTTGCCCACCCCTACTCATATGTTCATTCATTAGTCACCTTTTGACAACTTCTTCAGGGATTTTTTTCTCTTTTGATTTTTCCTTTTTTCCTTTACTTTTCTTTCCTTTTGGTTTTTGCTTTGATTTAGTAGTTTCAGTACGACAGACTTCTCCAGTTGAATTGGGCGTTTGACATAGTTTTTCACTCCCACCTAATAAAATTTAATCATGTAAAATAAATACATGTGTACCAAGACACCTTGAGATAATGCAGAATTTTTTTTAGTTTTTTTTCATTCCCTAATTTGCTATTTTATGCTTAATTTACAACATTGTTTGCAATGTAGCATTGTTACTTATCAATTTTAATCGGTAAGTATATGGGGAGGTATTTGTCTATCTGTCTGTCTGTTAGATGCACGCGATATCTCACGAAAGCGAAGTCCTGCTCCAGATTTTGCATGTGCATTCATCATATGTCGGACTAGAAGCCTATTGATTTTGAATGAATTATGTCGTATAATTAGCGAGTTATTAATTAATTAGTGATGGGACACAAGGTATCACTATGGAGTAAGCGCGCTGTTTTGGGGGATCCCCTAACTTTCGATCGATAAGTCTTCGGTCTCTGACCGATATTCTCGTTTATGATGTTATCCCAAAGCTGAAATGGTACCACTGTCTCAAACATAAAATAATGATGGGCCAGTGCTTTAAACAGGCTTGCATACCCCAAAGTTTTTGCAACAAAATTCGAATTCCTATAGACTTCGAATCTGGAGTCAGAAGTCGATTGTAAATTTTATCAGCCCTGTTCTCCATTAACAATGCCTATTGAGATAAACCACTAATTAGTGAAGCAGACTAAATGTCTAGGCTAACAAATGTGAATGAAATATGATATCAATTGTAGCTTGAACAAACCTGAAACTGTACTTTCAAGACTTGTTTCTTCAATTGGAGACAAACTTGACACAAGAGTTGCCTGTGATGAGGCATGGGGTGAATTGATATCATGCCTCAAATGACTCACAAGAATAGAAGTTTGTTGACCTGGAAATATTAAATTATGTAGTTAAGTTAAAAATGCATCATCATGGATTCTCCTGAAGTATTGAGGAGGGAACTAATTTTGTTCGCCTATTTTACATCAAGTTGTGTGAAAGGACTGAAACCTATGGGCAGGGGGTATATTCACTTGGCTAACACAGACAGTCCCCGACCTTATAATATAACTAAAATCGGAATGAAATTATGGCCTAACCCTAACCTGGTACATATACAAAGGTCTAAAGGAGTACCGCATCATGTGCATGGCACTGAGCTCCCATAGGTTTACTGTCTGTGTATCATACAGATTCCAGACAAAAAAAAATATATGTCCACATTTATTTCACAAACTTCAATCCTATAAAATTGTCTAGGAGATGTTTTACCGATTGAATTTATTTACACTGATGCAAGATTTGTCTTTTCTAGGGTATATTCAAGTAAGATAGGACTGAGGATACAACAAAAAGACTCCCGCCCGCTTTTTCTTCTAGTGGGCGGGTTCTAATGGATCATATATAAAAATCACGAGGGTTTAGCTCGTTTGACAACAGACAGACTGATGTATGACAAAATTTTGTTGCTGGTACATATTATACTAAAATACTGTAATTTTACGCAGTTTTAGCAGCTCTTATAACCTACCAACAAGTCCTGACAAATTTTCAGTGTTATCCAATCCAAAAGTATTTTCCTGTCCTAGAGCAGGGGATGGTGTAGCAGGTAATTCAGCTCTAAGATCAGGATCAGTTTGAGCCGATTCAGCTATTGGTGAAAGTGGGTGAGAAAGTTCACCAGTTACAGATTCTGAGCCACTGTTAGTTCTGAATAAAATGTTTGTAGAGATAGGATGGAAATGAAATGTCTTTCCATATATTGGAAATGAAAAAAGCAATATGGTTACCACAGTACACTGCTGGGATTCTATAGCATAGGTAGGCCATAGATGTTTGCCCCTTGAAATTTATTTTCCCCAGTGTTTTTATGGGTTGGTCTGTTTTTGAATGGTTTAAAGTTAACACCACGACTTTGAATGAAAATATTGAACTTTTTGCCAAAAAAAAGAAATGGCAGATAGCATGATTGAATTAACACTATCCAACATATACAACATATTCGCAAAATAAAGTTATTTCATTCACACATAAGTTTATGAAATATAACCAAAAACTGAGTTTGGACCATTCACCAGGTAGTGAATTGCTCAAATGTTTAGGAATGTGGGACATGCAAACACTCTCACACACAAAGTCAATATAGATAAACACACGATAAAAAAATTAAAAAAACAGGTTACCCACCTAATTCTGTGTCCAACTGGGGAACGCATTCTCATGTTATCATCATGAAGTTTGTGCTCAATCAATGAAGGAGAACCTTCCAGATCTATTAATAAATCGTCCTGAGAACAACATTAAAACAAGTATTGAGTATCATATCACTTTAATTATACCAAGAATAATATATACATCTCACTGAAATTTAAAAAAAAATGGGGTTTATCAATTGAAGTAAAGCATTTACCAAGATGAGGTAAGCTGTAATATTATCTTATTAGAATTTATACATCAATTAATTAAAAAGATGAACAATCAAGTTAGATTTTATCATGAAACGATTGATTCCAGATAGTTGGTATTATTAATCCTAAAAATTTCCTGCACTGATCAATGTGATCATATCTCTATACAAGCAGCAAGTGAGATGTACTGACAGATGTTACAGATAGGCTCGATGGTGCAGCGCAGTACGCTAAGCATTGGGAAAACGCTTGTCACTGCCCCTATGATTACCATGCATGGGTTCGCAGATTTGAATCTTGTGTGATTATAATTATATGCGAGATTGCTGGACTCCTCGAAGCCACAGGGTGGTTCACAAAACTGTAGGGTGATCATGGCTTCCTCGACCATCAAGTACATCTGATAATAAATAACTGGCTGACTAATCCGGTACCAAACATGAACTGGTAACCAGGCAAGAGGTCGTGTCTTAACATATTATCACCTTATAGGCTTTCCTCTCTCCCAGGATAAATATGTAAATACTATCCCATGTGAGATTCAACAACAGACAAGACTAGGTACAAGTATAAGTTTATTTCGACTCCATAATCAGCATAACAATGAAATGATCGGTAAAAATAAATAAATAAAAACTGATTATGAAATCAGGAGAGCGAACAAAACCTTAGATAAAGTTCAAAACGTACAGAATGTATATAAAATGGAAGGTTTTGCCAAGAAGAAGCGGTACGTGTTCACTCACCTAGGTAGGCCTACTTGGTACTCTAAACCTGTTAATCCTTAAAAAAGTAAGAAGTCCAAAAAACAATTTTACCCATTCTTATTCCAGTACCCAGTTTGAGTAATGCTGTTTAACGCAAAAGAGTGAAACTCTTTATAAATAAAATAGATTTTCAAAATGTTGCTGATACCTGCTCGGTTTCTTCATTTTCACCATCTGCATTTTCTTTATCAATATTGCTTATTATTGAGAGTGTTTTCTCAATCACTAGAAAGGTATTTTCTGGCTTGACCTTCTTCGATTTTTCTGCCATTTCATCTTCAGGTACCTGTGTAAAAATGGTAATGAAATAATTATAAACAATTTAGTTTTAAATTTTCTGAAGGTTTCTAGTGTATCAGTTGTCACTTTTTTTGAACAAGCTCATTTAATAGTTGAAAACAATAGTCTATAACAGTGGTTCTCAAATGATGGGGTACGCCCCTGTTATTTTAGCTTGTTATTTTCTAGGTGAGGCGCAAAACTTGACGAGCTCTTAAAAGTTTGAGAACCACTGGTCTCTAATATATTTAAACCAATATTTCAATCGTGGTTCTATGGACAAATTACTCCCGCTTTTGTGGATATGTGTGGTTAAAATGTATGTTTTGTGATACAAGAAAAAAGTAACTATTCTGATAGGTAATTTTGATAGTATTGGTAACTCAAATAAATCCTTGTAATGTTTAATTTGGTTAAGGTCGGACTTGTTAAAATTGTTATCAAACAGGAATATATTTGTGAACTATAGTGCTTTAGCAATGAAACTCACATTTGTGTAACGATAAAGATTATAACTTGTATCTCCTTTTCGTAATTTTAATTTCAGTTACAAAATATTTTCATTAAATTCACATGACAGACGATATTTGAGGTATTACTGATCACTTACAGGATAAACATTCTGTACAATTGTTGTGAAATCTTTATGAAATACAGATTCGACTGCCATGAGAAGTCCTCGAAGTTGGTTGTATTCAAATCTATTAATTATTCCTGTTATCAATATCTTACGTTGCCACATCTGCCAACTTTCAAACCATTCCACAATTGCCTGAATAGAAAATATTTTTATAAACATCAGTCTGTCTGTTGTCAGACATGATGAACTATATAAAAATAGGGATTTTTACATCCAATCCATTAGGACCCACTCGCTAGTAGAAAAAGTGGACAGCATGCTGGCTACAAAATTTCTTTTTGTATACTCAGTCCTAACTTACTTAAGTATGCCTTACAGAATGGACTACCGTAATTTTATACTTTAATATTCAAATACATTCAAATATTCGATACATTTTGGACAACCCTGGGTCGATATCTTCGTATTGTTATATGTTATCAATATACTTTCATTTCTGTAAAATCTGCAAGAATATGAACCTGTGTGATCTTTGCATGTTTCGTCTCCTCCAGTTTGTCATGGGGGTCTAAAGCACTAACAATTTGTTCCTGGTACATGGCTGCTGATTATTCTTTCGAAGAAACCAGAAAACCAAAGTCAGAAAGTTTAGAAGTTGTTCTAATCACAGAAGTCAGGAAGTGCAGAATGTTTCAAAAGTCCTTCAACTTCAATGAAGTTGGCTGGTTCTGTGGCTAATCATGTTTTAATATTTAATTCTTATAACCATAACAGTCAATGTTAGAATACCGGTACATTGCAGCCAGACAGTGTTATCACTTGGCCACATTAAAGAGTTAGATGCGTGATTCAGTTAACCAGCTAACTTTCTAAATCAAGAAACCAAAATATAAAATTGTTAAAAGTCCGGTAAATCAATCGAAATTTACGGTAGCTGATATTTGATAAAATTATCCAACCCTGTGCAATCTCACAATCAGACCGTAGCACTAACTGAGCACCCCGTATCCATGAGACGGTGGGCAATCGAGCAATTCTCTCTGAAAGAAATACGCAACTCTTGGCAATATTTTTTAACCCGTGAGTGTCACAGTGTGAATCGATAACGACGAGTCACGGCTTGAGTGTACCAAGGTTAATATATTTTATCCGAATTGCAAACACCTGGTTTGGAGCACATTTTGAAACACGCTTCATTTCAGCAAAACTTTGGATTTAATTGCAATGTAAAGTGATACCGTACTAGTTATTACTTACTGACCTCGAAGTTGTATACGACCGGGTGGAATACGAGGTGTATTAGTTGAAAAAATAGTAATAAATTTAGCTGGCGCTGAGACGCTGTAAGTTAAACAGGGAGCACATGCTTTTTACAAGGCAATTAACTAATACCAATTGATTCAGCTTCAAATCGTTCCATTTTTCACAGTTGCTGGCAATTAACGACAAAGAAAGGGAATATGAAAATGCAATAAATCAAATCAAATCACGACCGAACAACAATGATGACAAGGAATCGAACAAATCATTATTATTGGACAAAACTAAACGAACTGACGAAATGAACTATTTATCAAATATTATATAATCAAGATGAAAATAAAGCACACTGAAAATTATTATTATGTACTGTAACAAATGAATGATAATGAACTGTATGAAGAAAACGAACTGTGCTTTATTAAAAAGCGCGCGTTATTGCAGAATACAGTAAATACGAAATTGAAAAATTGCCGACAAATAGTTACAAATGGATATTATTAATTTTCACGTTGTTTTATTTTACATTCGTGTACAGATTTTGTTTTGCTGCAAAAATCTTCTTCTATTTGTAAAGTAAAACTTTTACTTTTTTCTATGGCGTTTAAACAAAGCGACCAAATATGGCATATTTAAAAAAAATTTTTGAAGTGCCTTATTTCTAGGATGAGTGAACTGCCCACATGGCCATAAACAATTCAGGAGTTATAAGATACTTTGGCGTAGTTAGGCAAGTATTATTGAATTGAAAAATTGTTTTAGCTTCCACTATCAAATTTCAATATAAGAATAAGCCGGTTCTAAATTCAACACCTAACTTTCACTCTTCAATTTCTTCTCTTTATTTCCATTTCCTAGTTCAATATTTTCAAGTGCAACATATATACCATATTATATAATTTTGTTTAATCATGTCATTTATTTTAGAATTGCAAAATTTTTTTTGGGCGCTCCGGAAGTATGCGTTCCAAGATGACGTACAACCTGAACCCCAATCTGGTACATATACTATGTTTAGGTTGTGCGCCATCTTGGTACACATATTCCGGGAGCACCGTTTTTGTTTGCTTGCATATTCCATATATACAAAGTTTCGAGGTACATACGGATAACGTTGTTATTTTAGTAAGATTTTACTGTTGTTTTTCAAATTAATAATATGAATCGGAGTAAAATTAGTTAATTTAGACGTTCCAAGGGGAAGCTGACAATTATCGAGATTTTGTCTCGTTAAAGTGTCTAACAAAGACGGGGATTGGGCAGCCGAGGCGTTGCTGTTGTTACTCGTCGTTTAACGACAGAATATAAGCCGTCGTCCACAAAACAACCCACCAATCGCAGTCAAATATATACGATTCCCACCCCTAAAAGACCTTCATTCGAATACTGAAAGATTCAAAATATAGAGAACCAATCGAAGCATTGTTATGTTACCATTTTCGAATTTGAAACCATTGGCTCCTGCATGCTGTTTGGTAAATATAGTTCAGTTTAGAATAAATCGAATATTCGGTATATTATTTCATATTGTATTCTGAATAGTAAGTTCTTTCGATTTGCCATCACTTAACAAAACTTGGGCCCTGAATTTATGAAGAACCAGAATTTATCAATTAATCGCGACCCATGTAGGAAATCAATGCAATTCATCCAGTATATAAATTCGGATTTGTTACAATGAATCTTAGTGACCCACACTTTATTTCTGAACTTGAACAGAACTTATTTGTTTCCGCAGTCAAAACCCTCAATTGTGATTCATTCAATGTTTGGTCAAAGAAGTCAATCTCTCCCACTTTTTGAACCAATTTAGCCACAATCAGCAATTCAGCATCGGTGAGTGGTTTTGTAGTTGACCTTCGAAGTAGCAATTCGGACAAAATGACATCTTCACTTTCCAAACTTGTGGAAAGAGCCGATATCTGCTCACTTGTTGGAGTGCAATATTGCGCGGATAGATATTTTGCCTCAGTATTTTTCAGCAGCTTTGCCAATTGTTGAAATGCTTCTGCATTCATGTTGGGATTTTGGTCAATATACAAAGACTTGAGTTTGACTTGATATTTGACCACCTTTTTATTCATCTTATTTAATTTGTCTGCATTTAGGTCAACGCTTTCCAGTCGTGACCATTTAACCATAGCAATACCTAAAAATCGCCCGAGCTGGGCAAAAGCTTCTGTGCCCATGTTTTGATTATTATAAACATAGAAGCCCTCCAAATTGAGGCCGTAATCGAGAGCTGCTTCATTCATTTTACTTATTTTTCCTGCATCCAGATCGCAACCATCCAGCCTGAAATCTACCAAGCCGCCATAATGAACTATCTCTATAGCGTGATAATAAGCGACTTGGTTCATTGCCGGGCTTTCTTTTATTGTGAAGCCCCAACCAATTTTTATATTCCCTCCCTTCGTGGCTTCACTCAGGATTCGCAGTGAGTCAGCGTCACAGTTTACCAGTTCCAAGTATCTCACATACATATTCTGTACTGAGCAAAGAATATGTTTCATAGGAGCATATGTTCCAGTATGTATAACCAATTTCCACATTTGCAAAAAGCGAAGAGATGCAATATGTTTTGCCACAGACAATAGAGCATGCTGTTCCTCGAGTTTCATTGAACCATCAAACTTCAATTCTTCTATTTGTGAAGAAATTTTCTTAATCACGTCGGGACCACATTCATGTAACAAGGTCACGACTCGTTTATCTGAAAGGACTTTACCTTCCAATAATTTATCCAGGTAACCCAACAAATACTCATACTTTATGTGTAAGCTATCAGGAAGGTATTTTGCTGCCTTTTCCGAAGTTGATTTGTTGAGAATGATTCCAAAAGCATGCTTTATAACAACTTCCATTTCAGATTTCTCATAGTTATTTTCAATAAACTTCTTAAATTCATTCAAATCAAGATTGCAGGCATACAATGATGCAAGTATCTCTTGAATACTTTGGTGGGAGAAACGGATGCTCATATCATCATTATCAGCGACATACTCAACAAATTCAGTATCAGCATCAATCTCTACAAGACCACGCATGTCATTCATATCCAGGTTAAGCGCCTTAATGTAGCTTGCTTTAAAAACAAATCGATTTCCTATCATTCCATAGAATGCCACTTTCATAAGTTTTGGCACGAGACGATCTACACGTCCACCGTGGCGAGATCCTGAAAAACATCTTATAACAGAAACTAATAGATTTGTTAAAGTCCCAACATCAATTTCTTGAGAATCTATGAACACTCGAGCCATGTAAAAAAAGAACATTGGATTTGAAAAGAGCCCTGGTGATTTGTGTCTCAAAGCATAAATGAATCTTTTTGCTTCCGAACCAAATAATTTTTCAGCAAGAAGATTAACTGAATCAGTATCCAATCCCCATAATTTTAGAGTTTTCACTGCCTTTATATCTGGAGCAAGCTTCCAATATACATACCACCGTGAAGTTGACAAAATTTTAATTCCTGGATAGATGTGGCCGGATAAAATATTGGCGATAATGGTGTTTGTTTCTGCTAGGGTTTCCATTCCGATTCTCTGGTATATACTTTCGAAAGGCTTCTGACTTTGGTCTAAACCATCAATTACAAATACAATGTGTTTTGAATTTTGTTCCAGCCATTCTTGCCCAATCTTATGAAGCTTTTTTGGAAGTTTTGATCCAAGCTGTTGGATGAAGAGAAGATCAAAAGCAGTTGATCTATCGTCACTTTGTAATTTAGAAATATCAATAAAATAAACCATCTTAATTTCTTCTGTGAAGACCAGTCTTTTCTCCAGAGCCAACATTACATATCTCTGTGCAAATGTTGTCTTTCCAGAACCTGTGTCTCCTAGCAACATGACATGGTTGACTGAGTTATCGAAATGAAGTCTTGTAATATCCACTGATTGCAGATTAGTCTGTTTGTTGGATTCCGATTCTTTAAACTCAGTCACTTTAGGTAGTACAAAATTATCCATCTTTGTTTTTTCTTTAACAGATTTCAAAGCAAATTCCAACATCTGCTTTGTGAAATTCTCCACAACTTCGAGAAAATCTTTTGCTTCTGAAATTTCTTTCTGACGGATTTGCTCCTTTATCTGATTATTTTTCTCGTCTTTTATATCATTATAAGTCCCAACCAATTTCTTAATTCTTTCTACCACAGCTGCATCATTAGTGTAAGGATACTTGGAATATCTCCATTTCCACAAAAATTTGAGACTGCGTTCCTCTACCGCGAATCTGTTATTTTCTGTAATAGTATCAATTTCATGCTCAGTAAGAGACAGCCCGTGCCCTGATCTTGCAAACTGTATGAATTCTTCTGGTGCAAACAGCTTGATAATATCTTGAAAAACATCTTCAAGTCTTTCAACATTCGTGGCAACACCCTGATGTTTTGATCTATAATATTGTATAATAAGATTCCTTATTTCTTGGGGAGTTGCTTTTGACCCATGCTTTTCAATCCAAAGCCAAAGTATTTTCTGTTTCTGTTCTTCAACAGAGAATCTGTGGTTTTCAATGACCGTAGTGACATCTTGCACGCTGAGTGAAAGTCCATTTCCAGATTGTGCAAAAGTTGTGAAATCCAACGTTGTAGCAAATTGTCTCACAGCTTCTCTAACTACATCTTCGAGTCGGTCGCTCATATTAATGTCGTAATCTACTTCGAAAATTATTCTATAAAAAACAAGGAGTGAATAAGAAAATTAGTGAGACGAAAAATGAAATATGAAGTTGTTCAGTTATTTTTCATAAGATTCAGATATTTATTTTCGTCATGCAAAACCAATATACAATATGAAAATTTATAAAAAGGCTTACAACAAAAAATTACAAAGGCGGATATCGGCGTGTTGCAATAGACGAAGGGTCGCGATAGACTCGAAGAGTCATCCAGTCAACGACACTCTGTAGCTGCATTGAAGCAGCAAATATAGCAACCGAACCAATCAATATTGAATTTTTACTAAATTCGACACTTCGAAATCATATATATATAAAAGGAAAACAAAAAGGCGTTTATTCACGCTTTTCTTCCCGAACAAGGTCATGTACAAAGCAACCACTGTTAACTAGTGATAGGCAAGTACTAATATTTGAACGAAAAGGAACTTTCTGGTTCGAAAATGATTTTAAACCAGAAGCGTGCAATCTGCGATGCGATATAGACAACAAGAGAACTATGCTTAAATACACATGGGCTTTGAAATACACGATCGCGTAGCGCCACCTAGTGGCAACGTCCGATGATGTCATAGCACACACAAAAACGAATCCCATACAGCTCACCGGAATATTTGAAATAAATAAAACTAATAGCCTTCTAGCGAACAATTTAATCTTTAACCACTGAAAAGCAAAGCAATTGGTCCAGTAATCAAAGAGAAAAGCGGTTTTTCAATATCGTTAAGATGAAAAACAAGAGAGCTATGCTCAAATATATGGACACGTAGCCACCCAATGGCAATAATTTTGATGACGTCATAGCGAAAAAAAAGTAATAGTCTTCTGGAGAAAAATTTTATCTTCAACCACTGAAAATTTCAAAGCAATTGGTCCAGTATTCGAAGAGAAAAGCGATTTTTTAAAAATGGAGACGGAGACAACAATAACAACAAAATTTTGAAACGATCGTTATGGCCACTAAACGTGTCCAATGACATGGTGAAAGACAACAACAACAACATAAAAAACAAAAGGATGTTATGTCCACCAACGTGTCCAATAAGACCATGAAATACAAGGAGCACCAGTAACACAAAATATTTATTCGCTGCTAAATAAACATTGAATAAAGAAATTTTGTGGCCCATCATTTTGATGTCTAAATTCTGCTTTGTTATTCACTTCCAATGTGCCATTTATTCCTATTATCTGACGAAAGCTTATAACTGAACTTTTCGTTCCGTGAGTTTATTCATATTTATCACTCAAATACTATGTAGTTCGAATATGCTTTCAATATCTTAATATATTCTTTATATCTTTTAATATATTCTTTCTACCCACAGATCGGAAGTGGATAGTATTCAATTAGGAAGAACTTGCATTTCAATACACAATATACTAATAACTCCGTAACTGAAATTTTAAATATACTCCACTATGCTACGCATATTATACCGCTTCTAACCAGTGGTGGGATTCAGACGGTTTGCACCGGTTCCATAGAACCGTTTCACGGAATTTTATGAGATCAGCTAACCGGTTAGCATTACTGAAAAAACATGACTTTTTGTAACAAAACCTGCTGAAAAATATGTGATGGAATGGGCTGACAAAAAATTTGAATCCCACCACTGCTTCTAACCACTAACACGCAACTGAATATCATATAGCCTACGCATCGTCATTTCCTTTCTTTCATGACATGTTCAAAACAATACTTGTATGAATATTTAAAGTTCATCGTGATGATGGTCATTATAGGATTTCAGATATCTTCACGGCCCATGTGCAAGTAATAACAGGGGCGTACCCCTCCCCCCCTATGAAAATGTAAAAAAAAGCATTTTTATGTATCACACATAGAAAGTTTTCGTAGCTTAAAACGCTTCTACCCCCTTGAGCCTCCTGAAAACCCACGGTTTTCGCCGACCCCGATATCGGCAATTAGAATTGAAAATTCCTGGCTACACCCCCGCATAATGATTATTGAAACGTATGCCGAATACCGGTATTGAACAGTCATTTCACTAGTAAGTCGATCCCAAAAAAGACTTTCAGACTGAACAGTGCATTTGACACCGATCCATTGAACGCGCGGTAGCAGACACGTACTTCAAACAAAACCTGGAACGTCACCGTATTGCTGTCATAGATAAATAGAGTTTAATCATTTATTGTATTCCTTTACAAGTTAGCAATAGTTGGGTTTGTGAGTTCCACAAACCCCAGGTCAACACTCAGCACAACTTATTGTCACCCAACAACCTATTTCCCCGCGGCCCGCTTTCTTTCTCTCATCTTTGTTCGGACTCGCCCTAGACGATTGATTTATGTTGGATAATTTTGGCGACGCAGTGGCCTTTTTTCGTGCTCGGCAATCACATTTTTTTCTAATTATCTTCCGGTGGTAGGCATATTTATAATTTCAAACAACCTTACTGGCTTGTGCCTCTTTGTATGTTTCATAGCTTGTCTGTCACGCCATTCGATACCTTTTCTTTACGCAGTTAAATCGTATCTATTTTCCAATCGCACATGCGCTCCTCCTGTGTTGCGATGGTGGTACGTCATTTCCCTGTTTGTCTATGCCTCTCTCATGACGCCGCAATGGGTTTTCAAATCTCATCGACCGCCCACCTATGGTCGTTTTGGTTGTCATACGTATTCCTATTGAGTCTTATTATTTTGTACAAGTAATTATTTGTGACTCCTACTTGCGTCTTCATTGGTATAACCTTTACTATCATAACATAAACTTCTAGAAGAATCGGTCAGTCAGTTGGACTCACATATAGCGTATGCTTGCCACCAGGTATATTCATGTCAAAGATACATAAAGCACTTAGTGTCCTTGAGTTATGAGGATGTTTCTCCGTATAGAAATGATAAACGCCGGCATTACATCGTCTTGCCAACATTCCTCAGTACTGAATTAAAAATTGAGCAAATATAAGCACGTGCTTAGGGCAGCAAGGGGCACCACAACAATTTTCATAAACGATTTTGCGACGGTACCTCGATGTTTAAATAATGAAGACCTCAATATTGCCCAGGTTAAAATAAAATTCTGAAGTATCATCTGAAATATCTCCATAACATAGTATATATCATTTTTTTAAAGTATGAGAACAGTTCTAAAACACAATTCTTCAAATTAATCGTAACTTGGCACTCAATTAGTAATAAATACGGAAACCGCATGCGGCTCTCAACAACCTTTCCTGCGGCTCTTGTTAATGCTTTAAAAATTAATTACTTTCAAAAAAAAATTCTTTGAAAACTAATCATTGACTTGAAATAAAAATGCGAAAGTCTATTGGTTATTCGAATTGATTCCCCGGTGTTTATTTACGTAGCTTTGACTAATCTACAAGATGCATTAGTGACGCAACAGTAAGCGTTTTCGTGGCCACTCGCACACTTTTCACTTGGAAAGATTTTGGACATGGCTGTAATCATTGGCTTGCTTTCGTAGATTTTCAGTTTTCGTCGCATTTCCGAATATTATGTATAAATCAAATAACTCAATGATTATTTTAATTTCTAGAGCATTTTAATTTTGTTCCAGTAATCGAAAGAAGTCCCGAAATATCTGGCGATCATCTAGCCTAGAGCAGCTACTGCACTTTGCATCCTCCCAGATTACGACCCGCTTTGACGAACCTATTAGAAATTAAAGCCAAATTAAATGGCTGTTAGTCTACTCTAGGGTGTTTTTTTACTGGTTAACGGTCAATTTCATCATAATCGCTTAATGTCTTTGTCACCGCGATCGTTTCGGCGGCGATATCCTAAAGTTGGTATATATTCTAAATTCCCGCCCTTTCTCGTTTTTTTGCAAGAATAAGGGGTCGCCGAAAATCGAAGTTTCATATTTCTAGTATACCATTGCGTTTATATCAGCGACAGCTGTTAAATACATTAAGAATGATTTCAAAACCAAATTACTTTTATTCTGAGTTTTATCCTCTGCCTTGGATTTGATCTTCCTTATCACCGCTTGTAAATTAACCTGCCTGTTTAAAGTGAACGGTAACCGAGATGCAGATATTAACTAGAATGATAATTGAGTTTCTCATGCTATTCTATGGTGTTCGTGTTATTTTGGTATTAGATAGATAAACCTATAGCATATATATTGGTAAATGAATGTGATGTTACCGTATATTGCTAATTTGTAGATTGTCTCTGACTTGCAAGTCACCCGTTCACCCTTCAGCTTCAACGCCCACGTGAATAAAGAGGATACGTTAAAAATCTCTATATGTTTTTATTTGTAATTTCCACAACACACAGAATACAAATCTTAAAACATTTATCCACACTAGTTTTTAATGGTTTACATCGTCCCTATCGAAAGATATCGGAGTAGTATTTATACGTTGATCATAAACCCAATTAAATACTGTAAACGTGAGCTCGTGATTCACGTTATAAACAGAAACTCCTATTATCTCAATAAGGGTAATTATGTACATCGTACGGTTGGGAACTTAGATATAATTATTTCAACCAGTGTAACCTCCCTTTCAACGTGACCCGGTAGCACAAGGTGTCACATAGAGAAAACTAACAAATCGAAAACGCATCTCCCAAATCCTTGTCCAAACACAACCAATTGTTGAAAACTTGTAATGAAATTGTAATTCGAAGAATTGATAGCATAACATGAAATGCTCAGCAATACACAAACATCACAATAGACGGAAATGAAAGATGGAAGACGGTTTTCTAAAACAAAATAACATGTCTTAGAACACTTATAAAACTAAATAATACCAAATTCAGCAATGATCCAAATATAAATAACATACCGATAATACTTATGACACCGGGTAAGAAAACTTTGTGAATCCACGAGAATACTTCACAATCTGTTAACAATGACAATATTTAATACACATACATCAGTGAACTTCAAATTATGCAACTTAAAGTACTAGCATTCTTACCCAAAAATCATTGCATAATACATTCTGGAAAC